TCTTCTGTATAGAGATTATAATAATACACTTAGTCTTATTGTTAAAAGTAATCAAGTACTTTGAGTATGCACAAACTAATTTGTATTAAATAATATTTTAATCGTCATCAGCCTATTAGAGTCCACTGCTGAGCAAAGGCCTCTTTCTCACATGGAGAAGGTTTGAGCATTAATCACCACGCTTGCTCAAGACGGGTTGGTGATTTCAAACTTATAATTGTGAAATTATAAGTCCAGGTTTCGACACGATGTTTTCCTTCATCATCAGTCCGTGATGTCTAAATACTCTCAGAAAGTACATATGACTCGGAAAAATCACATTGGTACTTGCTATGGTCGAACCCGCGTCCTCAGGCACGGGAGGCGGGCCTTCAACCACTAGGCCATCACTGACTAATATTTTAATAACCCTCATATATAATAAATTATAATGACACAGTAATTAATGCCCTTATAACAACATAAAAACGAACTTTTCAATATAAATGCACCTAAATATTTCATTTTGTATATGTATATACAAATTCTTAATCTAAAATTGTTTTGTATGTCTTAAAACAATTTTTTTACATTGCAATAATATTTAATAAGATTACTATGGGTTTATTGTTATATGTTATAAATAGTTTAAATTTAAATCGCTACAGTTAGTCAAATTAACAAATAATTGAGACAAAATCAGGGCGTAATTAGTAATTACAATTTGATTGCACAGCTCGCTTCAAACAATTTGGTTTCGAATAATCAAATTGTGATTCAGAAACTCATTTTCTATTATTACAGTAAAAGCTCCTTATTCGCGCTTCCTTTATTCGCGTTTTCACTATTCGCGGATTAAAAAAATGCTACCAATTCCTATATTCGCGACTAAAAATTTCTTTATTCGCGGATCTAATAAGTACATACATAATAATAAAATTATTCCAAATAGGTATCCAGCACAATATCCTTGTCAAATGGACTAATTAAAAAGTAATATAGATCTTATTACAACTTTACCTAATTACTTTGCGATTTCTTTATGAACATTGATCCGTTTATGGAACGAAGTCTTATTTTTAAGAGGCAAATTGCTAATGCGACTGCTGTGTATCAGTCTGAATTGAAGGAGCTTTTAAAAACTGCCAAGAAAGAAAAAATTACAAAATTCTTCAAACCATTGCCTAAGCCTTAAGATAATTAATTATAATGATCAAATACTTCAATTAAATATTTTTTTATATAAATTTGTTGTTTTTTTTTGTCACCTAGGAACGTATCCCCTATAATCCCATATAAATAACCATTCCGTATTCACGGTTTCTGTATTCGCGGTACATTTACGGAACATATACCCCGCGAATAAGGAGCTTTTACTGTATATGTTTATTTTAAAAGTATTGTTCTTGTTATAAATAAGTTTTTGACTTATTTAATACGATCAAAGATTTTAAATATACTAGCTTTCCGCTCGCAGCTTCGCCCGCGCGGAGTTCGGTTATATCGCGTTTCCAAGAGAATCTTTCAAAATTCTGGGATAAAAACTATCCTATGTTCTTTCTCAAGGTCAACTCCATCTCTGTACCAAATTTCATTAAAATCAGTTCAGTGATTTAGGCGTGAAAGCGTAACAGACAGACAGACAGAGTTACTTTCGCATTTATAATATTAGTAGGGATGTATGTTTAAAATAGTATATATGTAAACCATATAAATTATTTGGCAATAAATGTCTAAACCGCGTTTAGTATTCAGTACGCGGGTGTCTTGCTGGAGTGACGTCATCGTCGCTAGTGACGTCACCACATTCTGAGCAGCATTACAATGACATCATCGATATACACAGCCTTCTATAGTTTGAAGTAATTCTGAAGGTATTGATATACCGTATTTTATTCCGACGGCACAGTTGAAGGCTTTAGTATTTTTGATAGATTTTTAGTATGGCAAAATTTTTTGTTAGGGATTTCGTAAGAATTTTTTTAATAAGTAATATTTTAATAATAATAATCTGATAATAAATTCTCTACAAAATATATTCTCACAAAAATATGTGATACTTTTGCTTGATCTATTAAAATAGGTGAAAAGAAATGTTTCTTTTCTTGAAACTTAAAATGGTAATTACTATGGGTATATAGAGTAGTGTTCAAAGAAGGAAATCTCAATAAGAAATATATATTCCTTTAAAGATAATATTTGTAATATAAATTTTGAAATAAATACAAATTACTATCAATATTATTCGCTTTAAGACGAGTTGAATTTAAATGTATTAATATTTATTATATAAATGAATATTAAAACAACAATATAAATGAGTAAAAACATATATTTTATATCACTCGTTCGTTTATTCTACAGAACAACGGGTACATTCACATCAAGTACTACCAACCTTAATACTAGTTCGTTACTTACGTACCGACAGTTTACAGTATTCATACAACTCATACTATCACTTGCGAAGTTAATGAAATACTACCGTCGTAACGTAAATCTATATACACACACTTATATATATATACAGTTATTTTTTAAATTTACATTTATTTATGTTTTTATTATTTACAATATTCTTATAGCAAACGATTTTAAAGGAACATTACTGTACTGGATATTTTCAAACCTTCTATTGAGCTCAGGCTAACTCTTAAATCCAGTACTATTAATACTTTTTTACTATCCACCATATTAAAACTAAAATCGGTTTTATAAATCGGTTGAACAATACACCGATTTTGTAACGACAATAAATAATATGTACAACATACTGGTAGATTAACTATCGGTCTGAATTAAGTTTCATTATACTCAGTTACGAATAGTTTGATAGTTACAGTTAGTCATGGAACTCGTACTAGGGTAGTTTTTTCATATTTTTATAAGTAGTAATAGTTTTATAGAACTGAATAAAGTTTTCAGCTTCTATGTACTACATAAAAAAAATATATAAATAAATACTTCATAATGTTCGGAGTATATCAAAATGGCTCCATATATTAATATAATAGTTTTATTTTATATTTTTTGATAAAAAAATTAAATATGAAAATTACAAGACAAGAAACTAACATTTATAATGTTCGCTGAAATTGATTATAATTTTTGACATTAAGGTGGCACTTCACTTCTTGTTGCGTATTCGCCGTATTTGTCCAAATATTTGTACGTAGTCCAAATAGCGCAAACACGACATCCACACTTGGCATACCAACAACACGTCTTATTTGTGTATGTGTCTTATTTGTGCAAATATGTCAAATGAAGACGAATAAAACTTCCACACATGGTGTTATTTAGAAAAACACAAGAAATACGCGAATACGCAACACCACCTCTACTTTCGGAAATAAACAAAAACATTTCGAATAATCTCAATATTACATCAAAAGTAGGCTAAAGGAACTAGATTACAGATTCCATAAAATTTCATTAAATACATATATTATTAATAATAAACAAAATGGCGGTCATTACTTATGTTATTTCTTATGTACAATAACTATTACTAAATAATGTATTATGCTAGATTTAAAACATTTGTTACATTTTACCAAGCATCAGATTAAGACAGAATCACTGGATAATTTTAACAGATAGGTGCTGCCTTTTGATAATTCATATTATTTAAGTAGTTGTGAGTTATTCGTATCAAAATGAAGGTATAATTCAGCTAATCAGAGGTCGGTAATTAAACGACGCTCGTTAAATATCGACATGGTCGCAAAACAGAAACACTTAATGAAAAACGATAATCAGAATGGTGGTAAATTGACCGAGAAATGAGAATTACGGAATCATTTTTAATGACTATACCTTGATTTCATATTAATACTTAACTGTGCTTATTTTTTTATATAACTCTTCTTCTTCTACCTGGCAATTTCCCAGCTATAGCCAGGGTCTGCTTTACATGTTGAGAATAGTTTTGGCTATTTGTTTTACGACCGGCCGCCTGCCTGACATCAACCCTTTTTTTTTTGGGAATCAACATTAATCAGTGATGTCTAAATACTCTTAAAAAGTACATATGATTCGGAAAAATCACATTGGTACTTGCCCGGGCCAGGATCGAACCCGCGGGCTCGGCGGCGAGAAGCCGAGAGGCGGGCCCTTTAACCACTGAGCCACCACTGACCATTTTTTTATATAACATTATTATGTTATTCAATGATTTCATTCCCAATGGGTAGGTACATCTTGTACGAGGTTGTTTTGTTCAGAGCCAATAGTATATAATATACAAGCATTAATTCCTGTAATAACAAGGCGTCGTGGTATACCATTTGAAGTGTAAACCGATACGCCATAAATCAACCAACAAAGGAGGGAAAGGTAAATATAAATTAGGCTTATAATCACGTTTAAATTACGGAATGTTTGTACGCCACCCACATTTCGATTTTATTAACTTTTGTTTTTAAATTCAGATTAAAACCTTTTTTCAATAGTGACGTTTATTTTTTTTTTTAATCTATATTTCGCTGTCAAAATACAACGAAAATCTCTATCTGTGGCCAATGAAAAATAACCTTAAAAAAATACAATAGTGAAAGCTATCCGATCATAATCGTTTACTAGACAAATAGCCGTGGAGAACAATCGTCAACAGTTTAAAAACAATTTTGTTTAGACCAATTACCTTGAGATTTAAAACTTAGATATTTCTCTAAAACCCATCATGATCTCCCGTCCCTCTCTAACCAATACATTTAAACAGCCATCTCGCTCTAACGATGACAGCCCACGATATCAGCGGCCGAAATCTAAACTAATTATACCCTCATCACTAATCAAAGATGGTATTTTTTAATTAATTTAATACATAAAAAAACAACTAACCACCATTTCGTGTCTAATAATTATAACAGGACGCCATTTTGAATTTTAATGACATGAAAATAAATTATATAATTATAGCTTCAAGCATATACAAATGGCGATTAATAATAAATAATTATCTATTATATTTACATAGTGTCCTCTCACTCTCACTCTAAGTCTTTATAACTCTTCTTCTACGTCTCATTCTCACTTTCACTTAGTTCGTCCATGTCCATGTCAATTAGTTCTTCGTCTTCTTCGTCGTAGGAGTTGTTAAAGTTATCAGGCTTCGTGTTGCTTGAACCGGATTTATTTCCAGTCTTTGCTTCTTCTTCTTGCTGCATTCTTTTGTGTTTCGTTCTTCTATTTTGGAACCAGACTTTCACCTGGGAAAGAAATTGGTTGTTAATTCATTTGTTCTTTATATTAAGGAGTAGATGTATTTCGAGTTCGAATTTTGTCTAGAGAAGAAAAGTTTTGGTCACGTTACTACTAATTTACTATTAGAATTAATATCATAAGAATATTTTACTTTTAGTTCAAGCTTATTTTTATATCGTTTAAATTGAATAAAAAAAGTAGCAACTTTTTGAAGTTAAAAATAAAATATTTCTAACAAAAATACATTGGCTGTTTATTTTAAACCTAAACCATATCACTGAATTTAAAAAAAAACTATCAAACAACTCTAGAATATTAACTGACTGAAACACAATAGATACGATATCCATATAAATATACACCCCATTAAACATAAAGGGGTTGAAACTATACATCCCCAACAGTTCCTATGCAGAGAGAGGGAAATTGTCGAAATTTTTCAACAAAGATCGCAGCCGCCATCTTGTTTGTCATCTATCACGGGTGTAATGGCTCGTGAAATGTATTCTATTATACTATATAGAAGAGAAAAATATTATAATCATGGATTTATTTACATTTAACATATATATACATATATACATATAATGTTAAGTCATTACTATTTGTCAAATTCTATTTGACATTGACAGCACGTCATTTGAATGACATAAAAAAAACGTTCTAAAATTGATTTTTTTTTTCTTATAAATATAAAAGAATAATAATATAGCAATGTAATATTATTTTTAAAGTTAATTCAATCAATACATAATAACACATGTTATCGTAAAGTTAATTTATAAAGCGTCATAAAATTATAAGTGCTTTTTCATTGTACGTTACATTACTGTGTAGAATTACCGAATAAATGGGAATGTATATGACCGGAAATGTAATATAACATCCAAATAACTATTACGTTTAAAAACAACGATAAGACTGTGGTATTGGAAAAATTAATTGATTTAAAAATTAAAAAGATACTGAACGTAATATGACTTAAAAAAAATATTATTTAAAAATAATACATGTTTTATTTCCCTCCCTAAATATTTATTATTATATTGATATACTTATTAATTTATTTTACGGTTCGTTAAAATTACATCAAAGTTCAATCATCAACCCTTCATCAATCGAGCGTATCAAATACTTGATTCGCTATTATCAACCACGGATAACATATTTATATTAAATATATAATAAAATTAATATTACACTGTATTAATCTGAGATTTTTTCGAGACATTTAAATGAAACTAATATTTTTCGGATATATTTTTGATAAAAAATACATGTTTCCGACGTTTCGGTTACTTTACAGCAACCGTGATCACGGGCAGACGATATATAGAAGAATATACTGTATTGTACTATTATATATATGTATATAGTATTATACTGTATTCATATATTAATTTTCTATATAATTTTAGTGTGATTTTATTGCGAAAACAGAAAAAAAATCAACAATAATCTCACAAAGCAATGTTTAACAGGTTACACAGAATGATTACAATGTAACAAACTATATATTATCTGTGAAATCATTTGTCCGTTTCAAAAGCTTTAAATAATGTTTTACAATCGCTAAATACATATCCGTCTATGTAATTTTGTAATAAATCACAATATTGACAATGACGCGGCCGCCATCTTGGATGGCATACTCATGTCAGGGAATGGGAGATAATTAAATAGTTTTTTTATTAAGTGTGAATATTTTATTGATGTTATTTTTATGTATTAATATATATGGTCTCGTAAATCGGTACATTTCCCATGAGGTGTGGGGTGCATCGTTGTGACAAATGGGGTGTTCCATGAACGGACCCCCGGGAGCCGTCGGAAACGCTTGTAATTTAACCGAATAATGGGAAAATTTATTGTGATTTACTTACATTACTATATAGTATTACTATTACATGTATTATATTTATTACTAAGATTTTTGAATAGAAGTATTGACACCAATACCGTTATAAAAGTACATACTTATTATAATTCACGAAAATTTCTAGTAGTATATTTAGTATATGTATCGACTTATTGATAAGAGAGTATTATATATATTTCATGAATAAATTAAATATCATATATATTTTAAATAAAAGACCGTTAAATTTCAAACAATTAAACATATCAATTAAACTATCATGGCGTTACGCAAAATTAATGTAACACTTTGTTACATAATTCCATTACATCTGTCGCAAAAATAGAATGACCCACAATCAAAATGATCAGCTTCACAAATGGGGGTCTGAGTGACTGGTTGGAGTAACGAGGGGTGTCAACAGGCCCCAAATACGATTAAGTACTTATATACTTTATAAGAGTTAGAAAGAGATAGACTATAGGGTGAATTGGGCCAAATTTTAAACGGAACCCCATTTATCTATACATTAACTTTATTGTCGAGCCATTAGAGCGATAGGGATGGAAGATTGGGGTCGCTTGGGACTACGGGGTCGTCGGGAGCTGGTGTGCGAGAGGGACGGATATATATAATGGTATGAGTGTGAAAGAGTTGGTAGATAACAAGATCAATTGCCGGTTAATAATGTACGCATTGTTGAGAGTAATTGAGTTGGTTTATCTCGTTACAATTTGATTAATGTTTACTTTTCAAATGAGAGCCGTCCTGTTAAATTGTGTATAACAATAACGGCTATTATATTATAATGGTAATGTTTATCTGATTCGCTTTTGATATATAACACCATTTTGTTATATATTGTTATATTATTAGGTATATACTTTGTATTATGTTTTCTAGGACAATAATTTTTTTACGATTTTTAATTTACTCAAACCTTCCCTATATATTTATTTAGATATATTAAGTTTAATAGAATTCGTAATATTTAAAACTGAATAAAAACTGTCTTTCTGTTTGTGTCTATCTAAAATTTATATAGTCTTTGTAGATTCATAGTAAAAATGGAGTAACTGGGAATAGTTTCATTTAAAGATGAAAATATGAAAGTTCTTTTCCCTTTTTAACATTTTTCACGCTTAAAAACTATGCATTTTAATACTTTATAGGATATTAACTATCGTAATTATATTAATAACTAGTTTTTATCCACGACTTCGTCTGCATTAGTTTCGGAAATAGAAAAATATAGCTGACCGTATGATCTCTGTTCCGCTTTAGAAGCAGTAAGTAAGCAGATTATGGATTTTATTGAATTAATTTTTTTCGAATCAAACGGGATCAAAAGTATCCTATGTTCTTTCTATGTTCTAAGCTATCTCTATACCAATTTTCAGCGAAACCGGTACAGCCGTTCTCGAGTTATAAGTAGTGTAACTAATACGAGTTTCTTTTAAGAAGTAAGATAAAATGTTCCAATATTGCTTGAATATAAATAATATAATAATTAAAATTCAAATATATTTACTTACAGAACAATAATAAACGATTTCATATTTTCTATATATTATTTTGTATAAAAACATAGCCGTTATAAATTGCTAAGCAATTATTGATCGGCGTTTTAATTTTATTGTAAATACTAAACCGAATTAGATGATGCTTTTAAATATATAAACCTATTACAATTAGAGAAGTCTTTTAAAACTCATTTATTCAAAAGCGTGACTTAGTTTATCATAATAACATATATGTAACCTTAACTATTCTTTGGCCATAATGGTTTTTAAGATTTTCGGCTATACTTAATTAAATGCGATTAAGATTTTCGGATACTAAGCGTTTTTGATCCCCTTTGCTGTAAAGGAACCGAAATGTCAGCATTATATAGTATACTAGTTCTTGCCCGCGACTTCGTCCGCGTTAGTTTGGTCAAGAGTAACATATGTAGGTATAGCTGACCAGGCGAACTCTATTCCGTCTTAGAGGCCATAAATAATCAAGTTTTTCCTGTTTCAATCGAACAGAATGATTGACATATTAGTTAGATGTCAAATCTAATGTCAAAGACAACGTTTGTATGGGAAATAGAAAAGGGCTGTTTTTAGGATTTTCCCGGCAACTATTCCAATTTTTCTCACCTTTTAAACCTTCCCTGGACTTCCAGGAGTATTTCAAGACTAAAATTAGCCAAATCGGTTCAGCCGTTCTCGAGTTTTAGCGAGACTAAGGAACAGCAATCCATTTTTATATATATAGAAGATAGAAGATAGAAAAAAATAATTGAAAAACCTGTAGTTTCTAACAATATTAGTTTCATTTAAGTTCGTTTGCTCAATTCAATAGAAATATCTATAGTAATATTTTTTATTTTCTTAAAATATCTCTATACATACATTAAGCTACACCCGGCGTTGTCTGTTAATTGTGCAAAAAACTAGATCCAGCAGTAAACTTAACGCTCCGTGGGTTTCAATTGACCGAAAAAACCATCATCAAGACTTAATATACTTCAAGGCTCATTACTTTTCATTTTTTTTTATGTTAATTGTATACTTTCGTTGCATACATCGACATACTAGCTTCACACCCCGGATACGCTCTTAATATGAAATAATTCATCTATTAAATACCTGCTAATATTATAAAGGCGAAAGTAACTCTGTCTGTCTGTCTGTTACGCCTCCACGCCTAAACCATTAAACTGATTGTAATGAAATTTAGTATAGAGATAGAGTTGACCTTGAGAAAGAACATAGGATAGTTTTTATGCCAGACTTTTGAAAGGTTCTCTTGGAAACGCGATATATATAAAAAAATCTATGTTCTACAAGTAAAACTGTATTAAGATTTAAAGTAAAAATAACCGTATGAGTTATTATGTAAAAAAATATATATATTTTAAAAATACGAACAAACATACTGTTTTTATATATACATATATAATACAGAAGCAGTGTTTCATAATTGAAATGCAATTACTAAATCGTTTATTTCTTTTTTATTAAGAAAGTTAAACTCGATTTAAATTACTGGAAGAAATAATTTGAAAAAATATATGAAAATAACTTGTCTAGTTTCTTTTGAAGTCGATAATTATTACTAAAGGTCAATAATATTTCTATTTCTATACGTTTATCCTTAGTATGTGTTTGGGTCGTCAAACGTAAAACGAACAGTCTAAAGTTAAGACCCACATTTTGTAATAATTTTTTGTAAGTAATTTAACACATTTATATATTAGACTAGCTTTCCGCCCGCAGCTTCGCCCGCGTGGAGTTCGGTTATATCGCGTTTCCAAGAGAACATTTCAAAAGTATGGGATAAAAACTATCTTATGTTCTTTCTCAAGGTCAACTATATCTGTACAAAATTTCTTTAAAATCAGTTCAGTGGTTTAGGCGTGAAAGCGTAACAGACAGACAGACAGAGTTACTTTCGCATTTATAATAATATTAGTAGGATGTTGTAACTTCTAAAATAAATTTATTATTGGCTATCATGTCTGAGGATTTGTAAGCATTAACTGAAAAGGCTTGCGATCCCAACAAACTTAAGTTACATTACGTAGTCCGAGTTAATACTTAAAATCGTTATACTACATAATCAGCGTAAACAGTTTTCCATTCACTAACGTTATTGAATGATAAACGCTAAACGTTACGTATGTAGTATGATGACTAAACTCGTGCTAAGGATACATGTAATAATATTTTTTTAAAGCGTATTTGTTTTTCTGTTTAAGAACATACATATATGTCTGTTTGTTTGAGATGCGATAACTTGGAAACAGAAAAAAACTATGTTGAGTCTCATACCACGTATGATCTCCATAAATATGTTATAATTTGAATATTTTTATTAAAAGAAGGTGATTTGTGAAAACCGTTTTTATATCTTAATTGTACATACTTTATAATACACGAACAATGTTTATTAGTTTAATGTTAAAAGTATCTTAATTTTTATTAATTTAAATAATTATTTTTAAAGAGTTCAATGCCAATATTTAGTTCTTCAAAGAAAACATTTGGTTTTATAAAACTTGATAGAAATGAACGTTTCATATGAATATTTTAAAATATGTCATGTCTGTGTTTATGTGGTTTGTTGGTTAAGATCTTGTTTAGAGAGAGAATTAAAAATAATGTACAATAGGTATATCCCTACTAATATTATAAATGAAAAAGTAACTCTGTCTGTCTGTATGTCTGTCTGTTACGGTTTCACGCCTAAACCAATGGACTGAATTTAATGAAATTTGGCACAGACATAGAGTTGACCTTGAGAAAGAACATAGGATAGTTTTTATCCTAGACTTTTGAAAGGTTCTCTTGGAAACGCGATATAACCGAATTCCACGCGGGCAAAGCTGCGGGCGGAAAGCTGTTATAAATTTCATTATTATAGGTATTTCTATGGAATGCACTACATAACAAATTACAAAACCTAAATATTCCTACAAAATCCAAAATTGTATCGAATATACTGATATTTTTAATGAAACTATCTGTTACTAAATAATCTTTATATTGCAATGAAACTCTTCATAAAACAACAATATAATATTTCTCAAATTCCTTAATTTAAACTTATAAGCGGTTAAAATTTATACTCCAGTTAAATGAAAATACACCAAGTTTAATTTAAATTTATACAACAATTTGTATAAAACATTTGATTGTTTTATATTAATTATATAACTAGTTTTTTCCCGTGGTTTTGTCTGCGTTAGTTTCAGAATTAGAAATGTATAGTTGGACGAACTCTATTCCTCCTTAAAGACAGAGACAAAGAGTAGGTAAGAAGATTTTGGATTTGAACAACTTATTTTTATTTTCAATCGGATAAAAAGTATCCTATGTTCTTTTTGTAATCTATCTCTCCACCAATTTTCATCCAAACCAGTACAGACGTTGTTCAGTTATGTATAGTGTAACTAACATGACAGTCTTTTATATATATAAATACATTAGAAGTACATAATATTTAATTAAAAAGTGTTCTCAATGCCGTGTACGTGAAACTGCTTATATTAAATATGGCATTCGGCTGTGAAAACTATGATTTAGAAACTGTGCTAATAACCAACCAACCACGCCCGGACCGAAGACGTACGGACAACAGAAAAATATATATAATATACATATATAATATATAAACAACATATATAAAACATATATTAAAGTTTGTGTTACTACATATGCAAATGATATTCAAATATTTTCGATAATTAAGACCGATTTTAAAACTTTTGAAAACACATCTAGATAAAAAAAATATTTTTATATTTAATCTATGAGAAAACAGTTCAGAATATGAGTAATAACGTATTTTTGATCATAATCATATATCAATTTAAATCAATAACTTCTCTATAATATAAAGATATGTTAAAATTGATAGTAGATACCTACTTTAAAAATTTGGTTAGCACAATTATATAACCAAAAAAATAGTTTTCGACTTACTGTAACCAACACGCAAACATACATATATCTGTCATGCATACAACTGTTCCTGCCGACCGTACTACGTACTAATGAACTTCTAATTAAATAGTTTTTATATCGTTTTAATATTAAATGCAACAGAACGCGCCTGATAGCCGATTTCATAACAAACAAAAACGCTCTTCAACAGCGACCTTCGGCAATATAACTAGCTGCTGGCGCTCGGTTCGTTCGCTTCGTTACGAATGTCACGATAGAAAAGATTGGATGTTAATATAACTAGCTTCTGCGTTTCGTTCGTTCGTTTCGTTGACGGAAATCACGATAGAAAAGAGATATTCGGATTACGGAAACATATTATTATGATAAATTATTAAGTCATTTATATATGGATTTCTTAAATGAATGGAAATCTCGTTACTATTGTACTTATAATGTGGTATTATAATAATTATTTTAGAACGTATATGTAGAAATAATTGGACAGATTTTCATACAGATCATAGTAGTATTAACTCAGAGTTTTTACTTAGCTCCATAAAAAACAATCTTGATTTTCCCCTTTTAAGAATTAACAATTTTCTTTATGACATAATACAGTAATGTAATTAGTTTATATGATATAATATATAAACCTACATATATATCCCTACTAATATTATAAATGCGAAAGTAACTCTGTCTGTCTGTCTGTCTGTCTGTCTGTCTGCTACGCTTTCACGCCTAAACCACTGAACTGATTTTAATGAAATTCGGTACAGAGATAGAGTTGACCTTGAGAAAGAACATAGGATAGTTTTTATCCCAGACTTTTGAAAGGTTCTCTTGGAAACGCGATATAACCGAACTCCACGCGGCGAAGCTGCGGGCGGAAAGCTAGTTACTTATATATATCTATTTTCTTATGTTTCTTTATATTAATAATTGTTTATTTCAAGTTCATTAGTATAATATAATCGTCATTATGTTTGGCATTCAGTGACGACACACACACATTGAAGAATGTACACGGATTGATATAAAATTATGTGTGTGTGTGTGTGTGTGTTAGAGTCATGCTTGTGTGTGTAATATATGGTATAAATAATTTAATATACTTCTAATATATTGTATACAAGAAATAATGCGTTGTACATTTCTTGTCCAAAATTAATTTTTCCTGTATGTTATTCAACGGTTATTGTATCAATTGTCTTAATATATAAAAATATCGTTTCAGGTACTGATACTATATTAATGTAAAGTTAAAAAAAATCATCTCCTAATAACTTCTCTTTTTACATTCATATCGGAAAATCATATTTTTTTTCAGAAACAATATAAAAAGTTTAATCACCAAAAAGTATGCATACAATTCCTTTGAAGCATACATTTAACCATTTTAAGATAAAACATTTGACTTGAACACAATAAAATAGGATAATTGAATTCAATTTCAAAAAGTTAAACATAGAATGAAAAATTCATTGACATAAACTGGAATCGAACCTAGAGTCCTTGACTCTCAATAATATAACTTATAGTTACTTCACAAAATGAGCTACCACGTCTACCAAGATTTATTGACATCTTGTTTAATTAACATATTACAAATTATATCTGTGCTATCTTAACTTACTCATTGATACGTCAAAGACATAATTAAAATAAAATTTGCATATTATATCTATATATAAAATTAATTAAATCAAAACAGTTATTTCTGTACTGGCACTGACTTTTTCAATGTTGTGTCGACGCCCTAATACGTTTTTAATAGCTACGGTTTTTATAAATCGTGTGTAAGTGGCCTAATCTATTAGACACCATCATACTTAGTAAAGCAGTGGTTACAAAGCCGTTTGATTAGTATACTAATTGCATGAGAATTATTTTGGTTCAATTTAAATCCTTAAATGTCGATTTTCTTTCAAACAAATTAATTTATATCTATTACTATTTGCCGAATTACGTAGTATAATCAAACGTCAAACGTCAAAATAACAAAATCACACATAGATAAAAATATAATATGTTGTCTGTATAAATAAATTGGCGCCAAAAATGAATTTCAATAAGATTTTTTTAATCTATATTTAGTATTTACCTGTGTCTCGGTAAGACTAAGTGCTTGGGCGAGCTGTTTTCTTTCCGCTCCGACCACGTAATGGTTCTTCTCGAACGCGTGCTCGAGTTTGAGGAGTTGTGATGGTGAGAAGGCGGTTCGAATCCGCTTCGGCTTTCTGAACGGCTGCAGCAAGAACCCCGGGATATCTGGACCTGGTGATGAAATTAATGACTAAGACGATGAATAGAAAAAGCGATTTCAGCGCTGTAAAATTACTAGCTTTCCTTTCCGGCCGCTTGGAGTTCGATTATATCGCATTTCCAAGAGAACCTTTCAAATGTTATTGATAAAAACTATCCTATGTTTTTCCTCAAGGTCAACTCTATGTCTGTACCAAATTTCATTAAAATGAGTTCTGTGGTTTAAGCGTGAAAGCGTAACAGACAGACAGACAGAGTTACTTTCGCATTTATAATATTAGTAGAGATTGCAACGATGATTTAGATCAGCTATTTAAGCGCTTTTTTTAAAGCTGTTGCATTTAAATTGTAAGACTAATTCGAGTAATCTTTCATAATATAGATATATTTAAATAACCACACTTGTATGCAATCATGTATAAACGCCATAATTTCGGTGCCATTAAAATTGAATCAGGCAGAGATTAAACAAATGAGGTTTTATATTTCACGAATATTTTAGTTGCCACGACTATAATATATAATTTTGCATATTTTAACCAACCACATATAGGGTTGCCACCCACGACTAATCAACTAATATCATTAACCATCAATTACTCACACATTAATCTGTATTTGGCGTCCCTAATGACGTATATAATTGCTTTAAACAATATTGCAATACCATTCACATGACAACAAAGAAACATAAATACTTATACTTAGGAAATAATAATTATTATGAATTATTTATTATTAAAAAAATTATCTTGAATCGTGACAAATATTTATATGATTTTTTTGTTTAATATGGAATAAATACAGCCATATTAATCACAAGAGGCCAGTCTGAACGACATTTCCTTCATAAAGCAGGCTATATTTAAGTCCCATTACATTATAAGTGCGTTTTATTACTTTTGTAATTGTTCGTACGCCATGACACACGTAATGATGCTTTCGCGTGTGCAGTTTTACATAATTTAGAAAAAAATATAAAAAAAACCTATCATTATATTAATATAAAAACAAAGAAAAAAATCAAAAAAGTTTGTATTATTTTTTTTTTATTTTTATCAATAACCAAGCGACGGTTTTCATCATACAGCCAAACTATATTTTTTTAATTCAAATAATATTAATAGAAGTGTTAATATGCACGTACACCAAGATTTATTAGGACGTAACATGTATTATCTGTGACCCGGCCGTCACCGTTTTCATAAACTCTTCGTTTTATTACATAGATAACTTCATTGACGTTCGTTTGCTTATCTTTCTTTATCTTGCTTTTTATTAATTGGTCGTGTTTATAGTTACGAGACAATGTTGCCATACAGATTTATTTCAACTGTTAAGAACTTTTTAGAAAGAACCTCTTTATCATTGGCTGTATGTATTAAGTACAATTTAATTTAATATATTATGTAAAGGTTGATATTAGTCTAAACAATTTTATTTTAGTATAAATCACTTAATAATTACCCGACTATATTGAATTAAAGAGATGCTAATCGTATAATTAATGTATTATAATATAACACCTATATCAATTTCTTTAATAAACACACACACACACACACACACACACACACACACGCACGCACGCACGCACCTCTATAACTCGTAATACAAGTTATTCTAATGTATTTTATATGTGTACAGTGTTCCTTAATTTAAATGTTCTATCTAACATTAATTTTAATAATATAAAACTCAATAAAAATTCCACTCGATCCTATTTCTAAACGTATCTGAACAACCATTAGCCATGTTATAATCTGTGCAAACAGTAACTACATTTAACAAGCCGGGACTCAATAATTAATCATAAATTTTACTAAACGTAAATCAACTACCGAACGTTTCAAAATGGCTGACCGTTTCAAACTAACATAAATAGTTTAATTTAAGACTCAGTAACAACAAACTTGTATCAGATTACACCCAATTATATCCAATTCAATCCTTTTAGACGATTCTAAAGAAACATCTCGTAACAAACGCGGTCATTAAGAAAAAAGGCGCGTAAAAGATTTTACGCTACCGGCATAGAGTATACAAATAGTGATGTGCTAATGTCGACAGAACCGACGATACTTTGACAGCTTGACATTTCAATATATAAGTATTTACAAATAATTCATACCTTATATAATGAACATTAATGGAACAAATTTTATAACTTAATTAACATTTATATTTTATTACTTCTATACAGGGTGACTGGTGAATTACTATCAATATTTAAGGAGCATACTCGGTACATGATTCTCATTCGAATTATGTAAAAAAAATAGGTACTTAATTTTTGACCAAATTTCCGTATAAATAAATAAAGTGTTGACATGTTCCAAGTGTTCCAAGCGTGGACGCGTGCGGCGGCGTGCTGATACAACACCACGCACCGCTCGCGCGTGTGTGTGTGTGAGTGTATACCTAATCTGTAGGGTGTTCACACGATGCGTAATTAATTACATAACTTTTGGTTAACTTTACTTAGAAGTTTATTAATATTTATGTTATATTAATTTTTATTTTGTCATATATGATCGTCAAATATCACGTCCTCAAATATCGATAGTAATTCACCAGTCACCCTGTATATACCAAAGCAGATAAATAAGTCTCATTATAAAATCATTACTCACTATTGTCTTTACGTGTTAATTTAAATTTATAGTTTATTCTATCGTGAGCGGTACAACACTAATAAATAATCAAATTTCTAACAATGGCGTCTGATAATCGGGCGTTCCTACCAACAAAAGTCCTTTGTCAAACGTCACTCCAGTTTTTCGTGACAATTCATATAATATTCGTTTATTGTTACTTCTTGGTATATTTTTTATGACAATTATAATATAAAAGACTTTAATCCGGTTCGATTAAAAGTATCCTAACTGCGCGGGGTTCATAAAAATAATATTTGCAGAGCGGCAATTGAATTGAAGGGTCCATATTATTTGTCGAATAATATTATGTTTTTTCTGTTGACATTGATAATGGCGAAAAGGGGAACAGTAGTAACAAGTATGAGGGGCGTTTGACACTTAATAACATATTATATAAAAAATATACATATATATATACAGGGTGACTGGTGAATTACTATCGATACTTGAGGACGTGATATTTGACGATCATATATGACAAAATAAAAATTAATATAACATAAATATTAATAAACTTCTAAGTAAAGTTAACCAAAAGTTATTTAATTAATTACGCATCGTGTGAACACCCTACAGATTAGGTATACACACACACACACGCGTGCGGCGGCGTGGTGTTATAGTAATTCACCAGTCACCCTGTATATATATGTACATTATATATGATTGTACTATGTAAAATAATTACATATAAATATGTGTTTATTCAATAAAATATTATTATCATTTATAATTACGACTAATGAAGCGATATCAACATTGTATGAGGTTATCTGTGTAATTACGAAATGGAAGTAAGGTCGGAGGTGGGGGGCGGAGATAATGAATCAAAATAACTTTTTAATAAGACATTAAGACGACTATGTTGTCAAATCATAACATAAATACTTTTTGCTTTAAACAATCTCGTATTATGTTTCTTATAGATAAAATAATTAGTTCATAACATTTCATATATATACAAAACAACGCAACAAATATTAAGTGTTTTTACCCTCGTAAGAAAAGGAAATATCTCTATTATATATATAACAAATAAATTTAAATCGTTTGAATAATAAACGTTTTTATGCAAAAAACAAATGATTGTAAATCAACTTTGATATACGACCTGCATAGCTAAATAATTTATTCAATAAAATCATTTTTATTTGAACTAAATAACTCATAGTTGCCAACCGTATAAAAAAAGAATCAATTACACCTGATACAATGTTACCAACATTATATGTATATTGCAAACAACTAAAAAACATATGTACGAATATAATGAATAAAAATTAAACATTCTTACATCGTATAACAAATTAATATTAATACTCTTCTTCTACCTGGCAATTTCGCAGCTTTAGCCAGGGTCTGCCTTACATTTTGAGTAGTTTTGGCTAATTGTTTTTACGACCGGCCGCCGTAGACATCAACCCTCTTTGGGAATGCATTAATTTTGAAAATATTAATACTGACTAATAGTAACAGATTTGTATTTAAGTAATCTATATACATATATAATTTTTGGTATACTATTATTAAATATTAAACTAATTTTTGTCCGCGATTTCGTCGGCGTGAATTCCGGCATTAGTAATATACCTATGTAGCTATGGCTGACCGGGCAAATTCTATTCCTTCTTAGAGGCCGTAAAGAAAAAGATTTATTAAGTTTTTTCACTTTCGATAGACAGAATTATATATTCTATGTCCGTCTTTTTGTTCTAATCTATCTCTCCACTAATTTTCAACCATATATCTACAGCCGTTCTTGAGTTATAAATAGTGTAACTAACACGACTTTCTTTTATATATATTAAATTAAAGCGTGGCCTAAATATTATTGAATATAAAATAACCAATAATATAAACGAAAAGTAAATGACAAAGTTTGGTTTAACGCCAAGTTTTATCTTAATGGCGACAAGTATGATAAGCTACCATTTATAAAAATAAAAAAAATATGTAATATTGAAATAACCGTTTTTTACTTACGGTACATTTACCAAAATAACATTTTTTTACTATTTTTATCTGTCTGTTCGTTCCGGCTAACCTCTGAAATGGCTGGACCGATTTTGATGGGACTTTTACTGACAGGTAGCTGATGTTATAAGAAGTAACTTAGGCTACTTTTTATCCCGATCCCGAAATTAGGTATCACGCGCGAGTGGGATTCAGGACGCACGCGGCGCTTAAAAGGTTTTTCTGTGTTTATATTTTCTTTTTTTAGGCAGACGAAGTCGCGAGTAACAACTAGTTTAAAATAACATGACTTAGATTTGACACACGGAAATGTCTGAAGTTATGGCTTATGTTAATAAAAAAATCTACATACATTTACGTATATATATAAAATAATATCTAAATTGCATTCAAGCATTTATAATATTTACCATAGATATGAATTTTTTTATGAAAATCAAACAATATTACCTTATTTTAATTAGGTATTGGTATAAAATTTTGTATTGAATCCGACGTAATAATTACTTAGCGCTAACCGCGTGCATATTTATACAAGATTTCGTTTAATACAATATGTTTTAGTACAAAATAAATTAATCTGACCATCAATATATTATACACACTTTAAAATGAATGGAAGATCGTGTGAATGTGTGAACGTGTGAACGAACGAATGAATAAATAATGAAGTTCATAATTTTAACACTAACCGGATCAAATAATATATTTAGGTTTGATAAATATTGCGTAATATTTAAGTATTATTAAATATTGTATTAAAAATTAAAATACTATGAGTAAACTTTAATATAATTAATGTATTAAAAAATAAGGTTATTTTATTTTTCCGCTAAAAAAGCAAACTAGTAGGGCATGTAATTTTTTATAGTTATAGAGATAAAATTATAATTTTTATTTGTAAATGAAAAAAATGAAGTTAATTAATATTCTTGTACTATACTTTTCTATTTTAATAGAGTAATATTTTATAAAAACTTTATAGAAAATGTAAATATATATACATATATTAATGCCACTATCTAGTATCATTCTATCAAATTATTTATTTATAATATCATAGAGATGTTCGACATAAAAGCACAGTATAATTTATAGGGATACACATAACGCTATTTATTTTTTATCACATTCACGTAGCAAGTATTAATGTCATGTGGATTATAGTTAAAGAAAATATTAATTTATTTCTACCGAAATATCTAAGAAATAATATAATTATGAAAGTATTTTCGTGTGTCATAATGAATCGGTTCATAACTTTAGCGACGGCGGGATGTCAAACGATTTACAAAAGTAGCTAATGTTACATCAAATATTTGTAAGATTCATTTAAGGATTCCAACAAGAAAAATGCACTCACCGCCGGGAAATCTGTGTGGGAATATCCTTCCGTGTCTATTGATGAGCCAGGGATAAAGCTGGTAGGACTCTCTTGGCACGGGGGCGGCGGGATGAGGAGGAGGATGGGGAGGGAGGGGGGCTCCAAAGCCTTGCTGCTGATGGGCCAAGGCAGCCGCTAGCGCAGCACCCTGGAAGTGCGCCAGAAACTGGTGGTGATGACTCTGAGCGTCCAAATACGGCAGTCTTTTCACTTCGGGAGATGGGAATACAGCGGGTAGCGCACTCGGCCGGAGTAAAGGTCGAGGTGATGGACTTCTTGGGGATGCGACCGGCGATGGAGATCCCGGGCTCGCTAGCGGCGGAGAGGACTGCTTGTTTCTCTCCGACCCGCCGACTATACTGTCAATACTGAATCCTATCTTCGGCTTAGACGGCACCGCCAGCACAGGGGTCGGTGCGAGAGGCATCATGCTTCCACTTCACAGTTCCGTGATCCCGGCACAGATCAGTAGCACATATCACAGACACTATACATCGTCGCGACGATACGTACGCCAGGGCGGCGCGCGGCCGAATGACCGGGCGCCCGAGACGCCTCACGGAGCGAACAAAAAAACCTCCACTGACACGGTACCTCGCGCCGCTATTGGCGCAGCATCGCCAATGGCTGTTCACTGACAGCTTAACGGAGCTTGCTGCACGCTTTCCACATACCTCATTGGTCTGCCTTCGTCGTGGGGTGGCATTTAGTTCCGCAGCCTTCCCATGGAGGCGGTTTCTTTTTGGAAGTTGTGCTTTTAAGACGACTAAATCTGGATGTACGTATATTTCACGATGTATCAAACATTCGCATGACTTCTCAATTAAATAGGTTTAAATCAATTAATGCTTGGATTGGGCAGGTCGTGGCTCATTTCTCTTTTTTGGTCCATCAGTCCGGTCGTGTGTATGTTCTTTAATTAACCCATGCTTTATCAGCTTAATGTTAACAGTTCTTCATGTATCGTGTGTAGTGTTATGTATGTATTAGCTGTTACAACCAACCTTCAGTATAAACGGCTGAGTGTTTTGTAAATAGTTTTGATTTGTATATATTTTTTATGATGTTTTTAATTAAAACTTTGTTTTAACGATGTTAGCTTAATTGATTTTTGTTTAATATTATTGATTGTGAGATTACCGAGTTTACGTTTTATTTCTTCCGTTAAACAATACTTGGTTAGAAGCAGTTTAATCGGATGAAATATTGTTGTTATTATATACGGAAATTTTTTCTATTAAATTAAATTAAATTTATATTTTATATAATATATAATTTTAAATATTTATCTCATCTAATGTAAGTATACTAAGTATTTAATAAAATTTTACATGAAAATGTTTTTGAAGAAAGACATTTGTATATTTCTAATTTGATATATGTAAATAAAAATATGTATAATCATAAATTGAATGTCTAAATTCATTAATATAATACAAATTAGTGAAATAATCATGGAAATGTCAAAAATAAATTGGTTATTTTAAACTAAATGGACATTATCAAATTCGCATATTTTTAATTGTCACTTAATCGTTTCATTGAGATAATAAATTTTCCATTACAATAGTGTTAAAAGAACAATATTCATATACACATATTTTCAATAAAATAAAATATCGGCATTGGAAAAATATTTCACGATTCCAGTGCTAAAGAAAGCATAGCATAAAAAATATACCTAGATATATAGTAAGATTCCTAACATTACGGTAAAAGGTACTCTAACATTAAAAAACCGAAAAAAAATCGGCAAAATCTAAAATTTATTTAATAATAAAAATAAATTCCCTTGTAAAAGTCTTAAATTATAAAGCCTATATAATTAAGTTTCCAAGTCGGTTATAAATCACCATAATATTTATTAAGAACAGTACTCTGATCTAGAAATCTTGGTTCATTTACATAAACAAGACCTCAGTAACTTTATCAATTACATTATTAATCATTATTAAAATAAACAATTTAATTTTATATCTGACATTACAGTTACCTTACCATTCGTGTAAACTTTATTTACGGAGTTTTTCGCGTTTTTCATACAAAAAATCTTTACATATTACTAGCTCCGGCCGCAGCTTCGCCCGCGTGGAGTTCGGTTATATAGCGTTTCCAAGAGAACCTTTCAAAAGTCTGGGAAAAAAACTATCCTATGTCCTTTCTCGAGGTCAACTCCATCTCTGTACCAAATTTCATTAAAATCAGTTCAGTGGTTTAGGCGTGAAAGCATTTATAATATTAGTAGGGATTGATAGATAAACTTCAAACTAATTTTAAACCAATAGGTATTTATAAATAAAGAAATTCATTCTCGTATTTGTTACTATAACATAATATACTATTTATTTATTTTTTTATATTTTTATATGTAGGTATATATAAAAATTCTTTTTTAATAATGAACATAAAGATATATTTATAAAATATTTCAATATATTCTACTTGATTGTTGAATTGCAGTATGAGTGATTCATAATTTATACAGTAGTATAAGTTATGTTTAATTTAATATTCATTCATATTTAATTCATTTAAGTATTATAAATTACATACAATTAAGAATACATATTATATAAACAAACAAATTAATTTTATAATTCTGTACTTAGTAATTTTTCTACTATTTTCACAATTATGGCGCGTAAATACTAAAAAATAACGAAAATCAATTGCAATTTGCATATTTTTTTGCTTAAATGTTTTGTGAAAGAAATTTTAATGATAACTACTCAGAGAATATATATTTAAGCGTTTTTTAGTTAATTTCAATAAATATATGAAAACCTAATAAAAAAATTCTTCAGTCTTAAATTCTGATTATTATTTGAAAAGCATAATTACTTAATAATCAAAATAAGTAATGGATGGCTTAGTGAAATATTCTTTATTTTATAGGGACTTTATATAACTTCTTCTACCTGGCAATTTCCCAGCTATAGCCAGGGCCTGCCTAAAGGGACTTTATATTTAATCTGTATTAAACACACAATAAAATATATGTATGTATATACAAATAAAAAACAGTACATATCTATTTATTTATTGTCAATGTCAAAAGTTCTCTGTATATATTTGGATGTATCATGTATTTATATAATATAATTTCTTTAACCAAACCTAATTAAACATTTTTTCAAAGGAAATTCACCTAAATGTAAGCTCTTAATACTTATAATAGAACTAGCTTTCCGCCCGCAGCTTCGCCCGCGTTAAGTTCGGTTAGCAAAACCTTTCGCAAGAGAACCTTTCAAAAGTCTGTGATAAAAACTATCCTATGTTCTTTCTCAAGGTCAACTCTATGTCTGTACCAAATTTCATTAAAATCAATTCAGTGGTTTAGGCGTGAAAGCGTAACAAACAGACAGTCAGAGTTACTTTTAATAATATTAGTAGGGATTTATAATTTTTTAATCAAAAACTATAACAGTATTGAAAATTAAATTAGTCGGAATTTACTTATATTATTTAAAAGTTATGATTCCCGATGCTTAACTTTAAAACAACAAACCTCTTTTTAAAGATTATAAAACACCGTCCAAGATTACCGTTTCCGAACCGTTCAGAAATTTTAAAAACCCTAAAACCGTTAGGCTTAAAATAAACGTTTGTTTAAAAAAAACGACTTAACGGATGTTTTAAACAATTGTATTATACGGTTGATGTGATTTGTCCGCTATTATTTAAAAGATTATAATAAAAAGATCTTTTAAACAATATAAATGGGGATTTTTTAATTAAAAAGTATGGAGATTTGAAATAAGTCTTATAATAAACTTAGATACATTCATACACAGCTTTTTATTAACTTTGTTAAAATAATAATAATTAAATTAAAATAAATAAGTTTTATAGAAAAAATAGTCCTTTTAACTTTGAGTCTTAAGGTCAAAGTATTTAAAATCTATTTATATTTTTCGTATCAAATGTTTGCCTTAAAGTAATAAGTGTTAATTTTTATTATATATTATTTATTAATAAGAAAAATAGAATTAATATTATGAAATACAAAAAAAAATACATATATATGACCTAGCTTTAGATTTTTAAAATATAAAATAAATTCAATCCATATTTGTTATATTACTGTTAAAATAAGACAGTTAATGTACATACTATATTTCTAAAATACCTACATCTGTTTTTACAAAATGTTAAATGAATTTTATAATTCGTTAAACAAAAAACTTATTTATATCTTCAATATTAAGTTTTTTTAATAATAATTATATTCCAGAATTTGCAAAACCATTTTGTATCGATGAAGATTTAATTCTAAGTTTTCTTTTTCAATTTAATCCTAGCATCCTATGTCCCACATACCTTTAATTATAGACATATACGAATAACTATTTATTGTTTTCATTTCATATTAAAATCCTCAAAATATTAAGTCGTTTATACAGTATAAGTAGGTAAATAAAATTCTTTATTTATCAGAGTACGTATAATGAAGTCAAAAACATTAATTACGAACTTAAAATTGCTCGCGTTTAATGTGTCGCACCGGACCAGCTAGGGATGGGAACTATATCGATTGTATTGAGAATTATCGATATTTAATTGTCATAACGATTTCACAATAACCTTACTTTATTTAACGTAGTTTTATGTAAAAAAAAAACAGTGTTTACTTGATTATAGAAAATAAAGCTAACAAAACATTGAAATTATTTCATTTATTTTTATTAAATTCATTTTAAATAATAACTTGACAATTTATTAACTTAAATTTGTCAATCATACCTGATAACCCAGCTTTGTTTGTGACACAAATTAAAAAAAAATAGATATGAATTAATCATAGTATTTAAGATATAGCAATAGTGTTATAGAAATCTTTGAGTTAGTTAGTGAAAATAAGTTTCAGTACCTACTTCTGCAAATATACGAATAAATATTTAACACAATACGGAATAAATAGGAAAAATAGTAGGAGAATTAACTTGAAAATATGCTAAATTTTATTTTACCTACGAATTTAACTTAACAAGCGTTCGGATCATACTAAAGCTTAAAAACTTTCGCGAGTATTCATTTAAATGGAACTAATATTTTCGGATTACTACTCGTATTTCATAACTATCGATATTATATTATTATCGATATGATCCCATCACTTTAAGGAATCAATCATAAAATTGTCGCGGTACAATAACAGCTTGTGTGGGCGACGCGGGCGGTCCGGGCCATACAACACGACGCTAAATACTGTGAGAAAAATAACATACACGGAAACTATACGAAAATATAACAATACCTACTAATATTATAAATGCGAAAGTTACTCTGTCTGTCTGTTAGGCTTTCACGCTTAAACCACTGAACTGATTTTAATGAAATTATGTACAGAGACAGAGTTGACCTTGAGAATGGACATAGGATAGTTTTTATCCCAGACTTTTGGAAGGTTCTCTTGGAAACGCTATATAACCGAACTCCACGCGAGCGAAGCTGCGGCCGGAAAGCTAGTAATATATATAGGGATAAAAATATTAATATATTGATAGAATATATGGAAAATTCGTTTGAAAAACAAGTGTAAAAAGACGAAGATATAATTCGTTTGTAAGACTTGTCCTTAGTTCAAAATATTGCTCTGTACCTAAATTTGCTTAGTCGAAGTTTGCACTACTAAGGAAAGGTTTACCCGTTTCTTACTTAATAACCTACGTTAATACTACAATATGACAAGATAAATAAATGAAGAAATTTTAAACTTGTAAAAATATAGATGATATGTCTACTTAGCCGCGTTTTTGAATACTTTGTCAATTTGTACGTGCAAGGAAAGACACGGCACTGTACATGTATATGCTTATAAAAATAGATGTTGATTAAAACTATAGTAACTTTGTAATAAATGAAGATATCTATGTTCATTGGGAACTAGTGTAGTCATCATCATCATCCTATCAGAGCCCACTGCTGAGCAAGGCCTCTTTCTCACATGGAGAAGGTTTGAGCATTAATCACCACGCTTGCCCAAGACCGGTTGGTGATTTCAAACTTATAATTGTGAAACTATAAGTCCAGGTTTCCTCACGATGTTTTCCTTCATCTGTCAGTGGTGTCTAAATACTCTCAGAAAGTACATATGACTCGGAAACATCACATTGGTACTCGCCAGGATCGAACCCGCGCCCTCATGCTCGAGAGGCGCGTATATAACCACTAGTCCACCACTGACACATTACAGATGAAATTCATCAGTTTATCAGGCTTTTCGAATACTTTTTCAGTTTCCGTACGTGCAAGGAAAGACACGGCACTGAACATGTATATGCTTATAATAATAGTTGTTGATTAAAACTATAGTAACTTTGGATTAAATGTAGATATCTTTATATATTGGGAACTTGTTTATTAATAGAAATTAGAACATTTTATTGAAATATATTTATTCTATTGCTGTGATACATATACATATAGGGTATGTGTTTGTGTGTAAAGTATACTCATAAAACTATTTGTTTTTTATTCTCAATTTCATATCTTCAATATTAATTCCAAGGAAAATCCATATCCTAATTAATACAGTATTCGCAAATAGTGAGAACATTGATACATCACTATTTTGTCTGAAACTTATATTTTACACATATTTTAGACACATTACCACTGAATACTTATAAATATTTCTGAAATCTGAATTGAAAATACTGCTTATCTTTATATTTTAAAAAAGTCGTGTTAGTTACACTATTTATAACTCAAGAACGGCTGTATGGGTTTGACTCAAAATTGGAGGAGAAATAGCTTATAAGAAGAGGGACATAGGATACTTTTCATCAGATACAAAAAGAAAAAAAATAAGTTGATTAAATCCAAAATCTTCTTATCTGTCTTTAAGGAGGAGTAGAGCTCCCCCGGTCAGATATACATTTCTAATTCTGAAACTAACGAAGACAAAATCACGGACAAAAACTAGTTTTATATATCTAAGATAATCTCTTGAAGGGCTTTCATAAGAAGGCTTTCAAACTATTTTAACACTTCTATGAGAAAGAAAATATATTCAAAACATATAACTGTCATTTCATCTTATAAAATATATTGAAAAACACTTAATAATTTTTCATCTAATTAAATATAATAAACAAAATAATCACATATTAATACGATTGATGAAAAAAATAAAAAATAATATAAACTGTTTATAAAACATTTAGCTCAAGAACAAATCGTTATTTAACTTGACTAATTAGAATCGGCGCCATTAATACCATAGATAAGAGCGATGCATAAATAAATAGTGATGTGCTCATTATATCTAGATAAATTATTTTTATTATATAAAATATATATAATTAAAGTGCCTAGACTTTTTGTTACAATTCAAGTACAAAAAACTAGAATAGCACTAACAAACGTACACAACCATTAAGTAATATTTATAGCATTTTTCTATATATGTAACATCATAAATAACTATACTGAACGTTTTATGAAATAGACTTGTTAAAAAACAACAAATAATAGATTATCAAGCGTTTTATTATAATAAATGTTTTAATTGCATCCGTTCATTCACTGATGAATGACAACCAGTGAATGATGAATGATAACAATGAACTAATCATTAAAATTAAAAAACTGCTCCGAGCGAAAAGCTTTTAGGTTTGTGCGCCTAACTTCCTTGTTTATTAAATATTATTTATACTTATAATATTTTAAATTGATTTTTTTATCAAATTTTGTCTGTAAAAAGAAAAATCTTTGCATTCAAAATTAAAAAAAAAAAACATAATTTTCTCTTCGTTCTATATTTGAATGAATTCCAAATTCAAACCCACAGCCCTATACAGTTTGTTAATTTCTTTAATTACCCTACACCGGAGTCAGACCGTCAATTACAGTAAAAAACAACAAAACCTCGTAACAATCCACTATTTATTCTTAATAACGCAAACTGAGACGTAACTCAAACGTCCAAAGTACTCATTTACATTGATATATATACAGCTTTGGTATTTGTTTGACGTAAAATGTTTACAGAGCCTCCAGGCTGGAAATAAATTAAAAAAAAACATTACGTCCACAAACGAGGTTATATATATCCTACTAATATTATAAATGCGAAAGTAACTCTGTCTGTCTGTTACGCTTTCACGTTTAAACCACTGAACTGATTTTAATGAAATTTGGTACAGAGATATAATTGGCCTTGAGATAGAACATAGGATAGTTTTTATCCCAAACATTTAAAAAGTTCTCTTGGAAACGCGATATAACCGAACTAAACTAGTAGATAAAAAAAGTACTCAGTCCACGAAAGGAGGTTATATATTATAGATCAGGGCTGTCCAAACCATGGCCCGCGGGCCGCATGCGGCCCGCGGCTTGTTTGATTGCGGCCCGTAGAACCTTTTTTAACTGACTTCAAAAAAAGTTTCCAAAATTAACAAGCAAATTATTTTTCTCGCATCAAAATCGAATGTTTTGGGTATGTTCGATTACGCTGCTCACATCACTATTCACTCGAGAATTCGGGGAATTCCCCGAACGCAAGATACGTGTACCTACTACCGCGCATCGTTCATTGGGCATTTGTTTGTCACTTGTCATTCAACGCGACGAAAGTCTTGATTACGCAAGGTTACTCTCAGGTTAAAGACTTTAACATTATTTTAAAGTTTGTTCGCTTTGTGTTTGCGTATAAAAAACTTTTAACCTCATCATGTCTACAAAGAAGAGGAAGTTAAGTGAAGAAAAACGTTCATTCAATGAGAAATGGGAGTTAGACTACTTTATTTCCAACAATAACAATAAAATTCAGTGTTTGATTTGTATGCAAGTTTTATCTGTAAGTAAAGAATATAATGTTAAGCGACACTATACTTCTTTACATGAAGAAAAGTATAAAAAACATGTCGGTGAAGCAAGAAAAGTTATGGTGGCTGAGTACAAAAAAAAACTAATACAGCAAACAACTATGTTTTCAAAAGTAAGTACTGAAAATGAACAAAGCTTGGCTGCTTCATATGAAGTTTCATTACAATTAGCCAGAGCTAAAAAACCATTTAGTGATGGAGCTTTAATAAAAAAATGCGCAGTTGAAATGGCTAAACGCTTTATGCAGCCGAAATTAGCGGAAAAGTTTGAATCTGTTGCATTATCTCACCAAACGGTGGCGCGACGAATAGAGGACATGGGTAATTATATTACGAAAAGTTTATGTGATTACTTTGTAGATTGCGAATATTATTCAATATGTTTGGATGAAAGTACCCAACAGACCGATGTCAGTCAATTAATAATCTTCATACGTTGCATTTCCAAAGATTTTACAATCACGGAAGAAATGCTGGATTTAATACCATTTCATGGAACAACTAAAGGCAGTGATATATTTGAAGCAGTTAACAAAACTATTGTAGAATATGGAGGATTTCGTAAGTGTTCTTGTATTGTGACCGACGGGGCAAAAGCTATGACCGGAAAAGTGACAGGATTTGCGGGACTTCTAATACAAAATGGCATTGATTGCCCGTTGTTCCATTGTATCATACACCAAGAAGCCTTGTGTGGAAAATCGTTGCGTCAAATGAATGCTATGAAAGTTGTTATAAGGATAACCAATTTGATTAGAGGTGGAAACAGATCATTGACACATAGAAAATTTAGAGACTTCTTATGTGAAATCGATGCAAACTATGGAGATTTACTATTGCATTCAGAAATCAGATGGCTAAGTGCTGGCCAGTGCTTGCAACGCTTTTTTGCCTTACGAAAAGAAATACCTTTATTTCTAAAAAATGAGATATCGTCTGACACTTCTGAACTACAAGATAAAATGCGAGATCCTCAGTTTCTGGCTGATCTTGCGTTTTTAACTGATATGACGCAACATTTGAATGAGTTAAATTTAAAATTGCAAGGTAAAAACCACAATATAGCCAACCTGTATGGAAATGTGAATGGATTCAGAAATAAACTTAAATTGTTCAAGACGTCTCTACAACAAGATGATTTTTCTTTTTTTCCAAGTTGTAAAGAACATTATTTAGAGATGAAAAATTTTGAAGAATGTAATTTCTTGGACCACCTCAAATACTTTGACGAAATAATCGTAGAAATTTGAGCGGCGTTTCGCAGATTTTGAAAAAATTGAGAGTGATATAACACTCTTCACTCAACCATTAACAATCGCAGTTGAGACTGTAAACATTGATTATCAACTGGAACTGTGTGATCTGCAATCAGACCCCTTTTACAAGGGCAGAACAGAAACAGGCATTGATTTTTTTAAACTCCTCGCTGAACGTTTCCCGAAACTGACGAATTTCGGACAAAAAATGGGCTCGATGATGGGCAGTACCTACCTTTGTGAAAGTGCATATTCGACAATGAAGTTTATTAAGTCTAAATACAGGTCTTCATTGACAGATACTTCACTTAAGCATGCACTGCGCCTAGCTACTACTAATATTAATGTTGATATTGACAGAATTGTAAAAGACAAATTAACAAAACAGTAGGTAGGTTATCTACCTACTAAATAAAATAACAAATCATTATAAACTGTTTTTTATTTTTACAAATATTTTGCGGCCCACCAATGTATTTAGTATTTTTTATTGGCCCTGGGTCCCATCTAGTTTGGACACCCCTGTTATAGATAATAAAAATATGGTTATGAAAATTAAATATATTACGTACATATAAAAGTACAGATGAGTAGTAATTACGATAATAATTATATTGTCCAGCCCCGAGCTATTGGTATACAATAATAGAGCTAATAAAATATAATTAATTTGGCAACGTCACTGTGACATTTATCAGTGACATTTCGTTGAATTAAAATGTTTGTGTGTGTGTAATGACGTAATTATAGTGTTGTAGCCCATATTACTTTTTTATGACGGACAATTTAAATAGCGGTTTTTATATTGTTTAAGCAATGTGGGTAATTAAGGATACCTTTTTAAAGACCTATACGAATGACAATATAATTTTTGTAATGAAACTATTTCATATTATGTAATAACTAATAGGTATGTGATTTAATAATAATTTTAAACACTTGATGTTTAAAAATAAATATCTTTCTAAATATATCCAAAGATTAACGTAAGTTATGACGATTTTAAATTTTGGACGAAAGATTGGCATCGTTAGGCTAAAACAAATATTTTCAGGTTTTTAAAATACAAAATTTCGACACGTCTGAAATATCGGTGCTTCTACAAGAAGTAAAGGCTCTTCTTTCAGGAAATTACTGCAAATAAGAATCGATAGTTTGAAATTATATTATATACATATATAATGTGTATATAATATAAATTATAATATGTATATGTTGCTTCTGGTTATTTAAGACACATGTCTGTAGTCATGACAATTAATATATGTATATTAGTAAAGCCTGGTTACCTCTTATACAGGGTGACTGGTGAATTACTATCAATATTTAAGGAGCATACTCGGTACATGATTCTCATTCGAATTATGTAAAAAAAAATAGGTACTTAATTTTTGACCAAATTTCCGTATAAATAAATGAAGTGTGTACACGTTCCAAGTGTTCCAAGTGTGGACGCATGCGGCGGCATGCTGATACGCCGGCGCACGTGTGTGTGTGTGTGTGTGTGTGTACACCTAATCTGTAGGGTGTTCACACGATGCGTAATTAATTACATAACTTTTGGTTAACTTTACTTAGAAGTTTATTAATATTTATGTTATATTAATTTTTATTTTGTCATATATGGTCGTCAAATATCACGTCCTCAAGTATCGATAGTAATTCACCAGTCGCCCTATATAGTTATATACCAATTCTATAATTTCAATAGAAATTAGAAATCGACATTGTTTAAACTACTAATAAGTATCCATTTATCGCAAAGTTATGTTAAAAATAACTGACCTTTTTAAATATCATTTTCATATAAAATGATACATTTATTCTGTGAAAATATAAAAAAAACATGTGTATTATATACAGTTTTCACAAAACAAAGTTACCATTATGTAAAACAATATAAGAAGGTATAATAATGTATTTAAATTTTGTGTCAATTGGCTTTACGCCGATGACGAAAAAGTAATGACAGAATTTTTTTGACATATAATCAGTCTAAATTATTTAAGTTGGTCCTTAAGATTTTTTGGCAAAGATTATTATAATTTGCTTTTACAACATGCGTTACATTAAAGAATTAAATCAAAATAGCTTTACCAATTTATATATACCTTACCTTAAGTAATCTATGATGGGATACATGTGTAAAACATAAACAGAAAAATGTCCTATTTTTTTATATTTTTATACATAAACCCACCCCAAAATGTTAAATGGTAGTTAAATTATAATATGGGAACAATTCAGTATATTCAGTTTAATTCTTTATCACAATCTTTTTGATGTATAACCTCTTTGCATCTAACAATAATCGCTTGATCAGATAAAAAAACAATAGGCCAAAATGTCCGACACCTTTTTGAGAATACGGCGGTTAAAATTTACTTTTTATTTAAATAAATGACTATAAGTACTACATTGATACAATTTTAGTTTCATTTTTAGTATAAGTTAATATAATTAAACAGGGTTCGATCCTGGCCCTGGCAAGTACCAATGTGATTTTTCCGAGTCATATGTACTTCTAAGAGTATTTAGACAACAGTGACAGACGGTGAAGGAAAACATCGTGAGGAAACCTGGACTTATAATTTCACAATTATAAGTTTGAAATCATCTACCCCTCTTGAATAAGCGTGGTGATTAATGCTCAAACCTTCTCCATGTGAGAAGAGGTCTTTGCTCAGCAGTGGACTCTGATAGGCTGATGACGAAAAATAATTAAATTGCCTTAGATACTTGTTCCCTAACTAATAAATAGTATTGATGATGGAGTTGCGGTCATCAGCTAGTACCTACGTGATAAACTTGTTTAATAATTCTACACTTATACAATAGTGCATAAAGGCGATAAAAGTTTTAAATGAAAAGTATAGTCCCATCTTAAGAAAAACTGTATTTAGCACAATTTTAGTATGGATATATCATCTTCTATTGCTACAAAGTCCCTTACAAGTTACACAGATTGTAATTACAATCCTTCATCGAATGCTGACTCGATAAACAGTTAAAGGTGAATTTGTAGAATATTATGAATTATGCAATGGAAATAAATAAAATAATATTTCGATATAAATTAAACTTTTAATTAACACGTGCATTACAATCAGAACATTTGAACAAAGAGATTTTTTCCTTTAGAGTCATAGACAAAACTGACTTAACAGCATACATAGTTTATAGACTATAGTTTGCGTTCCATTTAAACGGAATTCAAGGCATTGTTTCCTTACCCACCATCCGATTTAATTCAAACAATCAAAAACGCCCTGTGAGAAACCTCTCCAGTGGAATCTTAGAATCTGCAGATGACGAATATCTTTACTTTGATGTCAGGAAGAAGTGCTCCAAAAATCTCGTGTTATCAGGTACAACCCAAGAGAAGGTTATTTCTATTCCAGCATCCTTAGCAATTCCTAGCCCATACTATTATCATGAACACGAATTTGTCCATAAAAAAGAATCTACCTTCATTAGAGAATTAAAAAGTACAGTTGTGAAAGGATCTGTCAGTAAGACTAAGAGATTCTGATATTATTCCTCGACTTCTATACCTATTTAATACTATCTAAGTTTGCTATCTGACATCGTGTTTTCATATCAACACTATTTAACCAGTAGCTAAAGTGGAATAAATCCAACTCAACTTTATCTTTCAAATTATTGTCTTCGAAGTTATATCTATTCATTAAGAATGACTGAAAACAAACTTATGTTACATCATGAGACGGATCTATCACCGATCTTCAGAAAATTCTCTACATATAAGGATTAAGGTTCGACCGGGGGAGTACCACCCCTCACAGAAAATCGGAGTGAAGTAGTCGTAAATGACTGCGTTTCGTCCGTTGAGTGAGAGAGCCGGTTGTCCTTTCCTTTTTCCTACCCTTTCCTGCTCTTTCCCTTTTCCCATCCTTCCCTCTCCCTCTTCCCCAATCTTGGGTGGCAACTAAAATTTCTTTAAAGTTGCAAATTCTTCTAGAGGCTGAACTCATGACGACCAGTGAAATTTTGGATTGGAAACTTTAAGAGCAACTCTTAGTGTAGGGATTTTATTACAGTAAGCTATTTGTATTATGGTGTCTTAGTTTGGCGCCAACTTCAAACTTATCAAGAAGTAAAACACACAATTAATACTATATCAATAATATTTAAGGTTTAAATCAAAATATCTTCCTGCGTTTTTATCTAATACGTTTTAAAATGGTTTATGTTTTCTCAAGTAATTATATACTTCAAACTTTTATAGTTTCTACTTAAGTTGCCTTAAGTTACGTGTGTGTATATTACAGATTTCAAATTAAATCATCGTTATAATGATTGTTAATTGTTTCATTAATAATAAAATGAGACATTTTAATCACTAAACAGGACAGATTATACAACGGGTCATTCATCCACTGTAGCGTGCTAACAGCCTATTTGCTAATACAAACTTAAGCTAATAGCAAACGTAGCGATTGTGTTTGTACAATTAATGTCTTCCTGCTGCGTGCTTCATGAATGTATATCCGAAAATTATTTGACTCCATAATTAAATGCAACGCTTGTTCTTTTACTACAGCGATAACAAACTTGATTTTGAATTGACTAGAATTATTTTTATTTTGAAATTAACAACTAAATCAGTACATTGTTGTCTTGAATAATATTGAGATACTGATAGCAAAATTAAGATTAAATCATAAAATATTTTAGCACTAGTGATGTTTATTTATATTGTTGACACTTAATATATGGATGCACCTTTTTAGAAAAATGAGATACGTCCACATGTTTAGTAGTTCTGGCTTTTAAGAAGGACAAAATTTGTTTTAAGTATTTCATTCATATATATTAAAACAACAAGTAAATAGGTATAATAAATGGGATATTGTTTTATATGATTTCAAATTTTATGACCAAAAATACATTAGCAATACTCTATAACATATTAAAAATTGTGTCTACTTTGCTTCACTAAAACGTATTATCAGCTGACAATTGATATGTCAAAATTACTTCACTTGTCCGTTCAGTTGTCATTACCGTCTAGTCATAATCGTCAGCTATGTGTATCTTTATCGAATTATGATAGTAAATAAATAGTTTTATTGCATTTTATATCAAAGATAATGAAATCTGATTTAAGTGATACGTGACCGTTTTAATGTACAGAGGCTTCAGTTTCATGGGTTACAGGATCAGCGGTTCAAAATGCCTCACTGTATGCTTAGGTCTTACTTTTCTTATGGGCTGTTTTATAGCTTCGCTTCCTATCGTGCCTTCAGGTAAATTAAGGAATAAAAACATGTTAATACAAAGTTTCTTGCTGTAGGGAAGATTTTTAATTTAAGAGTTTAAAAAGATTGCTAATTATTTGTTAAGTGTATATAAGTCGAAAGTTTATGCATTTAAATAACGATATTAAAGTAAATCTGCTATAAATCTTGTACCTTATTGCAATACACTTAATTTGTAATATATAACAAACTATTGAAAATGCTAATTAAGTTGTTGTGACTCAAAACTTTCAAAAGAGAATGTCTTTAACTAAATTGTTATATTAATTTAACAGATCTGTGTTCTTTCTATTTCAGAATCAGCTAACCTTCAGGTATCAACATCAGAAAGTAAAAAATTGGCTATAATCGTCCCATTCAGAGACCGTTTTGAAGAGTTACTAGAATTTGTCCCCCACATGTATAAGTTTCTGAACAAACAGAAGATTCCGTTCCACATATTTGTTGTCCAACAGAAAGACAACAACAGATTTAATCGAGCATCACTAATTAATGTTGGTTTTATTTATACGAGGAACAACTATGAGTACATAGCGATGCATGATGTAGATTTGCTACCTCTAAACGATAAATTGAGCTATGCATATCCCAAAAATGGGCCTATCCACATTTCATCACCACAAACACACCCAAAGTATCACTACGATACTTTCATCGGTGGAATTTTGTTGATAAAACGAGAGGATTTCGAATTAGTCAACGGTTTATCAAATAATTATTGGGGTTGGGGTCTTGAAGATGATGAATTTTATGTAAGATTGAAAGATGCCGGACTTAAAGTGAGTCGTCCTGAAGGTATAACCACAGGTCCTGAAAATACCTTTAAGTAAGTAATAATACCATCCTAACTTATTCTTTTTATTTTATACTTTTTCTTCTCAAGTTTGTAACAAAATTAAATAATCAGAATTTCTATATTACCTACATAATTAGGTCTACCAAAATTAGTTAAATACACCAAAATAAGTTTCATAATATTCTGGTACTTATTTGCATCCTTCTGTATGAAAATGTTAATACCAAATCAAAAATCTAATTTGACTATCATTTAACAATATTTTTTCTCATTACAGGCACATCCATGACAAGTCTTATCGCAAACGAGACATGAGAAAATGCTATAACCAGCGTGAAGTGACTCGGAGACGAGATCGGAAAACCGGTGTTCATGATGTTGCATACAACTTACTTACTTCTCACAACGTATCCATAGATGCATTACCCATAACGGTGATTAATGTTGAATTAATATGCAACAAAGATCTTACACCCTGGTGCCAGTGCCCGGAACCTAAAGTGAAGAAAAACTAATGAATTTCTATTACCTTATTGAAAACCAGTTTTTTTTTATCAAAGCAATCATATATGACTAGTTTTTTTGTATTAAAAGACATATAGATACTTCTTAGTATAAATTATTTAGATTTTAAACATGTTTTATTTATCTATCAACTAGTTTTTTTTTAAATATGCCATATATTTAAAATTTATTATCTACACCAAATAAAGAAAAAAAAACTATTATAATTCAAAAAAGTTTATTTGTGAGGAAATTTATCAGTATAGATTATCACTTACAGAAGTTACAATTTAAACCCTAATGGTAAAATGTGTATAAATTACTAGTTCTATTTCAAAAAATATTCTAATTACATTTCATCTTTTCACTACTTATGGTGCATTGGGCATTTTTGTGCCTAATATATAATAAACTATGTAGTAGGTAAGTACATCATAAAATTGAGACTATATATAAAAATATATTAGTATTACATATATCATTAAGCATCCTAATTTCTAATTTAAAGTTATTAATGCGTTGACAAAGATTCGTTAGGAAAAGATTTTAAAAACAAAACAGAAATATAATAAAAAAAACAATAGATATATCGAAAGTAAAAATCCAAAATTAGTAACAATTAAATAATATGAATCTGAAAAACAATAAAACATAATTATATTACAAAATTATGACTTATAATTATCATTTTGCCTACAAATTTATAACTGATTTCATGTCATGTACTTGGTTTTAAAGTAATATACAGTAAAAGAAAACTGCTAGTACACGTATAATTGATTCAAGTTTTGCTATAAAATATGTTAATTATATAATAAAGGTGTTTGAATACTAATCTAACTAATTACAACCACAAATACAAGTATAGGTGTCTATAAAGATAAAAGGAATACGGAATGAAAACTAGCTAAATGCATGCCGCTATCACAATTACGTTCTGTTCCACACAACCGATACAATTCATGCAGAATTAAGTATTTTTTACTGAAATTCAGATATTTCAGTTCATATTTGAATCCGAAGTGTTTTCTGGAAGCTTCATAACTCACAACATCTATCACTTGGTTATCACATTCAGGATGGGTTCGAAACTAATTAATGCTTTAGTATTCTAGAATAATCCGAAATCCAAATTATTTAAATGTCATTGATCATAGACAATTTTTTTTTTGACGGCTAAATTATTTTTTCAATATTGAGCCATAGACAAGCAATGTTTTTATGGCGTCTATAGTTATTTTTATTCTTCATCTATGGAAGTTTATATTATTCTAGAAGATTATAGCACTATTGTTCTAATTGCGCGCGGTCGTCGTCTCGCGCGCAACACGTCAGCTACAACGGACAGCCTCCCTAAAAGAAACAACATATTATAAACTACACTACTAAGGGTTTTTAAGCCAAATATATGACATCCATGCTCCAGTAAAACGTCTATTATAGAGTAAAATTTAATTTATATATAAAAATTATGTAGACTTCTCGATAACCATCTACTTTCAGTAGATTAATTTAATGTATTAACTATAGATTAAAATATAATAAACTACTATACATGACATGCCTATATATTTAAGAAAGACAGACCTAATAAATAAAAAATATCAAATTTTCTACAAAATATTCATATCTAAATACATCTAACCAGGAATATCATTCTTATTAAAATAACAGAAAACAGAATCAATATTTTTTATTTAAAACGATATTCCTAGTTAAAATTTTTAGTTTCAAAAAAGGGTTAGATAGGGCAGTGGGGAAGAATCACATCACTTACAAGTTAAATCTAATACACTAGAATTACTTTACATACGAAAACACATTTAATAAACGGAAAACTAATGAAATATCTACAGCTATAATCAATTAATATATTTTTAAGCATTTATTCACATTTGCCATTACGAAAGATCCCAGTATTAAAAAATTCTTTATACCATGTTTTTTTTACGAAAAAAATATTCCTACGAAAATCAACGATCTTTTATTTAACGGCAAATATTATTTTCAATGGAAAGAGGTTTAATTAAACTAAAAATAATCGAGGAATAAAAATACAAGTTTTTGAAACAAAGATATTACGCAGAAATATGAGTTTTAACTGTAAAATTTGTAGTTGTAAATAAAATTTTAGTTGTTGCACAAAACTTGTTTCAATGGTATATATTGATTGGACATAAAAATATATGTATATTTTGAAATATTAATCTTAATTCACAATAACGAAGGGTCAGAACAGTTATTACGTTCTAGTAACAACTAAATTCAAACCACTTTTAATAGTTAATAGAGAAATGTGTCCGTTACCAATACTAACTAATTACGATTAAGTAAAGCCTCGATGGAATGGATGAAGGAGATTAATAAAATACAGATTTAAAAAATACTTTTATTTTCCATAGAAGCTTTACTTAAAACATGAACATATAAAATAAAACATTAATAACTACTCAACAGGAATAATTTAAGTACATAAAGTAATAAAAAAACAATTTGGCATCTGACATTTACATTCCCGCGATTTTTAGTTTTGACAGATGGAAGAATATAAATAGGAACTATTTGGAGTATAAATACAACAAAATACTTAAAATATTTTGTGTACGTATCCTTTGACTGTATATTGTGCAACATTGACAATAATTGGCATTTCACAAGTATCACAGAAATTTTACATAAACCCATTGAATGATCCGTATTTTTTTGTGTTTAGAAAGTTATCTAAGTATCGAAGTTTTGGAAGAACATTTTGTGCACGATAATTATATTATTATTTTACAATAATTAACATTTCACAATTTTGACTTTAAAAGTGTTCTATGTATATTTTTATTACATTATTTCAAACAAAGACTGGATAATTAAAAAAATTGAAAATTATTGTAATATTATTAAAATTATCCATTTCATTTAATCGAAAACCAAATACTATCGGAAAAATAATAAGTTATATAAAAATGACATACATGAATTCCAAAATATTTAAATCTAAACAGACAAATCACTACATTTGTATACAATTTTAAAATCAATTCAACATCTTAAAAACCAGATAATACATAGTCAAAAATTATTCTAAATCTAAACATTGAAATAAAAACAGTTTCTGGTCATAATTAAATATAAATATTCTTCATAAAAATATTATATAGTATATATATAGGTAATTTTTATGCTATGATTTCATTTGCAGAGGAATATAATAAGAATAATATATATATATTAATATTTGGCACAAGTCATGATACTTAACATTTCAAACAATAGCTTCAGTGTCACTTATAACGTGAATGCCATGTTTTGTGAGTATTAACTTAACAATATCATTACAACTCCTCGTCTTATAATTTTTAGTTTCCTTCATCTTGATGCTTTTCATTTTGTCACACAACTTACTTACCTCAGATTTACTTTTCTTAATATCATCAGATTTTAGTTTCCTTATAGTCGATGTGGAACATCGTTTCTTTTCTTTTGTTATATTGCTCTCGCTGACTCTACGTTGGTAAATATCGTTCTGATCCTTTGCCAGGTAACTATCGAGTGAGCTATATGTATCACTTACCTCATCTTCAATTCTATGCTGTTTCTTATCGCTGATAATTTTAACTGCTTTTCCTGGTATATAATTACTTGGTGCTTTTTCTATATATGCCATTTTTGGTTTCGGTCCTTGTTGTGGACTTACTGAATCGGTGTGTGGTGTTAGGAAGTTTGTTATTTTTCGTTTAACTGTTATAGTCTCATCTACTATAGATGGTTTATCTCTTATTGATATTAATATATTCTTGAAGCTGGCTTCCTCGGGAGAAGCCATTATTATATCTTGGGGTGACTTATCATAATTATCTATTAGGTCATTTAATATGTTATACTCACTGTTCCGTGCAGCATGAAAATAATTAATTGTTAGTAATGTTCAGTAATAAATTTTAAATACAATCACGAAATTTATAAAACTTTCAAAATCATAATAAATAACATTTATACAGGGTGACTGGTGAATTACTATCAATATTTAAGGAGGATACTCGGTACATGATTCTCATTCGAATTATGTAAAAAAAATAGGTACTTAATTTTTGACAAAATTTCCGTATAAATAAATAAAGTGTTGACACGTTCCAAGTGTTCCAAGCGTGGACGTGTGCGGCGGCGTGCTGATACAACACTACGCCGCCGCCGCGTCTGTGTGAGTGTGTAGTGTATACCTAATCTGTAGGGTGTTCATACGATGCGTAATTAATTACATAACTTTTGGTTAACTTTACTTAGAAGTTTATTAATATTTATGTTATATTAATTTTTATTTTGTCATATATGATCGTCACAAATCACGTCCTCAAATATCGATAGTAATTCACCAGTCACCCTGTATATAAAAACATGTTAGTATAAAATTTATTTATAATAAACAAGATTAAATAAAATATACTGATTAAACAAAAAAACCCTGAAAAAATATATAAAAAATATCTAAAATCTCTGAATATTCCACAAAAAAACTGTTCAATCATAAAAATAGCCCTAAATGCTCCAAAAAATATATCTATCTCTACTATTATTAATATTTAAACAGTCCCAATTCCCATTATAACAACACTCACGTAACAAAAGGTTCAGCTCCATATAAACAATTCTGTCTTATATAAGCCAGAACACTGTCTTCGGTCAAATACTTGGCACTCTCTCCGCGCCTCATCAACCTTCTCACTACAGTTGAGGAGACTTCATTCGCTATGTAGTTTGTTACTAGAGTAACATTTCTCTGAAATACATATGAATATCTTTATATATATAATTCTTCTGTGAGTATGTATGTCACTGAACTTCTCTCAAACGACTGGACCGATTTTGATGAAATTTTTTGTGTGTATTCAAGGGGATCTCGGAATGGTTTAGATTCACAATTCTGTCCGCTGGACAATGTTTTTTAAATTAATTTTTAATTTATTAGTAGTTGTTGATACAGATGTTTTTTTTTTGTACATTAGATTTGACAACTATCTAATATGTTAATCATTCTGTCGCACTTCAAAACACGTAGATTTATGGCTTTAATAGGTAAACTCCAAAAATATAAATAAAAAAACGTAACAGATATTTCATAATTATAGATCTTCATGTGACGTCACTGAGATATTTAAAGATATAGTTCAAAAGTAATACATATTCGTTGGCAAATTCATAGTTATGTTTTTATATGAAATTATTATGTGCCTTAGTATATTGGGAAGATTTATGGACTTATGTAAGCAATTTTGAAAGTTAATAACTAAAATACATGGCTACATTTTTTGGAGAGTAAAGGAGTATGTTGTTAAAATTGTTCTATGAGACGAAATTTCTCATCATTCAATATATTCACGGTGCGTGTGTCGGGTCCATCGTTGTAGTGAGAGGAGCTTCAACAGTGACTGTGACTTGTGACCCAGATGTAGGTTTAAGGGGACCCTATCTAACGCACGTTATACGCTCACCTACACCGTAAAAGCTCCTCTCTCTACCAAATTTGAAATGAACCTACTAAGGCTGCCATCGAAGTACGTTTCAAGAATTAAGTGATATTGGTTCTAGAAAAGTTAAAGTAGTTTAGTAGGTTGTAGAGAAATTTGGATGTTATAATAAATATTAAGTATTAACGCTTCGAATATCGTTATTAGCATCTATACTGCGGTATATGGTTGAGAAAACTCAATACAAATTTTCTCAAGAGACAAAAAAGTTTAAAAATCTTTTTCTGATAGTCATTCCTATTGCAGAAGGATTCCATACGGTAGAAATATCGCACCTAGAGAAGCGCACATCCCATCTTTGGTAGAATATGGTCGTGGGTCATGACTAGTATTAGCCATATTTAGGAAAGGGAATGGAAATGATGTTCAATAAATGGTGAGTCTACTGACTGGAAAGATTTGGAAAAATAGTTGGCACTAGAGAGAATCCTACCGTTCGTGTAGAAGACAACGTCTTTACGTAGTCTCAAGGCCTAAACCACCAGCATTAAAATAAAACTATGGTTTATGGATTCACTTTTATGAAGTTTCGATTACCTACTATATAGCATCCAACCGTGATTACGCAGACACTCATATTATCTAGAAGCATCTGGTACAAAGTAATTCATTAATGATTTTTTTATATATACTGATATATTGAATATGTACTGATGAAAAACTTAGATATAAGAGACATTTGATGGATCTAAAGTATAAGCTCAGAAGAAACACCTTGGATGAAGAAGATTTATTTCTATATGTACAACAAAAAGATAAAAATTTATAAATTATAATGGAAATAATCCATTTATAAACCCAAAAAAGTAAGGTAGGCTTTTGAGATATATTTTTTGTAATATGTTGTATCACCTAAAATTTAAACACATTATGCTAAGTTATTGCTAGTACTTGAGCATTAAAAGTAGTAAAATGTATATTAAAAATGACCGTTTTTAAATCCTATAATGTAATATTTTGTATGACCTAAAATTTAAACAGATTATGCCGAGTTATTGCCAGTACTTGAGGATTAAAAATAGTAAAATGTACATTAAAAATTACAGTTTTTAAATCCTTCAATGTATAAAATCAAATAAAAGCTCACCCTGTATTTATACAGCATGTCCGATTCATATATGAACTTCCCAGGGTCGCAACCCGCGCGACTAACGACAACCAAACCATGGCGACCAACGATAGCTTCCATCTGTAAAATATTATATAAGAAATTAATTAATTAATTATTAATTGGTAAAAAGACTAGAAGTATTTAAAATTATAAACCAATCGCTTTAAATAACTTCACTATTTAGTATATTTCATCTTTTTGTATAATTGCTATGCAGGAATAATTTACAAGTTAAATTTAGCTCAAAATATGGGGAGGGTAGTCATAACTACCAGTAAATGTACACATAAACAATTAATTTGATGACGCATAAAATTTTCATAGAATAAAATTAAATAAATAATCAATAAAAATCCATTAAAATAAAATCTTTTCTGCAGATTTTTCAAATATTACCAATATTTATTTTTTCGTACACATATCACATAATTATAATGCATACATTTTTTTGCAAGAGTTCTTTCCATTACTGTAACGTATATAACTAGTTTTTGCTTTCGACTTCGTTTGCGTTAGTTTCATAATTAGAAATGTATATCTGATCGGACGAACTCTATTCCTCCTTAAAGACAATAGATAAGAAGATTTTAGATTTAAACAACCTATTTTTTGTTTTCAATCGAATGAAAAGTATCCTATGTCCTTCCCCTTGTTCTAATCTATCTCTCCACTAATTTTCATCCAAACCCGTACAGCCGTTCTTGAGTTAGAAACAGTGTAATTAACTTTTTTATATATTTAAGATATATTATATGTATACTAAAAGTCAGTAGTGGCGTAATGGTTAGATGGCCCGCCTCTCGTTGCCGAGGGGCGGGTTCGATCCTGGCCCGGGCAAGTACCAATATGATTTTTCCGAGTCATATGTACTTTCTAAGACTATTTAGATATCACTGATTAATGATGGTTCCCAAAAGAGGGTTGATGTCAGGCAGGCGGCCGGTCGTAAAAACAACTAGCCAAAACTACTCACAACATAATATGTAAGGAAGACCCTGGCTATAGCCGGGAAATTGGCAGGTAGAAGAAGAAGATATATTATATGTATACTAACATCTTCTTCAGACCATAATCCAGGAGTGGCGAATGATTCTAACAGATCCGCTCCGCATAACAACTTCACCGTAACTTTATCCTCCATATTACCATTCATTCGTTCGTTCAATTTGTTCAAATCCCGCGGCTGAATGTTGTTTACATTCAACATGTCATCCGGCAACCAAGATGGCGGATTATCGTTGTTGCTTGTTAAATTGTTGTTTATGGTATCCTGAAGATTAAATAATATTATTATTACACTTATAATAGTAAGTACAATCATAATATAAAAAAAATTAATGCATTATTATTAAAGTTGTGGGTAGTTATACTAAAAAAGGCAAATAAGTATCACCTAAATACATATAAACATAACAAAATTATCGCTCACAAAAATGTGTTTACTTAATATTTATCAACTAAAATATAATTGATAATATTCTTAAAACAAAAAACTTACATGTCTTAGAGATATGACCAAAATGAGTAATTTTTGTTAATAAATAAACATTGCTTTAATTTTTTAACCTTTACTAATGCACTCAGAATATATTTAAACCGACCTTATCTTGATTGCATTGAAACTATAAAAAATACTTCAACTAGGTCATGCGAACCAAAAGGTGACTTCTGATTATAAGAATAATCTATTAACAGCTAATCTATTGACATTTATGAAACATATATATACATAAAAATTAAATATTCAAAGAATATTCTTTAATTATATAATTATTTTGGGAGAGATTTTTTAACTTAACTGCAATTTAAAGTCAAGTGAATTTGAAGGTAGTTGTGAATAATTTACATATGACTTTGAAAATCATAAAATTATGGCAAAATTCCGACTCAGACCAAATAAATTATAGTTGTTTCATGTTTCCTTTGCGGTTTGAAACTCAACCTTGACCGTATCGATCTTACACTGATGCACTTTATAGCACCAAGTTACAAAGGCTATTTCCATTAATTAACATTATATGGACATTTATATATATATAGGGAGCGCAATTTTCTGCTCTATTTATTATTACATACTTGTGGTTATCCACAAAGAAGATATTAGAATATTATCAGATGTATTTTAATAGTGTAGAGTAAATATGTGAATAAAAATTATTATAACATATTTATTGAGGATATATAATTATATATTACTTATATAGTGGAAATACGATGATGAGTTATTAAAGTTTTATTTTTATAGGAAATAATGATATTACTTTAAATTAAATTTCATATAAGCTGGATACAAACCAATGCTTTCTATGAGATTTATAAATTATTTTTATTGTTGTACCAAATATTAAATTTTTATTAATTCCTGATCAAACTTGTCTATTTTATAGCTATAGTTTTAAAGAAATTTCATTAAGCTAGCAACAATGATGAGATCTAAGACTTTCGCGAGGATTCATTTAAATGAAACTAATGTTTTCGAATTACTGCTCGTTATTCTATTACGGAACCGAAATCTCTTCTACCTGTGATCACAGTTGCTGCAAAATAACCGAAACGCCGGGAATATAAAAATGATAAAATAACACCTAGTAATCCGACAATATTACTTTCTTTTAACAACAATGAACGATGATGTTTAGTACCTAAGATATATTTGAAATTTTCCACAAACCTGATGATATTGTAAAGAAACCTTGGTTCTCGTCCAACCGGCCTGTTGAGTTTCCCATTCAGAAACCTTGATCCATCCTGACGAACGTAATGCCAGCTTCAGCATTGAGATTCTAGAATTACGTCATCATATCCTATTAATATTATAATTGCGAAAGTTTGTGTGTGAATGTTTGTTACTTCTTCACGCTCAAACGGCTGAAGCGATTTTGATAAAATTTTGTATACAGGAAGCTGACGTCCAGGAATAACACATAGGCTACTTTACATGCCGGAAATCCGCGGGTAACACCGCGGGGCGCAGCTAGTAATATTATAATTCTTAATAACCTATTTCTCTTATTATAATACATTTTTGGGCAGCAATTATCTAGAAACGCAGAATAATGTTGCAGATTTTTTTCTGACTACAGAATTCAGAGAAATATATTCCACAAGTAAGCTAATTAACAAAAGTTATAATAATGATATTTGATACGCCAACAGACGTTGGTGGAACAATATATTTGCATTTAAACTTTATAACGTGTCAGTTTGGGATATTTCTGTTCAAGGACATTTAAAATCGACGTCTTACAATAAAATATAACCAAAGATTTGTTACGTTTATGCTAGTAATTAGTATATAACATAACATAACTGTGATCCTACGAGTTAGCACCAACAAGCAAGTTTATAATATACATATACATTAAAGGTGATAATTTCATGTGAGAAAATTTATGAATGTAAAACTTAACAAGCTGAATGTTTTCATTCAACTTATTATATTGTTCTTTAAGTATAATAACATGAAATTCGAATAAGTTAAATTATCATCTATAAATATTTATTTATGTAAAGGTTTTTGTTCAAGAATTATTGTTTTTCCCAAAACATAAATATAAAGCAAGTAATTTTTTAATCTTTAAAACAAACTTCTTGTAAAACAACTAGCATTACAGAATGGAACTGAATGTACCAGTCAGTTCAACTTAATATTTGGAGGTTGATTTAATTTTGGTTAAGAGAAAATCTTAAAATTATTACTACTACAGTCTTATAATCTATTACCTGAATTGAACACATATGGTTAGCGAAAATACCTCTAATTCTCTCCTTCTAATTAGGTATTCACAATATTCATACATAAATTTAGAAAATATAGTACTATAAAAAATATTTTCATTTGGTAGCTATTAACAATTAAAATTTGTTAGTCACTCCATAGAAGAGAAATCATAGATGACTTAAATTAATCTATCACCTTTATTGTCGTTCATGAATGTAGAACATATTTTATGATTAACCACACTTTTATTAAACTATTTCTTAATCGTTAAATACTTTTCCTAACTTTCACATACACACAATATGTAAAACAACAACTATTGGATAATACTATGAAAAATTCAACGACATTAACCATTAGGGCACCAAAAGCAACTTAATATTGTCATGACTTTATTCAAAACATCTTAAGATAGAATAATAAGATATTCTAAGAATTGGTTATTTATAGGAGATCATGTAACTATCTTAAATTTTATGTAAAAACTTATAAATTAAAGCTTTCAGCTTGTTCAGTTTATCATTTCTAAATTTTCACACATGAAAGTATCAACCTATGTATATGAATAATAATAGAATAAAAAACTAATATCCTTAATAATAATATTAATATATATTTCAAACTAAATCATACCTGTGATTTGCAGCGACTAGATCCTTTTTGCCATATGCATCATGAACGGGTGAAACAATTCCACCTATTATTGTACCAAGGCCCAATGAGTGGATATAATCTTTTGCTATTTCTATGGAAAAAAGAAAACTTCTATAGTATTATCATAATATTTCTATTTTTATATAAAAAACATATATATTTATGTCTAATTTCTTGAATTATTCAAGTAATAAATGTTTATGTATGTACAGCAAGCAATATTGACTCATAGTATTAATAAATATGGAAAGCAAGTTCTTTCTTATATTTTTTATAATTAATATATATAATATGACTCAAAAAGAATGTTTAAAGATATAATAAAATAAAAACTCATCTTTGGTTATTTTTATGTTAAAAAAGACATAAAGATTCAAAATCACTTGTTCCCACACATTTGAAATTAAAATTACACATTATAGGATAGAATATTTTGCATTAAACTTGTTGATCAGATCCTTATTTATGTAATCAAAAAGTTTCCTAAAGGTCAACTGGAAATTTTGATTCTGTCATTAAAATTAACAGATGGTGGTATAAAAATACATTTACTAAAGTTATTTTAAAAGAATTTTTGGTAACAATATGTTAAGTATTTTATTAATTCCCAATACTATAAATATTATTCTAGATATTGCTATCGTATGTATACAAATAAAGATAGTGTAAAGTAAATAAAAAGATTGCAGTCAAGGTCTGGTTGCATATATTTGGAGTTTCATAACAAAGATATGTTTTATAGAATTATAAAATGGTTATTTATATTTATAGAACTTACCGAACATTCGTAAATGCATGTAAGTCGGCGGACTAAAGCTGCCGCAAGCCATCAACACGATTTTTCCTTGCGACATATTTCGTAGCAATAATACTACTTAAAGAATAATAACCTTTATATAATTACATCACTATATTCTATAATTATATAGAAATCACTCAAAAGGTCAAAGTCACGAATTCAAAACAAATCCAAAGAAATTTAATGGAAAATATTCTTTTCGCAAGGCAAAAAATTGATATTAAAACGACAGTACTTTTATTTTATTCTAAAAATTAAATTAATTGATTGTTTTTATTAATATTTTTAACGATTGTTGAAAATAAGCTATTAGTCAACATACGACGTACTAACAGGAGCGAGTAATGATTTTTAGTTGGAAATTGGAAAATACGAGACTCAAAAGTTGCCTACATCTATAATGTCAGAAATGACATTATATAGATTGACATTGACAATAATCAATTTAATTTTTAATGACCATATCTATAAATAATTAATAATTACGTGAAATTAGCGGAGATTACTAAATGGGGACCGTATAAGTAAATTTTTGTAATTTTATAAATAAAATATTATTATTTTATATCGAAATTTGTCAATTGAATTAAAAATATTTTTAGTCTGTGCTAGAGACGCTGTTTCGCGTTCCAGCCGCCATTTTTGCTGTTTAGCCATTGCATTTTGTCATTAATATTGATCGTGGTTATTTCCCACTTGCAAGTCGTGCTACTCGTTTGTTTAATACATAGTTTTGAGATATTCGTTGCTATATAGTTTTCTTTGTTGTGTAAAGTGCAATTACACACCGGTAAGTAATATCATTTTTGTTTTTCTACAGCCGATACCGGGCGGTCCCAACGTAAGCATTCTGATGCATTATTACTGCAGTAATCACATTACTTAAGTGATTCAATTACTAAATCAGTAATATTTATAGTAAAAAATGGTTTTATATATATATATTATGTTCATAGGTTGTAAACTATTGAAATTATTGTTAACATATCTTGAACATATTTAACCTGAGACCTATTGTTACGATTATATTTATCGTTACAATAAGTTAAATCTGTTTTGTATTAATTAGTAACGTTACCTTTAATATAAATGACGACCGATTATACTATTTTATAAACAATTATTATAATATAGTTTGCTGGTGTACATTTAGAGTATTATTTATTATATTTCTATGTAAATTTTCATAATCTTCACAAATAAACTGGTTATGCAAATAATATTACCTTAAAAATCTCCACCCTGCAGCTCCTCATAAAACCTTTAATTTTTTGATTCAAATTTGCATGTTCTTATACATACATTTTATAAAATATACTTTTATTTTTTACTAATTTTACCTTTATTAATCTAATGATAAAAAGAACAACTCGTTTTACATTTTGTTTAAACAATATTTCTTTAACTATTTCTTCTCGTGTACCATGTTGTAAAAAGTATTAAAAATATATCGAAACAAGTACAGTCAATCTGGGTAACTTTGACAGATAAGGGTGATATTTTATACTATATTTAAAAAAATTAAACCTATCACTCGGGTTTTTTTATTTTATCAGTGCTCTCGTATTACTTTCCGTCTCTAGACATTTACAGAAAGTTTATAAAACATACCAATATAGTATAAAATCTAAATTTTGTGTGTGTCAAAGTTACCCTCCTAAGATGGGTAACTTTGACACACACAGAGCCAAGCATAAAAATGTAGTTATAAGTATTATTTTTATCAATCTGGGTAACATTGGGGTATATATTTATTAACTAATGGATGCATGTGACACAATAAAACGAACATTTTGCAATTTTGTCTTATATTAAAAAAAAATATGAAGAATCAGTCTACAACATTTGGCAATGTTACACACATTGTTTAACACCATCAAAAACGCTTAAAAAACTCCTTTAATTTAATATTTTTATTCAAATTATAAAGAAAACAAGCAAAAATAATTTTAAGAAACAAAAATTTTGTAAAATCTTGAGCATAACTTGTCTATTCTCCCCACTCCATATAGAGCAAATCGTCAATAATACTTGTGTAGAGCCCAGGCTGCTTTATACTGATTTTACTGTTATCTACTGGAGATACAACATCATCTTAAATAATTTTAATAATTTCTCTTTTATCTGGCCATTTCCAACCACCTTGTGTTGATCTACTCATTACAACAAGTGTATAATACGGGAATGTGTAACTTGTCACTTTTCCTGGAAACAGTGTGCCTTCTGTTTTAAATATAATTGTTGTTCTAGGTGAAAACTCAATATATTTTGATGTGCATGTTGCAAAACTCAAACTTTAACAACAAATTCTTCAATCACCTCTTCTACCACCTCTTCCGCCACCATTTTAGTTTCTATGTAAGGGTAACTTTGACACTGTCAAAGTTACCCAGTTACTGTTCAAAATACGTATTTTCATATTTATGCATGAAATTTCAAAATAAGATTTAATTATATGCAATTTTTTCATGAAAATGCGGTAGTACACTCACAAATGGCTCTGTATAACATCTCACTTACCTTATCAACAACCAAAATCACAAAATATTCAAAAAGTTATTCACCCTAAAGTAAACTTAAATTCGCGCGATATATTCAGAAACGAAGTTATGATGTTTTTTTACTTTCACAACTTACTTTTTTTAAAAGTGCATTTAGGAAGCTTATTTAAAATCGCAAATCTAAAATAAACATATATGAATAATGTTGGTTTCATGCGAAAAAATAATCGAAACTAGTTCATGGTCCCACTGTCAAAGTTACCCGATGAATCAAAGTTACCCAGATTGACTGTAATGTTTAACATTTTAATTTTCATTTCAGATTGTTCAGTTGTTTTGAAATCAATTGATTTAAATATACTTAATAACTTTTACTTAAAATGAGAAATAAAGATATAAAATTTCTAATCATTAATTTTTGTGAATATAATTTAAACATTTATAGGTTAACTTCTATTTTAAATTTTACAGCCGTATGAATTATAGTTTCTTGAGTTCTTTTTAATCATTTTACACAAACAAGAAACATCTGATTGAAATATGCATATAATCATTAAATGACAACCAATTGATCATTTTATTTACAACCGATCCAAACAGCTTTGGGTATATTAACCCTTTAATATCTTAACTTGTTTTATTATATTATAGTGATATGACAGTAAAATATGAGAGAGGACACTGATTTCTGTAATACAGGTTTTGAGCCTAGCTCAGAAATCAGGGACCTCATTATACTTTGTAACTTTTTTTGTGAATAAAGATTATTATTATTATTCATAGAAAATGGCGAATCGCAGACCCCAAGGTAACGGCAGGCGTATGGATTTCGGTAGGAATGATCGCGGGAAGAATTTCCGTGGGGGAGTTTCCCCATGGCAGGGAGGAGGCCCGGGGGGTGATTTGCCAAATCTTCTGCCACTAGGCGGCGGGCCAACTGAAGCGACCCTGGCTTTGGCCAGCAACCTCATAAATCTACTCCAACCACGTCAAAACCCTGTCCCGTCATTACTAGACATGCCAATACGACGCGACTTCGGTCCTAACATGAACCGGTATGATCGTGGTTATGGACCGAACAGGGTGAGTGATATTATATTTAAAATGACATCATTTGTACCAAAAAATGTAAATTCGAACATGTTTTTGAATATAAAGATGTCTAATGCAACTAATACTTCCAGGAGTCAATACTTCATCCATTATCGTGTTTTATTCAACTAAATGTTAATATGTCTATAACATAACATTACAGGTCTTCAGAACTCTATAATAATTTCGTAGCAGTTTTTTCTTTACGGCCCATAGTGGCTTGTTCGTACTAACATATATAAATTCCCTTTAGATGGGCAATCAAGGTAATTTCCGGCGTTCGGGAAATTACAATCGAGCTGGTGAGCGTGTGCACAACAATCGTAAACCGTTCAGACCCAATGATGGGATCAGGCAACAAAACAAGAGCTCCCCGAAAAAGGATGCCGATTCAAAGGCAAAGCCTGTAAAGGAGAGGTAAGAAGGTATTTCCTTCCGGTGATCTCGCCGTATATTATCCCAATCTGCGTAAAAATACACGTTCACCAGGCAATCTGCCATATTGGCGTTAATTTTTTCCCATTCCGGGATAACGTTCAGAGCATCTATCCGAATAAACCTCTTCATCAACAGCTGCGCTGTTAAATGTTCTGTTGTCTTTATATTGTAACAACAGAAATTATGCATCCATTTCGAGACAACAAAAGCTCTGTTCGTTTCTATATCCGAAAAGTACTTCAGAACTTTCACATTTTTATGTATTCTAAATAATCCCACGGTAGTATTAATGGTGAATCTCGACTAAACCCTGCAAGGTGCGGTTGATTAATGAAGTTAGTTTTGTTTAGTGAGGAAAATAACCAAGAAGGCTCTGATAGACCGGAAAAGGAAGAAGATAAGAAGGAAGTTCCGAAAACACGTTATGATGACATCAACCCTCAATTACTGAAATGTCATATTTGTAACAAATCTATGTGGGATGGACGGTCATTTGAAAACCATCTAAGCGGTCGAGCCCACGCTATAATGATGCAGAAAACTGCGGAAAGCTACGCGCTAACAGCTGATACGATGCGCCAAGAATTTAAGGTAAATATTATTTATACTTAGTATAAAATTACTTTTCTATAACCCTTTACAGTCCTAATTAAAACTTCACTCTTTCTTATCCCATTAACATTAGCCATTTTTGATCGTATAGAGTAATAGAGTTTAAAATATTGTAGTATAACATATATATCCTTGTCACCTTGCATCATCCAATTCTTAGCTTTTCTAGTGTTTTTTTAACAAACCTAGGTTAATATAACATGCAAAGACATATCCATACCAACATTCCATAAATAAGGTTAATTACATCATACAAGCATAAAATTCATTAACAAAAATATATATATTTCAGATACGTGAAATGAAACGCACTCGGAAAACAGGTCAACAACCCCCTCGCGAATTCTACTGCGCTATGTGTGATATATACGCGGGGGATGGGGCCATACATCGCACGACCGTCGGACACCGGAAATTGAAGAAATACCTACATCCAACATGCACTTCCTGTCACAAAGAGATGCCAACACGTATTGAACTGGATGAACACAGACTGACGGCTGAGCACTTGAAGAATATGCAGGAGAAACAGGAGACTATATCTAAACCTAAGCCTGAAGGTGAATTACTGACACATATATATGTATACTAGCTTTCCGTCCGCAGTTTCGCCCGCGTGGAGTTCGGTGATATCGCGTTTCCAAGAGAACCTTTCAAGTCTGTGATAAAAACTATCCTATGTTCTTTCTCAAGGTCAACTCTATGTCTGTACCAAATTTTATTAATATCAGTTCAGTGGTTTAAGCGTGAAAGCGTAACAGACAGACAGACAGAGCTACTTTCGCATTTATAATATTAGTAGGGATATATTATGTTTCGGGCTGAATATATTATTAGTTTAATGTGATAAAAAAATATGTGTTAATGTTACCTCTATTAAAATAAAATTAATGAGAGAAAAAAGTAAAAGTTAGGTTTGAAAAAGACTGGCATTTGCTAATACCGAAAGTTATCTTCGGCTTTGAATTATATGGAAATTAATTGTCATATGTTGTATAAATACCAGTGAATAATTATTACTATCTGTAACTAATAAGTTGTAGATCATACTTTATATACACACAAAATATTGTTGGTACTGAATTATGACCTACAAGATTTTCTTAAATACATATTATTAATATTATTTTCCATTGAAGTTTAAACTGCTTATAATCTGATACTTTAAACTCATAATTTTAAAGAACATTTGTAAAGATGTTTATAAATACACATTCATATCATTAACATACATATATGTAATAGTATTTCTGTTAATATTTCAGTAATGGTGATATCAACTCTTAGTATGGAACAAACTTACTTGCGTGATGACCGTCAGCGTTGGAGACGCGAAAAACACGATCGCAAGGATGAGAAACAGGTTAAAGAAATATATATACTAGCTGCGCTCCGCGGTGTTACCCGCGGATTTCCGGGATGTAAAGTAGTCTATGAGTTATTCCTGGACGTCAGCTTCCTGTATACAAAATTTTATCAAAATCTGTTCAGCCGTTTGAGCGTAAAGAAGTAACAAACATACACACACACTCACAAACTTTCGCAATTATAATATCAGTAATAAAGACATTCAAATCATAATTAGTTTCTTATACTTTTGCTAATGGTTATCACACCTTATTTATTAGGCGTGAAATAACAAGACTGTTATTGCAAGAATCTGTTTAATTGAGTGTCTATTACAGTAGTGAGTAATATATAATTAAATGACATAGTATTTATACAAGTCACATACAATCATTATGTTATTGGTTCGGAGTCAATAAAAATGAAGTTTTCTCATTTAACATAATAATTAATCATTTTTTTCATATAACAATCAGGATGACGCCGATAAAGATGTTAAGAAGGATCAAGAAGGTGAAACGGATGGAGAAGTAAAACAAGAAGATAAAAAGGAAATAAACATCGACAATGAAAATACTGTTCTTGATTACAAGGAAGGAGATGAAATTACCAATGTAACACCCGATATGTTACCTGCTTACAGGTAAATATGAATAAAAAGTATTTTAATATTATACTAAACTAATGTTTGATTTTTTAAAGCAAGTTAATAGCATAGTATTCAAAACTATAGTATATAGTTTAAAAATATCATAGAAGTATATAAATTTTCAATTGAATTTACATAAATGTTCATTTTTATATCCTATTATACATCCCTACTAATATTATAAATGCGAAAGTAACTCTGTCTGTTACTCTTTCACGCCTGTTTAGGCGTGGTGGTTTCACTGAACTGATTTTAATGAAATTTGGTACAGACATAGAGTTGTCCTTGAGAAAGAACAGAATAGTTTTTATCCCAGACTTTTGAAAGGTTCTCTTGGAAACGCGATATAACCGAACTCCATGCGGGCGAAGCTGCGGGCGGAAAGCTAGTTGTATAATAAAACAAGGCAATGATTTTTAAATTATGCCTACACAAAACTACAATTAACCGTAACTCAAATAACTAATATAACTATACCAATTTAAAACATAATTATTGCTAATTATTATATTATTTTAATATTTTAGTACCGATCGCGGCGTCGGTGCGTCTTTCTTGAGTGAGTTCCGTTGTGTTCAATGTACATTGTGTCACAAACTGTTGGATGGAGATGAAACGGCCCAAGTACATTTGAGGACTTGGAGACATCACCAGCTATTTGTGAGACTTATTAATGAAAAGGCTGGGAATATTCAGGTAAATAGATATAAAACTCTCGATTATTAATTTAAATTAAACTAATATTGTCTGATTACTACGCGTTATTTTTTTAAAAACTACATACTCTTCGGTTATGTGTCATCATGAACAGTTTAAGAACAAGTTTTTGAATAATAAAATAAAGAGTAGTGATCCGAAAATGTTAATTTCATTTAAATAATCAGGTATCAAATAAGATGACAATTATCTGACTGTTAGTCGCAATACTTTTTATAACTGCTTGATTTATATAAAATTTGGGTATGGGAATCTTATCGTAACATATTTTTAAAGGGGATAACTTATCGGAGAATAAACCAATGGCGCAACTAAGTCTAATTTCACTTTCTCACATAAACACCGTCATTCTTATATATAATTTTCAAGTAAACATCTAAAATATATTATAATTTACACTAGGTATAGTTAATAGACAAAGTAATCACTTCTATTGAACATTCTGAGAAAAATAAATTTGTTTTTTCCATACAATACTTTATTTATTATGTTGTTTTTATTAGCCACAGTCAGAGGCAGTGAAGCGTTCAATGAATGATGATTCAGGAACATGGAAACGCAGAAAGACATCTAGAGATGAAGAAAATGGGCATGAAAATGTTAAAGGTATGTAAAAATGCTTATATTGAATATGTTTTATTATACTACTGACTACAAAGAATTAGTGAAATCGGTCCAACCATTCACACATGATGCTATAACCAAGAGAAAAAGGGATTCATTTTGATATATGTATATAGATTATTAATTATTAATGTATGAATTAATCAGTTGTCTTTTACAATTAAAATTAAATATGAACAAATTTTATACTTTTTTTGGGTTAATATGTATTAGTTTTTGGGATATCAAAGATAACGAAATGGTAGATAAATATAAAATAATCCATAATGTTATTAGACTTCGGTGTAACTTTATTTATACAAGTCTGCACACTGAAAATTATATGAGAATTGTGCTACATGATATTTTTTAAAATTCGTATCAATTTGGTTACTTTACTAAATGCAAGCATTTTAAAAACCTGCAAATTTCTTTAAGTTACGTAAATAAACAATTTTTTAATATAAAATATGGTCATGCTAGCTGCGCCCCGCGGTGTTAGCCGCGGATTTCCGGGAAGTAAAGTAGCCTATGTGTTATTCCTGGACGTCAGCTTCCTGTATACAAAATTTTATCAACATCGGTTCAGTCGTTTGAGCGTGAAGAAGAAACAAACATACACACCCACTCACAAACTTTCGCAATTATAATATTAGTAGGATAAAAATTGCTTAAAATGTGTATTTCATTTAATAATTTAATAATTTTATCAGATACAGATGATCATAATGAAGATTCAGAACAAAATCAAGAAAATCCGGAAAATATGAATGAATTGGCAGCCGATGAGCTTGAAGATTGGGAACAATCTGTTGATGATATACTCAATGAAGAGAGCGATATTATAGGTTAGTACTTACATCTTCTACCTGGCAATTTCCCAGCTTTAGCCAGTGTCTGCTTACATGTTGTGAATACTTTTGGCTAATTGTTTTTACGACCATCCGCCTGCCCGACATCAACCCTCTTTGGGAAACTATATTAGTTTCATTTAAGTATGTACTTACATATTTAAATGAAATGTGTGTTTTTGTGTTTTTAATCACAACTACTAAACTGATTTCTATAAATGTTAGTTTCAATGGCTCTTTATTTTTAAATTCATCACGCTAAAACTACTTACTCGATTTGGAAAATAATATCGTGATTTTGATGTGATATCATCTCTACTCATAAAAGAATTTCTTTAGTTCACTTAGGATCAAATGACAATAGTTGTATCCCTACTAATATTATAAGTACGAAAGTAATTCTATCTCTCTGTCTGTTACGCTTTCACGCCTAAGCCACTGAACTGATTTTATTGAAATTTGGTACAGATACAGAGTTGACCTTGAGAAAGAACATAGGATAGTTTTTATCCCAGATTTCTGAAAGGTTCTCTTGGAAACGCGATATAACCGAACTACACTCGGGCGGGCGGACAGCTTGTATCATATAAAAACAATATGGCCTTTCTGGTTGTTTAACAAAACAATGTTTATCACGCTATTCACTTCTCTTTGATAATAATTTCTGTTTCAAATTTCCATATAGAGATAACCATTGTCCGAACCTAGTATTTGCAAAAGTATATGTCTGTTTAAATGCAATTCCCTCTTAAAAAAAAACACACATAATTTAGATGATGTTATTTCTAAGCTCATTTAGTAAGAAATACAAGAAAGTAAATATAGTACATATAAAATAGGTATTTTGATATTGTTAATACAACTTAATATCTTAAAATAACCATAAAAATTTTGCAAAAAAGTTTTTTTGTGAAATCAAATTCGATTTTTCTATTTTTGGATATGTTTGATTTAATTATTTTATTAAATTTCTGTACAGAGAAAGAACTTGAGACTGAAACACAAGAAGAAACGCAATCAGAAGTAGAGGCAGAACAGAAGAATCTACAAGAAACACCTACTACAACAACAGGTATAAATAGAAAAATATAATAAATAATAAATATATATGATATAAAATTTGAAACCAAGGCATATATAAAAGATTTTCATTTATAATATAAAATTACGTAAATTTTATACTGTAACACTGCTTTATGTATTCAAATTATCATATAAAAGATATTTTGTTTTGTATAAGCCTAATGATAACAAGGTTTTAGTAAGTAATACTAATTGGGTCATATTAGTCTAAACAAACATAAATAATCTACATATATAATATATACACATATAATGTGTGTGTGTATAAATATATAACATACATATGAATTATATAAATAGGAAAATTCTATAAAAAATGATATAAAACTATCAATTCTAACAACTATATCCTATATGTATTGCTTATAGAAGAGAAAAATGGAAATGAATTAGAAGAACAACCGGCTGAGCCAAAGAAAACACCGCAAAAAGCAACCAGAGGCCGAGGTAGACGTCGCTTTTAATTATATATAGCATTAGATACATATGTATTTAATTATATACAAGAGAAATTAAAAAGTTTGGTAAATCTTTTTCATATAGATTGCTAGTATGAATTATGTATTAATTATATAGAATGTAGTCTCTTATTTAATAAAACTATAGTAATCTTTATATTCATTTCTTGCAATAGTTAGAAGTAAGGAAATAATGTCTACACTACTTCATTGAGTTTATTAATTTCTAGAAGATAATTCATCTCAATATATTTGTTTTAAAATTACTTTAAAAATATATGTAACAAAAGTCTACCGATTATAATTAATATTAAAATTTGTAGTAAGTTAATAAGTAGATTTCAATAGAAATATAAGTTTGTCAGGCACAAAATACTTTATATGTAGGTTCATACAAGTTTAGGATTAATTTTTGGTAATGAGTTAGTAATAATAGGGTTTTTATTTTCTGCTTCTAAATAGTTTTATAAGTATATGAAAAAATTGTGAAATTAAAAATTTAATGTTAATAAGTTAATATCCTGACTTTGTGTAAACATGTCTTTTTTCATTCTATTTTGCCCTTTAATAAACTATAGAAATACAGAACGCATTTGTTTTACATTTTAACTAACCTATATTTGACAATTTATATATGTATTTTGAAAATAATACTACTTTTCCTTTGTAGTTAACTTTCAATAATCAAAATTATGACTCATCAAAATATGGATCTATTAAATATTCAGTTTTCACATAAAAATACTAGAATATAATTTACATGTAGTTGTGTAACCGCAAATCCTTTTCTGTTACTTTGAAATAAATCTCATACTGAATGAGTAATAAATAATGTGAAAAATTTTCGTTTATAAAAGTTATCAGCTTCTAAAACTTAAAAGAAGTTGAAAAATTTGGTATGTTTTATCTGACATTCCCAAAACTGATTAATATAAAAAAAAATGTGCATTAAAATGGCTTGGTACTGTGGATACTGAATTAAAAAAAGATTTTCTGATTTGAATATCACAAAAGAAATGACAAACTAAATTAATAAATACTATTATAATTAATGTTGCATATTGGTACCAAACTGCTTTAATTTTTAGGTTTTTGTTGTTTTCCAGCCCTATCTGTTGATAGAACCAAAAAACTGAATATAATATAACTGGGCTATCAAACAAAACTTCTTACTATACGGGAAATTTGTTTGCTGAGAACATCTTAATGGATAAATGACCTTAATCGGCAGTATAATGTTTGACTAACTTCACTCAAATATTCTTTCATACCTGACATCACTTTCCTTAAAACAAGATTATACTTTCAAAGTAACTACAAACAAATACTAATTTCTTATTCATAAATCAATGTTGATAGTATCATGTGTGAAGATTTATAAATTACTTGAAACTATTAATCAATAGTTTGCTAATGCAAATCTTGTGGTAAAAATAGAGAATACAGAAAACATATCAAAATATAGGTAGGCATCTTAATCTTATTAAAAGAGATATGAAGCTTTTAGCATCCAATGTATTCATATGCATGTGTCGGGTCCATAGTTGTAGTGAGAGGAGCTTCAACAGTGCCTGGGACTTGTGACCCAGGTGTAGGTTTAAGGGACCCTATGTAACACGCTATACAAAATATAAGAATAGTTAAAATGAAAATGCACAATAAAATTCCCTTTTATTAATTGGATAATATCATATCAAATGATATAATGAAACAAGGTTCACTTTTAAACTTATATTAAAATGATTATTTGACTTACTACTATGTTTATAAACTTATGATTTTTTCTTATTCATTAAGCTCTTCAGTAATTGAGCATCACTAAGTTGCATTTTCAATCTCTTATTCTTTTTTGGCACTGGTTTTACTTTAGGTTTTTTTAATTCATTTTTTACATTATGTGTTTGTGTGTCGGGTTTCTTGAGTAGATTTTTCAATATAATATCCTCTTTAGCAACTTTTTTCACTAATGAATTACTATTAGCGGTTTCTTTGAGCAAAACTTCCTTTTGAAATGTTACTTTTTTCTCCGCATTCAATTTCTTCTTCAAAATTTTGTTCGTCTGATTACTAGAGGTGGCATTCTGTTTTTTAGCTAGTTTATTTAGTATCTTCATTTTACTTCTACCGAATTTCACCATTTTTGTTGGTCAAAAATTATTTATTTCTAGAACATAAATAAAAACACGTGAAATGTTTCAGTTGACACTTGCAAATAATAAATAGTAACTGTCAAAGAACTCCTTACTTTCGAATGTAGATATGTCAATGTCTGGTTACAATTTTTAAATTATTAACAAATTAATTTCTATCCTCAATGCCTCTTTATATAATTTATTTTTTTACATTACCTTGTAAAGTAATAACGATTTTATATGATCTTATATTTAATATTTTTATTGTCGATGAATAAGTAAATGTTTTTATTTTTTTTATTTTGAGGGTTTAAAATAAAAACTTTATTATTAGGTTTTAAATACAAAAAATATATGTACGCGTTTTTTATCAAGTTTGTTAATTAATGTTTTATCTCGATGGATGCTTCTTGAGAAACAGGATACAATAGACAACACTGTCTTGTTTAATATTTATGCGCTTATAATAAGCTCTAACCAGACAAACCCGAAAATAGAGTACCTAAGACCCTAGATATTTACTAAAACTTGAAAAGTTTTAAAAGGATGTTTATATTCTACTCCGTATATTCTTTCTTTTTTAATAGTCTGCAATTAGTAGATGATTCTTATAGTTTCTGTTAAATTTGGTATTTTATTCAACTTCTAATATTCTGGATAATTCAACAACAGCCATTATTAAAACTAGTGATAATGAAATGTATTTTTGTAATTTCAATAATAATATTTATCCCTCTTGTGGTATAACCAAAGTGTCTTCTGGTCTCTTTAAATACATGTGCCGTTACTACGCTCAGTGAAAACTAAGATTATATTTTTCTATATAATCTGTGGGTAAAATCATACTACATACTTTTTTTTATCAAGTATCGGGATAATAATATAAATAAATAATGACTTAATATAAATAAATAATGACTTTCACGAGTATTCACTTAAATGAAACAAATATTTTTGGGATTTTAATGCCTAACTTTTGGGATAAAATTTTTGGGATTTTAATCCCTAATAACTTTCGTCTGCCTTCGATCACGGTTGATGAAAAGTAACAGAAGTCGGGAGTATGTATTTTTTAAAATAATGAAATACTCTTAGTGTTATCCAAAAATATTCGTTTTAATCGGGATATATAATGTTGAAAATAAACTAATATAGAGAGACTTCAATTACATAAAGATGTTTGATTCAGATCATGATCATAAATCCTGACAGAACTCATGATCGTAGTTCAGAAATCGCATATGCAGCATCTATAATATATTATAGAACCAGGGATAACGTATTTAAATCAATCAGCTATTTTTATCATTAATGCTGCTTGATTAAGTCGCATATCTATTAAAACTATATTCGGTGCGTTACCTACACCTGGATATAATATATAGGGTATTTCTCGGACACATGAAACAGTCAAAACTACAGAATTTGGCTATAAATCAAAACTTTCTTTGCTTCTTGAATCAGATTTCTCAATCGACGGAAATATTCTTGGTGCTTTTTGGTGAACCAAAACTCTAATTTTCGTAGTGATTTACAGCACCAAACTTATTTAATATTTTGGAAATTTCTTCGCCATATGCTAAGACATCCTTGACATTACGAAATGCATTCTATAATAACACTGTATTTGCTTGGCTTATAACATTCTAATTTCCTTAGAGTTAATATGAAAAATCTTAAATAACAGACAAAGGCAAAATTTGTTTCAAAAGTTGTAAATAAAGTACCTTTTATCAACACTTACACTTCACTAGTTTTTGCCCGCGACTTCGTCCGCGTTAGTTTGGTCAAGAGTAATATATGTATGTATAGCTGACCAGGCGTACTCTATTCCATCTTAGAGGCCATAAATAATCAGGTTTTTCCTGTTTCAATCAAACAGAATGATTGACATATTAGTTAGTTGTCAAATCTAATGTCAAAAAAAAGTTTGTGTGGGAAATAGAAAGGGGCTGTTTTTAGGGTTTTCCCGGCAATTATTCCAATTTTTTTCACCTTTTAAACCTTCCCTGGACTTCCAGGAGTATTTCAAGACTAAAATTAGCCAAATCGGTTCAGCCGTTCTCGAGTTTTAGCGAGACTAAGGAACAGCAATCCATTTTTATATATATAGAAGATAGAAGAAGAAGATAGAAGATTATATTAAGAAACAAAAATGGCTCTTTTTTTATTTATACCCAACTATTTAGGTGGGTATATCCACAATCCGGACCAACGAGATATTTTTATCATTATATTATCTTCTATATATATAAAAATGGATTGCTGTTCCTTAGTCTCGCTAAAACTCGAGAACAGCTGAACGGGTTTATCTTATCTTAGTCTTGAAATATTCGTGAAGGTTCAGGGAAGGTATAAAAGCTGAAAAAAATTGATTCATTACTGGGAAAACCATAAAAACAGCCCTTTTCTATTTCCCATACAAACGTTTTTATGACATTAGATTTGACAACTAACTAATATGTCAATCATTCTGTCGCACTTCAAAACACGGAGCTTTATGGCTTACAGGTAAACTCCAAAAATATAAATAAAAAAACGTAATAGATATTTCTTGATTATAGGGCGATACGAAGTTCGCCAGGTCTTCTAGTAGTATAATAATAATTTAACTACCTTTTTATGTATGAATATTTTTGTTATAATAAAAATCTTTTGGTGGTAGAACCTAGCTGTGGTCAGTTACTACAGCTCGAACATGGGCTGGCTCGACTGTGGAAGTACCACCCTCTCACAGAAGATCGGCGTGAAGTACCCTTTAATGGCTGCGTTTCGTCCGATGAGTGACAGAGAGGGATTGCACTTTCCCTATTCCCACCCATTCCTCCTCTTTCCCTTTCCCTTTTCCCATCCTTTCCTCTCCCTCTACGGTCTACCCCAATCAAGAGTTGCAATGCATCCGTAAAATACTTTTGCAGGCGTCAATGGGCGACGGTAGTACCTTTATCATAAAAAAAAATAGTACAAGCGAAGGGATTCAATGAAATAAACATGGAACACGTATTGAATAATTTATTATTGTCACATTGAGTCTGTCAGACACCCAATATAAACAACCACAAACAAGCTAACTACATACAAATATTACTTTCAACCATCGTAACCTGACAAGCAAATAAAGATTAAAAAAAACAATATGGCCATAGATACAATAACGGCTTAAAGCTCCTAAAATTCGAGAATTGGCAGTTCATTGGAATGTCATGTACTTTAAATAATATTTACAAAATACAAAATAATCTTAATTAACTAGAAATTAAATTAAAATGATTGGATGATAATTATTTTTTTTTTGGAATATTCAAAACACAGCCTTAAATGAAATAGTTTGTGCATCGCAAAAATTAAAATTTTTCGCTAATATGCATACAAACGACGTTTATACTATATAAAAGCTACTTTCTTATATTAAAGATATTGTCATCATGAGGAGACGCGTCATCTTACAGGAGATTCAAGAACAGATTAATTAAAATATCACAAAGAAAATCATGTGATAAAATATTTAATTTTACTTTTAATACTTGTTCTGTTTATTTTTACGGATTTAACTCAAATTACTTATATATAAATGTACATGCATAAATATAGCACAATATTAAACAATACTACTATAACATATCTCACTTCAGCACAAAACATTTATTTCTATATATTTTTTGTTATTTATTTTAAATACATTATATATTTTTTGTAACTTTCAGGCTATGCGTGAGCTAAATACTTGGAATCCGTCGCGGATATGTTTGATGTTGGTCGTTTTGTTTACTGAAAAAAAAAAAATCATAAGAGTCTATGTATATTTAATTCAAAATCAATGTAATAGTAAAATAAATACCTTTGTCTTTGGTCGCACAGATAATGTCAATTTTTGTATTAAACGGGTAGCGGCATCTGAAAAAAAATATATATATAAATGAGTACGTAGTCATAAAATAGCAATTCATTAATAAATAAATTTTTATAAGTGATTAACATGTATCTCATAAACTTAATACATAAAAAATACAAAATATTTATTTTGGTATACAACAAAAGTGTCATTTTATAAGATACGCCTTGTATATAAGGAAAGTATTCTTTCCATTTATACGAGTGTATTGTAGTCTATATTTGTATGTATTTGTGTGTGTGAATATGTTTGTGTGGGTGTACATGTATGTGAAAGTGTATATGTATGAGAGGCTATATACGTGTGTGTGTATTGATGTAGGTATATATATATATATATGTGTGTGTGTGTGTGTGTGTGTGTGTGTGTGTATATAACCCACCAGTAATAAATCCAAGTCCGGAGAGCCTCGTCTTAGGTTCGAGCAGCAGCAGGTACACGGGAACAGCGGTCAGTATCATTAAACAGCCGACCCCCGTTTCCGCGGGTGACGCATACGCGGGAAACGCGACCACGAGTATCGTACAGATTATGTATATCACTACAGATTAAATACAAATATATTAGTAGGTATAATTCCAATATATAATTACAGATTAAATAAAAATATATTATTACATATATAATCATTTCGATGTTAATAATTTTTTTTGTAACAGATATTGTGAGTTAATTTTGGCATTATTTTAAAAGGATTTGCATTTAACTAATGAAGGTTTAAAGATCTTTATTCTCAGTAAGACAATACATAGTCACTTATTTGAGAATTTTACTAACTTAAACATATACATAATCTGTAGTGGTTAGTACGAAATTAATATGAGAATAAAAGAAAAGGAAATTTTACTAATGTATACAGACTATGTAAATGCATCTTAAAAATAATTTTGTTGACTGACAGTTAAAAAATAATAAAAAAGTTTGAATTCTAAAGCAGAATGCACAATGTAACATTCCAAATATTAAAATAACAATCGGGATATGATTTGTTTAACTTAATTATGCAATTTCCTCACCTGGGAAGAACAAGTTAACTTTAATGGGTCTCTCTAAATTCGGTTGTGTGTATCTCAGTACTGGTAAACATAGAACCGCCGCTCCTATACTTAGCTGTAAGAATATAACAAATAAATATTATGAATAAAGTACAAGTACAATAGTAGAATGTATAAAACAATTTTCATTTATATATTATTATAAGCAACATATAGTGTATACTCTTATGGCAATAGCATTATAAAATCATCGTCAAAAAACTTCAAGAAAAAAATATAGCCTCATATATTTTTATACGCTCACGATAGCTTACTTTCCAAAGTGACTGGAATGCGACATTCCAAGCGTAATAGGTTAAAATCGTGACCTTTTTCATTCATTCATTCTATATATGTATATATAATAACATTCTACTATACCCAAGTAGCAAATCCGACGTAGTTGATTAACGCGAAGATATCTGACACTGTAAGATACATGAGAGATAGTATTGCCACAGCTATGACGGCTGGGGCCGGCGTGGAACGAGATGAAACCATAGTTAACATGCCCGGCATCTGACCTTGTGCAGCACCCGCGTAGAATAACCTAGATATAGATACATAGATATACGATAGATAGGCATATAGATAGAATCTTCTAACTCAAACTCGAATAACTTTATTCAATATAGAAGCATTACACTTTCTTATTGATGGTCACTTGAGACACTACCACCGGTTCGGAAAAGAAAATACCCTGACCTGAGAAGAACCGGCGAAAGGATTTGATGACTAGAATGCCTAAAAGGTACATGAAAATTACACGAGTATGATAGGCGTATAGAATTTGACCACCAAAATTCCTAAAAGGTGCTTGAAAAATACAGGAATTTGATAGTTTTTTTAATTGAATATCTCGCTTGTAATTGTTTGCCCGTGATCACGGTTGTTGCATATAATACAATATCATAGTATTTTCTGTTGCTACTAAACCTAGCACATCTAATATCTGTCAATAAAATTCTTCACTATTTTTTCCTACTTTTCCTAAAGAACATTTACTTATTGAAATATCCAACCACATATACAGGGTGACTGGTGAATTACTATCAATATTTAAGGAGCATACTCGGTACATGATTTTCATTCGAATTATGTAAAAAAAATAGGTACTTAATTTTTGACCAATTTTCCGTATAAATAAATAAAGTGTGTACACGTTCCAAGTGTTCAAGTGTGGACGCGTGCGGCGGCGTGCTGATACAACAACACGCCGCCGCACGCGTATGTGTGAGTGTGTGTGTATACCTAATCTGTAGGGTGTTCATACGATGCGTAATTAATTACATAACTTTTGGTTAACTTTACTTAGAAGTTTATTAATATTTATGTTATATTAATTTTTATTTTGTCATATACGATCGTCAAATATCACGTCCTCAAATATCGATAGTAATTCACCAGTCACCCTGTATAAGTCAATATTTTTATTACTATCCAACTTCGAACTTTAAAATTCCATATAAAAATATTAATTTCAATAAACCGACCAGAATGAATACTTTTTTGTTCAAAAACAATTTCAACATACGAAAATTTTGATAAAAACTTTTATCTAAACTGACAAACCTTGATGAAGTTAAAAGCACGCCATTAACAGCACCGAAAGTCGACGCGGCTACGAACATCGGTATAGAGAGAGCGAACGCGCCGAACAGACGCTCAGAGAATGTAACAGCTACCGCCGCTGAACCTAGGACCTGGGAACGAAATGAATAGGTCATAACAACACCTAAAAGAAGCATTTCCTATAGAATAACCAATATGACATTATAGTCCAGTATCCATGTCTGTTTTTTGCACTTGATAACTAACAAGCAAATTTTCCGTGAGTAGCTCCATTTCAATGAGACGCTAAAATTTTTCCTGTGTTATAATTCTCGATTGTAGTAGGTAATAGAGGTGGCAGGGATTAAATATTTTGATATGATAACTCTCCAAAATTTATTACTAACTGGATTAAAATGAAAGCTTTTCTAGATGAAAAATACTTCGATAACTTTAGAATTACAGACAGAAAATTGTAATAAGATTATTCCATGCTACTGAATACGAGTCGAATATTAATGAACAGCAAATTCTCAAATATATATCTAGTCATATTATAAAAAAGTGTACATACCTCAGTTGGTGACAGCGTTGTGTAGAATGCTACGTTGGTGAATGTATACACGATAGTGACGAGCGTGCACGAAATGGCGATGGCTCGAGGAAGGTTCCGTACTGGGTCTTTTAGTTCCTCGATTATAAAATTTAGGTAATTCCTGGAAATAGGAAATTATCATTGTAAATACACATGGCAATTGTGTGGCCAATTAATGTTCAGGGGTTAATAATGCGTTAGGTTAGTAATTGGCAGTGCTGTCTTATTTGACACAATATATAATTAAACCAATTTTAATCTTCTACACTTCTATGACAATGTTTTTGGGAATAGCAAACTTTTATTCCAGATTTGTAATATAAATTATATCGCAATCGACATTAATTTATTTCATAATAATTATTGTTAAAATTAACAATGTCCCAGATGAGTAAAGGGAGAAGTATCTATAATTTTATGCCATAACAGTAAAGTAATTGTTAAAAAATATCAATATATATTTCTCACCATCCATTATAAGCAAACAATCCAGAATAAAAAGACAGTGCTATAGACGTGACGTCACTGGTGGTCCCTTCAAATGTAAAATGTTCCACCTTTCCTGTAAAAAATAATATATAAAGAATATTAATAATGACAAGCAAAAGAAAACAAGAATGCATACAAAATTTTACTGTTCTATTTCTTACGTCGAAAATATTTTTTCCAGAAGCTTCGGACGGAATTAAATAATGTAAACGAAGCACACCGGATTGAAGCAATCATTTAATAAGACGAGTCGCCGACATTTACGAGACTCGAGTCGAGATCAAATTAAATCATAAAAAATGAATTTTATTATATTTAGACTTAAAAACACGTGACTTTAAATTAAGAATATAAATTTATTTCCTAACGATCCATTTTTGTGAGACCTATTTCTTTTATTCAGATAGGATATACCAATTATGTTTTTCCGTTTCTGAGCACAAAGACTCAATTTGTTGGACAAATTGAACCGTTGTGCCATTGATATCACTTCGCTTCAAGAGGGTTTGCGTTGAACGCGGTTAATGATGGAAGAAAACATTCTTGAAGGTTTTTTCAATATATATACCATAATTATAATGCTATATTAATATTAAATGCCACAATGGCAATGCCAAATTATTTCGATAGTATAAGCATAGAACATAGATCAAGTTATAGTCATTAAGTAACGAAACATAAGATTTTTTATCATGATAATCATTATCACTATGAATTAATTACGCATAATTTTCTTAATTTTCATATAAAAATGATATATCTATCAAATGGTTATAATCCAATACTAACCTCGACTTAGTTGGTATATGCCGGCAGCTATTATAATGAAAAGTGCGAACAGTTTGGCATAAGTAAACCAATCTTGAACACGTGTAGCAGCTCGAATAGACCAGCAGTTGACGAATGTTAATAATACTGAAATATATAATATACTAGCTGTTAACCGCTACTTCATCTGCTTAAAGAAAACAATTAAAAACTCTAAAGTACATTAGGAACAAAACAAAAATCAAACAATGTCCGAATAAAAATAATCTGACCTACTTATGTAATTCTATCTGAAAGATATATAATTCATACTAGCTATTACACGTTACTTCGTCTGCTTAAAAAAAGTAATTAAAAACTTTAAAGTACATAGTTGATAGTACATAGAAACAAAACAAAAATCAAGCAATGTCCCTAAATGAAAAACTAATAAAAATTAGACGAGAAATTAGTATATTAATAAGAAATTTCATGAAAACATTAATAAAAATCAAACCTACATTTGTAATTCGAACTGAAAAACATGGAATTTAAATATACATATTTGCATATTTATTATTTTATATAACTTACAAATACAACAGGCAGCCAACAAACGCGTCGCGTCTTCAGGGGGGCTGCATTCAGGGAAAATGGGCTTTAACACGTACGTGCTAAAGGTCAACGCCACTATTGCCTGATAAAATAAAAATATATATACATATTTATCTATATTCATAATAATTCATTAATATTATTCAATACAGGGAGTAGTAAAATATTATAAGGATTTAAATGATTATATAAATATATTTATTTAAATGAAACTAATATTTTTCGGATTATACTACTTTATTTTTATAAAAAACTACATGCTTTCGACGTATCGGTTATTTTTCAGCAACCGTGATCACGGACAGACGACATGTTGTCCTTGGAAATAATAGTTGCATTTAAATGAATAAAACTCGCGAAAATCTCATCTCATTATATTCAGATTTGTATATCTATTTTCTAAAATCGTTAAGAAAACGATCAGTGGAATAAATAAAGATTTATTTGTTTCAATTTCAATATAAATTTAAATTCAGTTTATAGATCAATACATATAACTTTATTGAAAGAGAATCCAATTTAGTATCGAATGATAGAGATCAAGTTACAGTAATAGATCGTTTATTCTAATAAAGTCGAAGTTAGTCCCACGTTGGGCTCCAATATTGGTTTTGAATCGTTTCGCCATTTAAACTGTTTGAACAATAAATTTAAACTAACATTTTATGACTTATTATTGACAGAATTAATCATAAAATCTTAATTCACAAATATATGAACATATATTTATGTTACTAGCTTTCTACCCGCAGCTTGATTTGTAATGAGATATTTTATATAGAATTTTTATTTATTATGTAAATTTTTAGCTATACTAGTTCTTATTCATGGATACGCTTATTATATTGTGTGTAATTAATTTGATTTTATTGGAAAGTTCGAATTTTTTAGGAAATAGATATGTATGAATAGTTATTTAAAGTCAAGATTATATTTATCTATTAACCATTAGTAATATTAAAAAATACGTAAAAACTGTAATAACATATAAAATATTTCTCTTCTATAGTATACGTAGGAATAATTAATTTTTATTATCTTTCACAGATTAACACAGATAATATAAATGTCTCAACACAAAATGGCACCAAAATCAACATCTTTTTTTATAACATAATTATTTGTTAATTCAATTTGTAAATTAAATCAATTAATTAATAATTTCCTTACACATTAAATTTCTCAAATTTGTTAACTGTCATATAAAAAACTAGTGTGACATAATCATTCACGATAATACCTATATACCTATACTAGCTTTCCACCCGCAGCTTCGCCCGCGTGGAGTTCGGTTATATCACGTTTCCAAGAGAACCTTTCAAAAGTCTGGGATAAAAACTATCCTATGTTCTTTCTCAAGGTCAACTCCATCTCTGTACCAAATTTCATTAAAATCAGTTCAATGGTTTAGGCGTGAAAGCGTAACAGACAGACAGACAGAGTTACTTTCGCATTTATAATATTGTTAGGGATATATAAAAACTCCAAAAATTAAGTGTTTTTGAGAAAACAGATCAAATGTTATATCAAATTAATATGATAAGAATACTATCATAAGTAGTTTTATTCGTTAAAATAAAGAAGAACTTACATTTTTCTTATAAAGAATAGGATTGAATATGAAATTTATTTACAAATTTTTCTTTCATTTATTTCGTAATGATAGGATATTGACAAACGTGTGACGTAGGTAACTCAAATAGGTCAAGGCCTGATTGAGCTCGTTGGAAAGGCTTCTTTACCATACAAAAGCTATTAAATTTTTTACGCCTTATCTACTTAATGATTGTAAAAGTGGTGTTATATAAATCTGTACTTCCTGAGACATATATGTTTTACATTGATTTAAATTTCGTTGTAAAAGATGACAAAAATATGGTTTTGATTACGCAATATTATTTTGAAATAATCTATTTATATATTTAAGTTATATATTTGTGTTTAGTGTATTTGTTCTAAATAACGAGCGAAGACATTTACGTCCTCAAATGGTTGATCCAAGTCTAAATATAGACTCGTATTGATTTCTACAAAAGCAACGCTCCCGCCTTTTCTGGCGAAATCAGTTGTCATTTTTGTTTAATTTCATTAATCACTATTTTTTTACAACATTATAATAACATCCGTATTAATATTATAAATGCGAAAGTAACTCTGTCTGTCTGTTACGCTTTCACGCCTAAACCATTGAACTGATTTTAATGAAATTTGGAGCAGAGATAGAGTTGACCTTTAGAAAGAACATAGGATAGTTTTTATCCCAGACTTTTGAAAGGTTCTCTTGGAAACGCGATACAACCGAACTCAACGCGGGCGAAGCTGCGGGTGGAAAGCTAGTTTTATACATTTCTAAACGTACATTAATTTATAAACTTAAATATATTGCTTACGACAGATATATAAAATATGTCGCAATATTACAACACTACAGTTTTGTGTTGGGACCGTTAGCATTTTGAATCTCAACAAGCACTAGAGTTCCAGTGATCTTGAAAATACTTCGAGCGCTAGAACTATGGGCATATACTTTTAGATGGTTTTCACACAAAAAATAACGCCACATTTGTTCTAAGTCTTTAAAGAGTTGATATACATATCGTAACTAGCATTGGATAATGCTGCGTATTTACATTATAAGCAGATTTCCAGAAGAAAATTTAAGCTGAAATATTTTCTATATTAACGACTTTTAAGGTAATTTTTTCACAACTAGTGTTTAATTTATTATCCTATATCCCCGATTATATATAGATTGCTTATCTAAGCTAAATATGTAATTTGAGTTCATACTAGCTATCCTACTAATATTATAATTGCGAAAGTTTGTGAGTGTGTGTATGTTTGTTACTTCTTCACGCTCAAACGGCTGAACCGATTTTTATAAAATTTTGTATACAGGAAGCTGACGTCCAGGAATAACACATAGGCTACTTAACATCCCGGAAATCGGGTAACACCGCGGGACGCAGCTAGTATTATATAATGATAATATAAAACTTACCATAGAGCACGGTCTGACTATCATACATTCAATCCAAAGTCTCATAAATGCTGCGAAGGGTCCGAAAGTCTCCATAATGTACGCGTAATCAGCACCACTTAGTCTTATCATAGTTCCAAGCTCCGCGTAACAATATGCTCCTACCTGCAAAAATATAATTTACCAAATGTTGAACTACCCTCTAAATATGTCAGAGGTATTCAGAGATTTTGATCGAAAATAATAAGGATTTAAAATGAAAGCATACGTAAAAGTGAGTATTTTTTTTTTATTACTCATCATGTTTTAATTAATTGATAAAATTTTTGTTTAATTATGTGGAAGTACAAAAAAATAACAAATTAACAAATAATAACTCAGCCAGTGAATGAATATACAAACTTTTTACATTTAAATATATATAAATCAGAACTTAATATGAGTATAAAGCGTTTACCTGAAGACCGATAGTTTTCTTATTTGATACATAAAGAAATAGCGATAAATTCAAGGTATTTTTTTAGTATATCGGAGAGTCAAGGACAAACTCAAGGGAAATTAAACTCGGTCATATTGTATCAACTGTGCAAACATATAACAATACTTTATTAAATAAATAAAAAAAAAGAAATGAATTACGCAAAGTCAATTCGGGTATTAATTAATCTCTATTTAATTGACTTAATCTCTATTTAATTCCTTAAACTGGATATTTCTTATTAAGATGCCATTTCACTTGGCGTTTATTTGTTTTCGGCCAATAAGACCATGTGTGGAGGATTAATTCGTCTTCATTTGACATATTTACACAAATAAGACACATACACCAATAAGCGAAAACGCGTAAAGACGTGTTGGCATGCCAAGTGTGGATGTCGTGTTTGAGCTATTTGGACTACGTATAAATATTTGGACAAATACGGCGAATACGCTACTCGAATATGCAACGCCAAGTGAAGTGCCACCGTTAAGATGAAAGTAATTGCAATATATTTGTATAAATATAATGTCTTCATAAATTTAATGGATTGAAAATGAGAATAAATTATTTTATTCAGCTGGGACGTATAGTTGATTAATTATGACTTATTTAACAATGAAGTATTGTATCTATTTTATATTTCCCTGTTTAGAGTTCCCTAAGGATGTTGTTATCTAGAAAACAATCTCTTTATAATGAGCACTCCGATAAAATTGACTGGAAATAGCAACGCTGTTAAAAGGCAACGTTTTAAAATAAAATTATCTTAACTTAATATATTTCTCATTTTATTGTATAGGTTTTTTTTTACTTAAAACCAAACAACTATAGATAGTCGTATTTCTTCTTATTATTTTTTATTATTACTAGGTTATAAATAACTTTTAACATTATTTCGTAATATTAAATTATGAAAATTCAGGTTTTGACAATCTTTTTAAATATTAATATTGTGCAACATTTGATTCTTTTATCACTGTTTTATGAAAAAAACTAGAAAAAGGTTATGATCATTTGAAGATTGTATAATAAAAGAATCTGAATTATTTAGTCTGTGTTAATAATAGAGTGCCCACAGATACACATACCAGGCAATGGAATAGAGTTGTTAAGCCAAAAAAAATATTTTTCCTTTCCTTTTCCTTTCTTTAATTCATCTATTTTATTTATAAGAATTTTAAAATAAAAGAAATTAAATGATTTATGAAAATCTAAGATAACATATTTTTGTTTTTTTTTTGACTGGTATATTAGAAGAAAAATTTAAGCAAATTATTGAAAACTGACGGAAACTTCTTTATAATTAAACAAGATGTTCTTCACAATAATTCACTATTAGTCCGTTAGGTGGATTGTAAAATAAATTTGACATGACGATGTTGAAATTGTTTGAGATTAACGATAACCCAATAGTATTATCTAAATTAAAAAGATTTAAAAGAAAAACAGAATAACTCATTCTACCAAATATTTTTTGTAAAAACTAAATATAAGTGACACTGAAACTCGATGAAATTTTAATTTTTAATAAAGTACACTTCATTCCTTCTTATACAATTTATTAAATAACTAACTTTTTCCGGCGACTTAATCACACTAAATTCCACCTTAATATGTAGATAATATTACATATATAAAAATTCTTCTTCTTCTACCTGACAATTACCCGGCTTTAGACAGGGTCTGCCCTACATGTTGTGAATAGTTTTGGCTAATTTTTTTTACGACCGGCCGCCTGCCTGACATCATCCCTATTTTTCGGAATCAGCATTAATCAGTGATATCTAAATATTCTAGACAGTACATATGACTCGGGAAAATCACATTGGTACTTGCCCGGGCCAGGATCGAACCCGCACTCTCGGCAACGAGAGGCGGGCCCTCTAAACATTAGGCCACCACTGACTATTACATATCTAAAAGTTATTATAATATGTAAAATTTTACAAACCGAATACTTATTCGTTATTATTTTTTTTTTGTATATCACACAATATGGCTAAAAGAATTTATAAACAGCTGTAGGCTTACCCTAAAAATGTTGTCGCTATAGACAATAGTTTAAAAACTTGAACACAAAGCGGGGAAAACTTCTATTTAGGGGAGAAATAGGGTGTAAATATTTACCTACTTTCACTATTGTAATCGTTAATTCTCAGAAAAGCTTAAATTCTATCTAAGGAAAATACAAGTAGAAGTACATTTGCTTTTCTCATGAATAATTCTGAGTTAATATGATATATGCCAACTTTAGATTCTTCTACTATTCTAAAGTTAAATGAAGATGAAAAGAAAGAAAAAGGAGTAGTTTCATTTAATATTTCAAAGATATTTATTTGAATTTCATTTAAAATGACAAGGGATAATAAAATTTTAACGTCTCCTTCGACATTTTGTTAATTTTAGAACACGCAACTCATGTTGTGACGTCACATTTTATTTCATAAATATTTAAATTGATTACGAGATAACAAAAAATTATAATTTATTCTTAAACAAATATTATACAATACAATTTGATCTCATGTTAAATTAGGATGAAAAACTAAAACTATAACATTTTTTTAATTATCATCTGTAATTAATGTCAAATTAGAAAAAGCGCGGTAAATATTTGTCAATCGAATTTCTTGATAGTCTTTTTTGTTTTTGATGAATCTAATATGCTAAGCATAATCTAAGTAAAAGGAAATAATAGAATAAAAACATTGTAACAATTATGTGCAAAGTTAACAGTTGACCGAGTTTCGAGTCGAGGTCATTGTCATTACGCCTCTCACTGCGAAGTTGTCTCACATTTTATTAGATAATATAATAAATAATTACAACAATGTAACTAAACGGAGCGCGAAAGAACTGAGTCGTTTCAAATCTAATTACTTTAAAGGTAAATATAATTCAATTATACATTTAGTATATAGACGAGAACATTCATTATTTGTGAAGATTTGTTCTATGTGTATAAAAAGTCAAGTTTCTTCCATTAATATAAATTCAATGATAACGGTTATGTTTTAATATCCTATTTCTGTAGTATTCTGTGTTAAAATAGTTTTAATGTTATGATTTTATACAAGTTATTAAATGAAAGCGACATATTTGGACACTAAATGATTTATATACAATATTGACTGTCATGATAATTTTGGAGGCGAAATTTAGCAACGAGGCCTTGACATGTTGAAATATCGTTCCACATTTCACCGTATAAATTTTTATAATTCAATGTTATCCTATGAATAATTTATCATTTCTCATTATTTATAATACGATTTAAATTATACTATATTTACGCTTCCATTGTACTTTTTTTTTTATTCAATGAAATCTATATTGTCTATGGAAACAAAATTACGTCCAGAAATCAATTAAACCGGATGATAGTATAAAAAAATTCTAAACACAAAATATGGATTATGGGTTTAAAATGAATATATATTATCCTAGTTTTCCTTAATATCTCACCATACTGAAAACTCCAGACGCTACCCATACGATAAGGCTTGCATTGACAGAGCCAGTGTATTTTAATACACCGGTTGGGGACACAAAAATGCCGCTGCCAATGATCGAGCCAACAATAACCGTGATGCCATTGAGCAGCGACATTTTAGCTTCAAGCGCGCCGCCATCTTTTGATGATTGTTCTTGATCTGTCTTTAAAGCTTCCGTATCGCCTTCCTCCTCCAGTTTTCTTTTTGGTGACCTTGAAAAGAAATGATATTTGAATTTGGAATGTATAATTGTAATCTTCTTTTTGTAATACTAGTTTTTTCCCGCGACTGCATCGGCGTTAATTTCGGAATTAGTAATATATGTATAGCTGACCGGGCGAACTCTATTCCATTCTAGAGGCCATAAATAACGAGATATTGGAGTTTAATAAGTTTTTTTCCGTCTATGTCCGTTTTCTGGTTCAAAGCTATTTCCCCACCAATTTTCATCCAAACCAGTACAGCCGTTCTTAAGTTATAAATAGTGTAACTAACACAACTTTCTTTTATATATAGATAATAATCAAGTCTAGTATATGTTATGTAACAGCCGACATCACGAATATTCCATAAAAGACGAAAATAAAAATTTTATAGCTCCATCAATGATAATACTATGGATAATGTACGGACGAATATATATTAAATTCTCCTAAAAAGTAACATACGTATTTTCAATTTAATTCTCCTTGCTCTCAATACAACGATTATATAAAAAAAATATATACAATAATAATTTTCCTTATACAAATTTCTTTATATCCTAAATAGGACAATATTTCCTACGTAAGTCACTAAACATGTCATATCATAGGTCAATGAACTCTCACACTAACAGATTTATCACTGAACTCTGACATCATATAATCATTAAAACATACAAATTTTTAATCATTCCCAATAATAAAATTATTTCCGTTAGTCCACGTGTGTTATACAATAGTGGTCCGAATATTCAACCTTGGTGACCCCTTTCTTTTTAAATCTACCGTCAAAAGATCCTTTGTACGGACTCCATTCACATCTGGGAACAAGATTCGAATACAACTCTCAGGGCTCAATTGCTATACAAAGACTTAAAATAATTTGAGTTCCGTTAAAATATACAGAATTATTTAAAACGATAAGCGCAGACGTATTTTATCTTTAAAATTAGTTAAATAAATATTGTAACAAAACAATTGTATCACTAATTTCCATGGTTATTTACAAGTTTTTCAGTTTAAACTATTAAACTACTAGCTTTCCGCCCGCAGCTTCGCCCGCGTGGAGTTCGGTTATATCTCGTTTCCAAGAGAACCTTTCAAAAGTCTGGGATAAAAACTATCCTATGTTCTTTCTCATGGTCAACTCTATGTCTGTACCAAATTTCATTAAAATCAGTTCAGTGGTTTAGGCGTAAAAGCGTAACAGATAGACAGAGTTACTTTCGCATTTATAATATTAGTAGGGATCTGTGAATAGTTAAAACATATAGTAAGGCTGGTTATGAACAAGAAGTTTATATAGCATCGTTTGAATATACTCAATAGTAGTAGACAGGTCAAAGTTTATATTTTTATAGATTACATAAGAATTGTTTTACAAAGGGCGTTATCATTACTGATAAGAATTATAAGACATTATTGAGATGAAATATAATTTAATGTTTTATAGTTAGAAATAAATTTTATATATACTTTTTATTCGCGACTTTATCTGCGTTAATTTCGGAATTAGTAATATACATATGTATAGCTGACCGGACGAACTCTATTCCGTCCTAGAGGCGGTAAATAACCAGGTACATATTGGAGTTTAATAAGTTTTTTTGGTTTTGTGATCGAACAAAATTAAATATCCTATGTCCGTCTCCTTGTTCTAAGCTATCTCTAAACCAATTTTCAAGCATATCCCTACAGCCGTTCTTGAGTTATAAATAGTGTAACTAACACATCTTTTTTATATACAAATTATTCATTATTATCCAATTATTAAAATATATATTTTTTTGTTTAATAAAAAACATATTTCTATCGTATCTTTTGACGTAAACTATTGTCCGATTATCATTGTTCTGAAATCTGTTTAGTATTACATTAATGTCATATAATTTTTAGATAGTGTATTTTTAAATATATAACCAGCCCTTTACCTATTTTTTTACATGATGTCGTGTGTAAGTCCCGCTTGCTTACCCCAAATTCCCATTGTCACTACATACGGAGAATAACCAGTTTTTCGGAGTTATGAGAAACGGGAAATAATTCGTATTTAGTTTCACAATTCAAACTTATGTTAAGATTTTATATGCATATGTTTTGATATATATTAATTTTGATAATAATTATTACAATTGAAATCTTCGTACTATTTTATACGATAAATAAAAAATACAGTACACTATATATATATTAAAATGAGTACATATAGATTTTGTAAAATCTTTCTAAGTGTTTTCAAGTCTCCACGTGACTAGACTTAGACTTACAATAGGTACAAACTACAAAGTGTAAAAACTGCTACGTCTTTCCGTAGCAGTGCTACGAGATGGAAACGGAAGATAATTAAAAAAGACCACTAAAAGTAGGTTTTATACAGGGTGACTGGTGAATTACTATCAATATTTAAGGAGGATACTCGGTACATGATTCTCATTCGAATTATGTAAAAAAAATAGGTACTTAATTTTTGACAAAATTTCCGTATAAATAAATAAAGTGTTGACACGTTCCAAGTGTTCCAAGTGTGGAGGCGTGCGGCGGCGTGCTGATACAACACAACGCCGCCGCACTCGTATGTGTGAGTGTGGGTGTATACCTAATCTGTAGGGTGTTTACACGATGCGTAATTAATTACATAACTTTTGGTTAACTTTACTTAGAGGTTTATTAATATTTATGTTATATTAATTTTTATTTTGTCATATATGATCGTCACAAATCACGTCCTCAAATATCGATAGTAATTCACCAGTCACCCTGTATATATTTTTAATATGTTATTTCTGTAACTGTTTCTTCACATTGATTATCGATTCAAAACATTTGAATTTAAAGTATGAAGTTGATGCTCAAATCTTTCGTAATGTTACTACAAATGCATATTTCTTAATTTGAAGTTAAATTTTATATATAAAATAAATGGTAATTTTAATTCATTTAATAAATATATAGTGATATATAATAAATTTCTTTATTAGCCTAGTCTTATAATTGTACAAGTAAGAAAGTCTGGCTTATTAATATCATGTAAATTTTAAATATATTATTAAAATAATAATAATATCACTTAAATATTATACCAAAAAAAATACTTCAAAAAATTAAGACATATTTTTTTAGGCTATGGTTAAAATTTAATATTACGCAATCCATCGAAGTGACTTTGACATAAATTGTCATATATTTTTTAAAATATATTTTGACAGCTGCTATCGGGAATTTAAAAAAAACATCTTTGGTAATAAAATTAATAGTTATATATTAAATGAATGAAACGAAGTGAGAATTGTGAGAAGGTCGCCGCGACACGTGATTCGGGTCAGATTAATAATATCGGGTTTTAATAATTATATTATTAATAAATGTTATTCATATTAATTATTAATATTAACAAAACATTTTCCTTTTTATCGTTAATTCAATAATTATTATGTTTTTCTTAGCACATATTGATTTTATTTAAAAAATTTGTTTCCCAAAAAATTACCTGAATCATATCAATGTTCTTCTAAAAACAGTTTTTGCGTGTTCGATAAATTTGTGCAAAACATAATATAAAAACACAATAACATAATATAACAGTTATCAAAGATATTTTATTTAATTAAACAACACAAATTGAAATACATATTTGCCTCTGAAGCTTATTTAAAAAATAATTTAAAAAAAACTTTCGATTTAAATCTATTTATATATGACATTAACATATGTAAAACAATAAAAACGCCTCTTTCATTCAATGTAATTCAATGCTATAAACGCCCAATAGTCCATAAAACATTCTTAGAGCCGTATGTAAAGTTACGCCGTTTGGACTACAAGCTCCTGACCTCAGCTTACGATCGATACCGCGTGGCTATCCATATTGTTAGAAAAAAACCGTATATATCAACGAAAAAATCCAAAAAAAATATCATTAATATACTTATAATTAAAATGATTATCTAGTTTAAAATACTGTTATAATTTATTTAAATATATGAATATGCATTAATTTCCTGTCTAGTTACTTTTTTTATTGTATTTATAGTAAAAATCTTAATTATTTTAACGGTTTTTTGACATAAAATTTAATAATTTCTGAATTATTCCGATTGGTACATATCTTTTTTTATCAAACAGCCGTTACGTCTTATTCTGTCGACACTACGATAATAGTCTAAGATAATTTCAAATATTTTTATAATCATTGTGGTTGAATTAATTATATTTGTATATATGAATAAGTTAAAGACGTAATACCCTCTAAAGTTAAATCAGCTCTTAGACTATGATTTTTAATTGAATTAAATTCTTAAGGAATATATATCGATACGCAATTAATGAAAACAATAATTTATATAACCCAAATTTGAAATTTCATTTTTAAATTCAGTTAAGTTTATGTATATTTAAAATTTATGGATTCCTTTCACTATGCAAGATATTATTTTTAATAAGATTCATTATAATAAATTAAATCACAAAGAAATATATATTTGCATAAAATTAATAACTGCTATAAATGCTAGTAGATCACATGTTCTTAAAGAGATTTCTTTAGGAATAGAAGTTTAAAAATTTTGTTTTCTTAATTATAATAAACTCCAAAAAGGTTTATAATAGAAAAATATTTCACCAAATGAAAATGGCTTTATATGATAAATTTTTATGTGGCACTATGGAATATATTTGATTTAATTACTTACATTTTGATATCTTTGCTTATTTATAACTTAAATTAAATTAAAAAATATATATACACTGCACTGAAATTTCCCGCCTTTTTATGCTGTGGCGACTAAGCCCGCCAAGAAGTACCGCGAGACTGCCGTGCGCCAATTACGAGTGAAACAGAAGAATACATCTCAATAAGAGAAATAGAGATACACACACTGTATTGAGCGTCAGATAGGGTTGTTCAGGGTTGAATTTTTGGGGTTACTGTTTTAATAGTAAAGCGGGGTTGTTTTTTTTTTAATCCGAGAAGGTCAACATTTACAGCATATTAACATAAAAAAAATGAATTAGTTCATTTTATATGGTTAAAGCTTGGAATTATGTGATATAGCAAAATATCAATGAATTATGCAATATTTTTAGTTGTAACTGTTTATTACTTTAATACAACATGGTAATAGTTTCAGAAGAGTTTTTTTAAATATTAAAAAAAATAGAGTAACATTTTTTACACCTCAAACTCTTCTTTGTGATAAAATATTTTATGACTTCATAAAAATAAAAAGGTAAAAGTTTCCATATCAGTTCATTGCAGAGACAAGGTATATATTCAAATTTATAATGTACAAAAATAAATTTGTAACTCAGTCAATAACATTTTCTTGTTATAGTTTACTGTTCTGCATTTCCAAAACTAACAATGTCAAAATATATTGACATTCATATTTGACAGATCATGCTAACCTTGACAGTTGTCATATTGTTTCAAAACTTTCGGTCTTCATAATATTTAATTTAAGAAAATTATTAAATAAAAATGATTAATACGGAAAGGCTTTTAGTATTGTACGGTAGTCAAACTTTCACCGCACAGGAGATAGCTGAAAGAATATGGCGAACTACAAAAGTGTTGGGCTTCAAAGGTCCAGTGCAGGCAATGGATGATTATTCAATATCGAAACTAATTCATGAAGAATTTGCTCTTTTTGTTTGCTCTACAACTGGTCAGGGAGACGAACCAGACAATATGAAAAGATTCTGGAAATTTCTATTACGAAAAAACTTGCCATCGAATTCTTTAGTGAAACTTAAGTTCGGAGTTATCGGATTGGGTGATTCTTCATATACTAAATTTAATTTTGTGGCAAAAAAACTACATAAACGACTTATCCAACTTGGCGCTACTCCTATACTAGATTTAGGTAATATTTGAAACTTACTCAATATTAATACATAATTTTTAAGGCTTTTTATTTAATGTCACTAGATCTCTAAAATTATTCCTATTTTTAAATCAAGACCTCATATAAGAACTTTTTATAGCCCACACACTGATGGCTTTAGAAAATATTTTGAATTTGTGTTCCTAAATTTTTTAGTTATAGTTAATCATTATCAACTATTTTTGTAGGTCTATGTGATTACCAACACGACCTGGGCCATGACGCCATATTATCTCCATGGCTGAAGGATTTCCTCTCCATCATCAAGACTTACTTCCCCAATATTCCGACTGACACAATCAAATCATCATTTGTCCCGAGATGGAAAGTTTCTTTGATCAAGACAGAAAATCATGAAAATGGCGCAACTTTCAACGAAGATATATACTTCAGAAATGGCCGCAAAGATCATTTTCTTGATACAAGTTATTTTGAAGTGGAAAAAAATATTAGGACTACGGATGAAACACATTTTCAAGTAGGTTATAAAAACAGCTATATACCATATTAAGACAAATATTAATACATTTATTTTCATTCTATAAATATACTAAAAAATCATTTGTATAATTAGCTATTGCTTATAAAAATTAGAAATAATATTAATTTTTTAATGGGAGCTAATGTTACAATAAATCCTTTTTTTCAATGTAATATATATATTTATAAAATTTTTTAGGATGTAAGATTAATAACACTAAAAGTGTGTGAGGACAAATTACTTGATTATAAGCCCGGCGATGTTTTTAATATTCGGCCTCGTAATAGTAAAGAAGATGTCGATGATTTGTTTGATATATTTGACACTCATAATCTGGATATAAAACCTTATTACAGACTGAAAGTAGAACAATGTCATGATGGTAAGTAGATATATATATAAAATAACTTATATAACTATAATGCTATTATTAAATAGCAAAAAAAGTGAAAAAAACATATTAACAAACTTTAAATGAATAAATGAAGTATGTATAATGTATACAGGGTGACTGGTGAATTACTATCAATATTTAAGGAGCATACTCGGTACATGATTCTCATTCGAATTATGTAAAAAAAATGGGTACTTAATTTTTGACCAAATTTCCGTATAAATAAATAAAGTGTGTACACGTTCCAAGTGTTCCTAGTGTGGACGCGTGCGGCGGCGTGCTGATACAACAACACGCCGCCGCACGCGTATGTGTGAGTGTGTAGTGTAGAGTAATCTGTAGGGTGTTCATACGATGCGTAATTAATTACACAACTTTTGGTTAACTTTACTTAGAAGTTTATTAATATTTATGTTATATTAATTTTTATTTCGTCATATATGATCGTCAAATATCACGTCCTCAAATATCGATAGTAATTCACCAGTCACCCTGTATATAGTAGGTACATTAGTATAAAAATAGACATTAAAAGACAAAGAAAAAACTATTTAAGTGAAGTTTATAAACATATTTGTAATTTTTAAACAGTCACTGTATTTAAATTTTATTTATTATAGAAGCCATTAATGACTTATTTTTAATGTTGTAGTTCAAATAATATATTCTAATTCATTAATATAAACAAAGCTTGTGTAAAGTAACAATAGCCAGATTATCATCAAGTCAAATTTATATTGAACTAGTTTTTTGGACTCATTACTCTTTTTTTTTCTTTCTTAAACATATATGTATATATTTTCTGATATTAAATTTCTTAAGGTGTATAAAATATACAGCAGGTAATTTCAAATCCAACCATATCCATATAAATGTCTGACATAGCATTCCTGCATTTTTGGCTTTAAAAATATTTTTTATTATTATAATTTTTTATTATGCTCATATTCTAAAGTTTTTGGGACAGATTACAGAATGAAATATGTAATAAAGTTAGAGGTGTGAATAATATATTAATTAAAAATACGCATTTGCTATTGAGTTTCATGCACGAATACGTCTTAGAAATATAAATTCATGCAGTTTTTTATCGTAATGCTACATCGGATATTGTTTACGATTTTCACGAACTAATATCGTATCGTATAATATGAAAATGCTCTTAAATAATTTGCAACGTAAAAGAATTTATAATTATTATCATCGGATAAAAAAATATATGACATTGCATAACTTTAATTTGAATTTAAAAGATAAAAATATATAAATCGCGTTTAAGTCGTGTAACCGAACGCGTAACTGTCAAACCACACGTGGTTTTAACTCGTGTCAAAGTCGCTAGTAATCAAATATAATCAAAGAAGCGTGTTATTATTTTAATGTTATAAAATTATCGAGATTTATAACAAAAAAATATGCTGAGACGGCAGGCGCGTTTGCGCCGTGAATATCTGTATAGGAAGTCAGTGGAGGATAAACAAAAGAGTATACAAGCGAAGAAAGATCAATTAAAACGTAGTTTAGAAGAAAACATTCCGATACACGGAGATTTAAGGAAAGAGGCACTCGCTTTACAGAAACGAATCGAGTATGAAGATAAAGGTAAGTTATATATGAATGTTTTGATTCAAATAGATTTGTGTGATTATTGTTCCAATCTTGATTTTACATCAGAATTATTATGAGTGATATAAAATCAATGTCCCTTCTCATCAATGTTTTCTACTGCTTTTGCTAGAAGTAATTTCACAGTCTGTTAGTTTCAAGTCTGTTTCGTCCTTAACTTTAGCTATCATAATTTCTTCAGCTTAGCTGTACTTCTTTCAATTTATAATATTGTCATCAGTCTATCAGAGCCCACTGCTGAACAAAGGCCTCTTTCTCACGTGGAGAAGGTTTGAGCATTAATCACCACTCTTGCTCAAGATGGGTTGGCAATTTCAAACTTATAATTGTGAAATTATAAGTCCAGGTTTCCTCATAATGTTTTCCTTCACCGCCTGTCAGTGGTGTCTAAATACTCTTAGAAAGTACATATGACTCGGAAAAATCACATATTTTTTTCCGCTTAGTTTTAGTTGTTTCAATTTACAATATTTTTATGGGAATATTTGTTTGCTATGTTATAATTCTAGGTCCCGAGCGAGCTGCAGTGATTGGTGGTTTCAGTGGTGGAGCTAACACATTGAACTCACAAGATGACGAATATAGATATGCAGGCGTCGAAGATCCTAAGATCATGATAACAACCTCTAGAGAACCGAGCGCCAGGTTGAAGATGTTTGTTAAAGAATTAAGGTATAGGACATATAAAAATTTTATTTACTTTTATTATTTCAAAAGAAAAAATGCCACAGGGTATATACAAATGTAAAAAATGCATTTAATATATCTTTTGTGTAAACTTAATTAAGAGAATATATACCATATTTAAATCAGTTATTATAGTGAAAAAATACTGAAATAAATGGTGTTAATACAAAAATATCTTTCATATATCAAAAAACATTATTTCTCATACTAATAAAATTACAAATACACAGAACAATAATATGAAAAATATTATAGTTATCTTAACTTTAGCAAGCTAATTGTTTCGAACTCAGAAACTAAGTATAATGGAAACAGATTTAAATTCCTTCACAAGTAAAATTACAAAGATATCTAGGGTTAAATAAATGGAGTTGCATTTAACATAATTAGTACTATTTTACTCAAAGAAATGTTCAAGCAATTTCAAAAATATCTTTCTGAGTATCAGATTTAGTGCTTTGTTTGATTTTTATGGTATTTAGTATTTACCATAACTAGTCAAAAATTGAAATGCCATATCAATGAGTTAACAATTTCTGTTTAATTATTTGACAATAAAAGTAACTAAGTACACAAAGTTTGTAAAACTCACACATTTAAAAACCATTTATAACTATTCAATCAAATTAATTTTCTCTGAAATACTCTTAGTGATCAATAAAACATGAAATCCTATTGTAATACTTCAATATTATTTAATATTAATGTGGAAATGTTAATAAATCTAATTTAATTTTCAGATTAATCTTCCCGAACAGTCAGCGTATGAATCGTGGTGGTTATGAAATGTCTCAATTGATTCATGCATGTCGAGCAAATGATGTGACCGACTTCATCGTAGTACATGAACACCGAGGCATACCTGATAGTTTGGTAACTATGATAATTTTAATACTAACATATTTAATACTAGTTTTCCGCCCGTAGCCTCGCCCGCGTGGAGTTCGGTTATATCGCGTTTCCAAGAGAACCTTTCAAAAGTCTGGGATAAAAACTATCCTATGTTCTTTCTCAAGGTCAACTCTGTCTGTACCAAATTTCATTAAAATCAGTTCAGTGGTTTAGGCGTGAAAGCGTTACAGACAGACGGACAGCCAGAGTAACTTTGGCATTTATAATATTAGTAGGGATATGTAAATAAATATTGTTGTATATCACATTGATAGAACTCCCTACTACTAAATACATATATTATTTTTTTTATACAACATTTGACCATGTAAATATATAAATATACTAGTATTGCTCGAGACTGCATCTGCGTTTTTTTGAGAATATGAAATGTATAACTGACCGGGCAAAGTCTATTCCTCCTTAAAGACTATATAAGAAGATTTCGGATTTTATCAACTTATTTTCTTTTTCAATCAGATGAAGAGTATCCCATGTTAAGCTATCTCTTCACCAATTTCCAGCCAAACCTATACAGCTGTTATTAAGTTATATATAGTGTAACTAACTAAATTCTCTTTATATATATATTATATTCTCTTTATATTATATATATATATATATATATATATATATATATATATATATATATATATATATATATATATGTATATGTATATGTATTATCTTTGTCAGGTAATCTGCCACTTGCCCTATGGACCGACAGCATCATTCACTCTCTCCGGAGTGGTCATGAGACATGACATACCAGATATTGGTCCAATGTCTGAACAGTTCCCTCATCTTATATTTCATAACTTCAAGACCGATCTTGGTAAATATATTTTGATATAAGAAAAATTTTAGTGGAAACTCAATTTTAATAACATAATAATGTTAAAAAAACATCGTTTATGGATGAAAAACTGTTATAGATTTTAAAGATTTTGGTTTTAATGAAATCCGAAATATAATTTAGAAATAATAATAATTCATTAGCTGAATGCTTTTATAATCAAATTTAAGTCATGTACATGAATTTAAAAAATCTAGGCATCATACTAACTATTATTATGGATATTAAGGGCAAAAAATATTTAAATTATTTATAGTATATAAAATAAGGATTAATATATAATAATATGTATCTTTTCCAGGCTTAAGGACAATGAGCATCCTAAAATATTTGTTCCCTGTACCAAAACCGGATTCAAAAAGGGTTATAACTTTCGCTAACAATGATGATTACATATGTTTCAGACAACACACATACAAAAAGGTATTATATATATTTAAATAATGATTTATATATACATACATATATTAATAAATTGCACAAATAGGATGTTCTTTAACTCTCTTATTAAATTTGGAAATGTTCAGGATATAAATGTTCTTATTTCCTTACATATATCAAAAATTTTCTATATTGTAACAAAACATATTACATACATATATTTTTATAACTTTAATTACAGTCTGGCAAAGAAATTGAACTATCAGAGATCGGTCCACGATTTCAAATGAAGTTGTATGAAATAAAATTGGGTACACTTGAAGCATTGGATGCAGCGGATACTGAGTGGGCATTAAGACCATACATGAACACAACAAGCAAAAGACGGTTCTTGAGTAACGATGCTGGATGGACAGAGGACATATAGATATTATATATAACAAATAACTAAATAAAGATTTTTATTTTTACATACAACCTTGATCTATAATCTATATATTGTTGCTGTTATAATTACGCAAATTAAGAGTAATGCATTTAATTGAAGTATAACTTCTTTATGCACGCTTGACTTGAGTAAGCTGGTGAATCAGTGACGAAAGCGTTACGAAAAGTGTGATCGGGCGAGGCGAACGAAAGTGAGAGGGAGATTAAGAAAATAGAGTGTTACGGTTCGTATATTACTGTAGGGGCAAGAGATAGCAGGTCGCGCACATAATTTTTTCACTTCCTTTCGTAACCAGTGCATGAAATATATACAGGGTGACTGGTGAATTACTATCAATATTTAAGGAGCATACTCGGTACATGATTCTCATTCGAAATATGTAAAAAAAATGGGTACTTAATTTTTTAGACCAAATTTCCGTATAAATAAATAAAGTGTGGATACATTCCAAGTGTTCCAAGTGTGGACGCGTGCGGCGGCGTGCTGATACAACACCACGCCGCCGACGTGTGTGTGTGTGTGTGTGTCTATATACCTAATCTGTAGGGTGTTCACACGATGCGTAATTAATTACATAACTTTTGGTTAACTTTACTTAGAAATTTATTAATATTTATGTTACATTAATTTTTATTTTAACCATCTTCCAACCCGGCTGGTCACCGTGGAAGATCAAGACCAAAACCCTCTAAAGAAAAAACTTCAACATTCTTCAACAAAAGAAACTAAATCCCTAGAAATACTTAACTCAACTAAAAAGAAGAAAGACCAGCTCTACATATTATCTTACAACGTCAGAACTCTATCTACCTACGAACGCCTAATTGAACTTAGCGAAGCAATCACTAGAGTCAAATACGACATAATTGGATTGTGTGAAATAAGAAGGGCGGGTACCCGGATAGAAGAATACAATAATTTCGTACTATGTCACACAGGACACACACCTGGCAAATATGGAGTCGGTTTCATAATAAATAAAACACGTAAGAACTGGATTGAAAGCTTCTTGGGCATAAACGAGAGAGTAGCATTATTAAACTTAAACATACAAGGAATGTCCATGTCGATTATACAAATATACGCACCGACTGAAACTGCGAGTGAAGAAGAGATTAACACCTTCTACTCGAATATTAATAGAGCCCTAGACCAAGCTCATAAAAAGTATATAATAATGGGCGACTTTAACGCGAAAATAGGACAACCGCGAAAAGAAGAACACCTAATAATGAAACCAAACGGGTATGGGGAAAGAAACCAGAGAGGTCAGAGGCTAATTGATTTTGCCCTTGAACACAACCTTGCCATCTTAAATACTTTCTTTCACAAAAAACCAAACCAAAGATGGACCTGGCGATCACCAAATGGTAAATACAAAAATGAAATAGATTACATTTTGTCAAATCAACCAAATATCCTTCAAAACATAGAAGTTTTAAATCTGAACTACCCGTCAGACCACAGGGCAATCAGAGCAACAATGTCTCTCACAAAGCAAAAGAAAAAACGCACAACGTACAGAAGTAACCGACTTTCATCACTGAAAACTGAAGAAGAAATGAGATCTTACAAACAAAACATAGCATCTCAGTTACAGGATATAAATAAATGCCAAGAAAATACACCAGTACAGTATTTCTATGACACATTAACTAAGGCTATAACCCAGAGTTTACAGGACGCTCGAACATCCAACGAAATACCAAAAAGTAAACATAAAGTTCTAAAAGAGCGTACTCTAGCACTTATCAAGAGAAGTCAAGAGTTACAACATGCTAAGATAAAAACTCGAGCCACAAGAAACGAACTATCAGCTCTATACAAACTAGTAAGTAAAAACATCAAACATGATTACAAAAACTACAGATCGAAAACTATAAAAAACCACTTGGAAAAAGCAGGAAGCTCAAAAAAGGCCCTTAAAGAATTAAGAACAAATAAATATTGGATAGAAGGCTTAAACAGCAAAGACAAAATTGTAAATAATCGCAAAGATATTATAGATGTAGCAACCCACTTCTATAAAACCCTATATAAAGCCCAAGGAAACGAGCAAACTAGCTATAGAAATGCAAACGACACTTACTCTACAAATAAGAGCGGAAACATAACACCAATAACTGAAAGAGAAGTCACGCAAGAAATAAAAAGGCTAAAGCTCGTCAAAAGCCCTGGACCAGACGGCATTACAAATGAAGCCATAAAGGTTGCCTGGCCGCTACTGACTCCCCCACTAACATATTTATTTAACCTTGTATTAAAAACTGCCGAAATACCGTCGCAGTGGACGGAGTCGGAAATTATCTTAATTTACAAAAAAGGGGACTCAAAAGATATCACAAACTACAGGCCTATTAGCTTAGTCTCATGTATTTATAAACTGTTTTCCTGTATAATTAACAAAAGAATAAGTGTCACAATAGAAGCACAGCAACCAGTCGAACAAGCAGGCTTCCGCAAGCGCTTTTCAACAATAGATCATATACATACTCTCGAACAAATAATAGAAAAATATCAAGAGAAGCAAAGAACACTCTACATCGCATATGTCGATTATAAAAAAGCTTTCGATACTGTGTCACATTCAAGTATCTGGACCGCTCTGCAAGCTCAAAAAGTTGAACAAGAATATATAGATATAATCAGAAACATTTACAAAGGTAGTACAGCAAAAATAAAGCTGGAATCCACTGGCCCTACGTTTTCCATCGAAAGAGGCGTAAAGCAAGGCGACCCCCTGTCTCCAAAACTATTTATATCTATCTTAGAGTCAATAATAAGAAGATTCAACTGGGAAAAGACAGGACTAAACATCAATGGCAAGTATTTATCCCACCTACGCTTCGCAGATGACTTGGTTCTGATGTCAGAATCAAGCACACAATTACAAAGCATGATTGACTCACTGAACACAGCCAGTAAACAAGTAGGACTAGAAATGAATCTCTCGAAAACCATGGTCATGACAAATAGTATACAGAAAAGAATATCAGTGGAAAACGAAACTCTGAATTATACAGAAAATTACATCTACCTCGGAAAACAAATGGGCTTCAGCAGAAAACAAAACGAACTAGAAGCAGAAAGAAGAGTGCAAAACACTTGGAACAAGTACTGGTCCTTAAAAGACATATTCAAAAGCAACATGCCAATAAATGTTAAAACAAAAGTCATGACGTCATGCCTCCTACCTTGTCTAACATACGCTTGTCAAACTTGGAAATATACATCTAAATTAAAAAGCAAAATCACTACCTGCCAACGAGGAATAGAGCGAAGTATGCTGAATATTAAAAAGATGCAAAAAATACGTCACACAAAAATTAGAGAAACCACAAAAGCGACTGATGCTCTAACCTACGCTAAGAAATTGAAATGGAAGTGGGCTGGGCACGTAGCGAGGTTAAAGGACGAGAGATGGACTAACAGGGTAACAACGTGGAAAGGTCCAATCGGCAAACGTCCCAAAGGCAGACCGCTCACAAGATGGGCAGACGAGCTGATAAAAACAGCTGGTACCTGCTGGCCGCAAATAGCTCAAGATAGAGACTCATGGAGTTCTTTAGAGGAGGCCTTCACCTTCACTTGAGGAGGGGTTCATGCAAAACAAACCTAGTTATACATTTAAACTATTTTCTAAATTAATTGGAATCAAGTGTAATTAATGTCTTTACTATTATTTCTTTCTTTCTTAAAACTACACATGTAACCTGAAAAAATTGCATGAAATAAAAGGTTTTATTATTTATTATTATTATAATTTTTATTTTGTCATATATGATCGTCAAATATCACGTCCTCAAGTATCGATAGTAATTCACCAGTCACCCTGTATATTTATTGGTATGTATTTATATCTCAGTCAGTAGTTCGTTAGCGAGTTTGGTGGTGTTACGCATACAGACAAAACGAAAGAAGTTTTACTTCAGTAGTGTGATCTAAAGCAATAGTTTAAATTTTTTTCATACCATAATTATATCATCTTATATACATATAATAGTTTTAATATTATAGGTATAAATTCAGGTCAGTTCAAATTTTAATATATTAATTTTGGTTTTCACTTTCTAAAATAGATGAAATGATAGATTCTTTTCTTGTAAATTCTGTTTTGAAAAGATTAACTACTAAGAACAAATATTTTTAAATTTCTTGGTAATATCAATTATCCTAAAAAAAATTCAAAGTTAACAACTGCGTGTTTTCTTCGTGTGTTTTGTGTTTGTTGAAACCACCGTATGCTTTTAATTGACATCATTTAAATATTTGAATCGCGTTCAACGAAATACGGTGCATGCTCTTATCCTTTTATCGTACATGCGTCAAGATAGCATAATGGATAAACGAATTTACAAATTTCTTTGAAACTCTCAACTAAGATATTAAAATAATTACTTTAAAACAAAATTTCTATTCTTTTAAGATATGCCAGTACAAGAGTTTTTCAAGGAGCCACTCACTATGTATGAAATAGCCGAACAGTATTGGGATTTGAAAGCTTATCCGACACAATATGTGTTCTCACTTCTCGCATTAGCGTCTGAAGATAAATTAGAAAAAGATAAATGTATAGAACTCAGTTCGTCAGAAGGACAAGAAGATTGGCTCAATTATTGTAGAAGACCAAAAAGAACTATTCTAGAAGTAAGGGAGACATTGTAAATACATTTGTAGAAATAGTTACATCAAATGAGATCTAAGATTTTCGCGAGTATGCATTAAAATAAATCATACTTATATTAAAACTAGAAAAATATATCAATTCATATAAAACTATAATTTTTGGATTGACCACGCTAATTATTATGAGAAATTTAACCCGATGATGATTTATGAGGCGTAGACTTTATGAAAAACTTTAAGAATATGTAATGATTAAGAAAACCCAACAAATATAGTTTTATTTAAATGCATACACTATTCACTATAATAACATTACAATTAAATTTTCATTTCGTTAAAATTTTTAATTTGTATTTGAACACACAATAATTTTAAATCATAAATTGAAACGTCAAAATATTGAAGACTCGCTTCCGCGTCACTTGCCTGTTGTTGGAGACAAATAGCGTGCTTTTTTAAATTACGTTTTCAAATATTAGTTACATTTATAACGATTTTTAAAACAATATATAGTTTTGAACACTGTAACAATGTGCCAATTTTAATATCAATATTACATTTGCAGGTATTACACGACTTTCACAAATCAGCATCGAAGTTAACTATAGAGATATTATTCGAATTATTCTGTTCAATTAAACCGAGATCCTTTTCTATAGCGAGTAGTTGTTTATCGTCAAACGGAAACAAATTAGACTTATTAGTAGCTGTTGTCAAATATTACACTAAATTAAAAAAAGCGCGACTCGGCCTAGCCTCCAATTGGTTGAAGAGTTTACAAAATGGCGACAAAGTTTATGGTTGGATAAAGAAAGGATCGATTAAATTTCCAGATGATAAGGTAAACATAATTTATGAATAAGAATAGAATTTTGTTTTTCTTTTGTATTTATCTCAGAATTTCATATAAGTACAGTTTGTATGAAGATTTGTTAAGACTTAATTAGCCTATTTGACTTCTCATTATTACCGTTGCCAGTTTTTTCATATAAATCATAAAAAAGTCGTTTAATCAGTTTTCTAATCTACTGCATTTGAACCGACTTACACCTTAACATTCACGTACTCAAATTTTCCACACTCATTATTTTAAATTAATATGTACTCGATAAAATTGTTTAATTTTTGGTAAATTAATAGGAATTTTTAAAAATATTATTTTAATAATAAGTAATGTAGGTTTTCTTCAAAATTATCATTTCAGGATATACCACAAATTTTTGTTGCACCCGGTACGGGTTTAGCGCCTTTCAGAAGTTTGTTACAAGAGAGAATATATGAAGGGACCGCTAATAAAGATGTATTGCATCTTTTCTTTGGATGTCGCTACAAAGAAAAGGATTTCCATTGTAAAGAAGAACTTGAGAAAATGGTTGAAGACAAACAATTAAGCTTATACACAGCATTTTCTAGAGATCAGGATAACAAAATGTATGTAAAAAAATATTTTTATTTATTACTAGCTGCGCCCCGATTTCCGGGATGTAAAGTAGCCTATGTGTTATTCCTGGACGTCAGCTTCCTGTATACAAAATTTTATGAAAATCGGTTCAGCCGTTTGAGCGTGAAGAAGTAACAAACATACACACACACTCACAAACTTTCGCAATTATAATATTAGTAGGATTAAATCTTCTACCTGGCAATTTCCCAGCTTTAACCAGGGTCTGCCTGCCTCACATGTTGTGAATAGTTTTGGCTAATTGTTTTTACGACCGGCCGCCTGCCTGACATCAACCCTCTTTGGGAATGCATTAATCAGTGATGTCTAAATACTCTTAGAAAATACATATGACTCGGAAAAATCACATTAGTACTTGCCCGGGTCAGGATCGAACTCGCGCCCTCGTGAATGAGAGGCGGGCCTTTTAACCACTAGGCCACCACTGACTTTAGTAGGATTAACTATACTTTTAAAATTTATTTCCTATTTTTCCAGTTACGTTCAACATAAAATAGCTGAAGCATCAAATGAGTTATGGCATCTCATACACAATAAAGGAGCGTACATATTTATATCGGGCAATGCCAAAAATATGCCAAATAATGTTCGGGATGCATTCATAGAAGTGTTTCATACATGCGGTAACATTGATATGGTGGAAGCTAAAGAAATGCTCAAAGATATTGAGAGAAATTGCAGATTGCAAGTTGAAACTTGGTGAAATATAGATCACTAGCTTTTGCCGCGACTCCGTCCGCGTGGAATAGTGACTTCCGGCAGATTTTTGGTTCTTCCCACATAGTTCCCGTTCTTGCTGGGTTTTCGGAATGGTCGAGTTCCCATATAATTTTCAGGATAAAACCTGTTTTTTTATTCACAATGAAGTACTCTTAACCAACAACATATTTATTTGTTTATTTCAATAAAGATTAATATTATTATGTTGATACAACTTAAACAAATTATTTCGGCCAAATTAGGTACCATAAAAAAGGTTTTTGTGAGTTAATCTTAAAAGAGAGTTATATACTGTCGCGGACTGTTTTTTAGATCATTAAAAGAGACATTATTCTTTAATACATATTTTTTGTGTATCTTGAACCGTTTTCACGGCGCACGCAACGGAAGGCTTCAAAGATGAAATAATTTCTCCCGTTTTTTACACATTTATCACTATATCTTTGCTCCTATTGGTCGTAGCGTGATGTTATATAGCCCACAGCCTTCCTCGATAACTGGACTATCCAACACAAAAAGAATTATTCAATTCGAACCAGTAGTTTCGGAGATTAGCGCTTTCAAACAAACAAACAAACAAACAAACAAACTCTTCAGCTTTATAATATTAGTATAGATTAGTGATTTATCACAAAATATATAACTATTTAATATACACTTGTAAATATATTAAGGAAATGACATTAAAAAGTTTATTACATAATAAATCAAATCGTTTTATTAAAAAATCCATCAAGACAATCATACCGTTGATTCAATACACAATTGATATTGAAATACATTCAGTTTAAAAACAGCTTGTTTTAACTTTACATATATACTAAGTTTCCATATATTCATTAACTGCTAAGTCCCCATAGTTTAAGATTCCCAGCATCCCGTTTCCTCTCAGGAGGTTCCTTATCTTCACAAGCAAATGCCACCAAATATCTTGATGGATGCCAAGCCACTGTGAATGTTGCAGCCTGAACTGGGATTTCTGCTACTTTCTCTCCTAATGATTAAGTATTAAAATGATAGATAAATCTTAATAAATTTTTGGTTACTATTCAAATTTTATTATATTACAAAATCTTTTATATTGTGAAACATCGAAATATAATGGACATGCCGTACGCGTATAATCTGCAGTAATTTTTTGGTTTGAAAAGAATGAGAGAGATGGCTTATGCTTTCGGTCTAGCACTATCTCTTTCCTCATACACGGATTTAAATTTATTGATTAAAATAATTAATTTAACCGTATAATTCATACGTCATTAATACTAAAAATGCTAAAAATCAGAAAGTTAGATTAAACGTAACGTATATGTCATTAGGAAATAATAAATTATCCAGAAGGGGCTCATAACGTCTTAAGTACGGTACTATTTTGAGAGAGATAAAGATAGACCGAAACTTCGTTTCCTCTCTTTCTTTCGGAGTGCCACAATTCTCATCTCTAAGGCATGTCCATTAATATATGTCGATGCCTTGAAAGATTGCTTGGCAACACTGATGGATTTTAGTTTATGTAGATATTACACAGACAAAAATAATTTAATACTATAGATAACAGATGGCAGCAATTGTTGTTGCCATATAAACATAAATTACCTGTTTCAGTATCCCCTATATCTATGATATGATCTTCGCTCGCTGAAGCCAAGAGACGACCGTCGAAACTAAAGGACAATGTTCTTACCGGCCACTCCAACCTGATAATATATCATTTACATATAAGCTCTTAAGTTAAAACACTGTATTTAAGCTAACAAAATGAGCTTTAGTAAAATCCACTTTATATAAATAGATTTTCAGCAAGTTAGGAGCAAAAGTTCAAAATGTTTGAAAAATTTTTAGCTAAATATATTTTTAAACTGATATCTTGACGAGTACACAAATGAAATTTTTAGTTGGTCAATTGAGATCGAATAGAATCTTGTTCATTATAGCGTTATAGAAATGCTTTACAAAAGATAGCAAAAAAAATACTCTTTATGTAATAGACATTGAACTAAAATTAAATAAAAAAAAAACTGAGGACAAAAGAAGTTATGAATTTTTTGAATATCATCCTCTAGCTATTTTCAGAATTAAGCTATGCCTACACATTATTTAATAAGTAAATTTATCGGTAGTTGTAAGTAACGGAAGTATGTACTAGTTTTTTATAACTTTTTAAAACAATATACATATATCGTACCCACAACGACATCTATGGTCTATGTCACTTAACTTCATACATAATACAACTGTTGTATCATGTTCTCATGAGAACATTAAAAATTCTACATACGTTTATCTTATTCTGAAATCTAGGCTACATTACTGCAAAAGTTTCAAATTTGATTCATAGGTTGTTGCATGAAAGAGCAACAAGCATCTATATCCATACATTTCACAAACTATGTAACACTAGATTTGCCCGCGACTTTGCCGCGTTAATTTCGGCATTAGTAATATATAAAAGAAAGCCAAACCCAAAAAAACAAAACAACAGAAATGTTATAAAAATACATACAGCTGGACGTCGGCTTCCTGTATATAAAATTTTATTAGAATCGGTTCAACCGTTTGAGCGTGAAGAAGTAACAAACATACACACACACTCACAAACTTTCGCAATTATAATATTAGTAGGATTTTTACCTTGAGAAAACTCTCAGACAAGCGAGTTCATTGACATCCCACAAGGAAACAAGTGCGTCAGCCGAGCCCGTAGCAAAGTAACGGCCAGTGGGGTCGTGTTCAATACATATACATGTACCGGGGTGAGCCTTCAATACCGTTTGTAACTCCAAGTGTGGATAACTGAGGATATACATATTAGTGACTAAATTAAACATATAACCAAATACTTGTGTGATAAAAAATATAAATAGTTAAATTTTAAGTGGATTTTCTAGTCAAAGGATAGAGTCTATAATTATGTTGATGGAAATATACATATAAGCACTATTTGAAATTTGAATATGGTCTTCTGTAGTAATTTGGTTCTTTTTGGGACTTTCTTGTGCATGTATAAGTTCAAATTTAAGATTACAGCTTACACAATTAGTTATATAAATATATTTATTGTAATTATAATCTAAAGGTTTCTTTTAGGAAATGTAAGGCTGATGAAATTTACACTTCAAAGTAAATTGTTGTGTGGTGTTAAAAATTGTCATAATTTTTATAAATAAATAAATAGTTTTTAGATATTAATAAAATTGTATTATAGAAATAGATTAAAATTACTCACGTCAAAATGTGTACACAGCCTAAACCATTTGTGAGGAAGAAGAGATCCGAGGTGTTGTTCCAAGATATTTCATTCACTTCAAAGTTGAATTGTTCTTCAACTACCTAGAAAAATATTTTCAATGAGGCCAATTTTATAGCATAATATATTTATATGTATTTTTTGGCAACATATCAAATTATGTTTACAAATATACATTTTTTTTACAATTAGATGCCATCAGATTTTTTTTATTAAGTGTAAATAATATAGTTTTTACTTTATTTTCCTTATGATTAACTAATCATATATAAAATCTCACCACTTTATAGTTCCTAGTATCAATAAATGATACTAAATCCTCTTTATTTCCAACGGCTATTGTCGCCCCACTCGGTGACCAGGCTATGTTGATGTTTTCACCCTTAGTTGATATTGCCGCTGCACATTTGTGTGTCCTGAAGTCATAAATTAAGTATAGAACATTAAAACTAATTTTAATAACGGCTAGGTGTGAAAAAATCTTAAATTTGAAATTAACTTCAACTAGAATAGTAAACTATACATTGTAAATACATGAATTGGTGCAAGTTAAGAAGTTATATTGAGGTGATATTTGATGAAAACTGTAAGAAGTACCTGGTATCCCATATCCTAACTGATTTGTCACCACTCGCAGTGCTGAGTAAATCTGGATGCGATGCATGCCAACACAACTGATCAACTGAACCCGTATGACCTCGGAAAACGAAATCTTGAGCCTAATGTTCAATAAAAAACGATAGAAATGATGAATATATAATCGTTTATTTGATAAACAAAAACATAACCTAAAAAAGTCCAAACCTACCAATCTATTTCTTTCCAAATTAAATATAACGACACTTTTATCAAAGGACCCGGAAGCTAGCTTTCTTCCATCACAGGACCATCCAACTGAATGCACTTTAGAACTGTGGGCAATGTATTCTCTCACAACATTGTGAGATTGAAAATAACTCTTCAACTCAGCTAAATCCTCGATCGGTGTTTGGCCCTGTTTAGATTCTTTCATTTTGTTTGTCTGTTTTAATAACAATCGATGTATATTACACAATTTAATTACAGAAAAAACACAATTCTTCGTAAAATAGGCGCCCTCCGATTTAAAATTGACATGACAACTTATACTTAAGTGTCAAACGAGTAATGACAAATGAACCTTTTTCGACTAAGTATAAACCTTAATAATAATAGAAAACATTACATGTAGTTGTAAAAAAATCCTTTTTATATTAAAATATAAATAATGTAAGATCATTTTATGAAAATTCATAAAAGGTAAGTTTGAGATATGAAAATTTTTGTAAGTTTCATACTTACCTTGTGATAAAACTTAATTCCATACGTGCATACGTGCTATTTAGGTGATTGTTATTAAAAATAGAAAATGAAAAACGTTTTATTCGGGTTTATGTATTATTTTATAGGCATTTTAAATTTTCTAAAGCTAGAAAAACTCTTCATTCGATGTACTCTCTTCTCCATACTTTAATTTGCGTCAAAAAATAAGCCATAGGACTCAACCACACTACGAACATAAATAAGGCATGTAGAATCTTTTCCTGAAACAAAAAAAAATCATTTTCAATATGTACGTTACGTATAAATAAAATAAAAAGAAAATATATCGTCTATAAAGTGAAAGTACTTTTTTTAGGATATTTATGCTTATCGAATCTATTCTTCTTTTAAGAATCTTATGAAATAAAATTTAATGCGTATCATTGATAAATATTTAGGACTTCATAAAATTTTATTGTTGTACATAAGATCGAGCAAAACAAATAAATGAGTTAGAGCTGCTATCAATAACGCCCTTTTTTTGTTTTCGATATCCGCATTTAATATTATGTTTTGAGAATAAAATAACAAACTTTTTCTTATTTACTTTATTAATTTTTTATTAATGTATTTTGTTTCTACATATTATATGTATGTATATTACAAAGCTCTTCATTTTTATATATTATGGTACCTACAGTTTTGACCCTAGGAATTGTTTTATTATTTTACAATTTTAAAATACATATTTGGGTATTTTATGCAAAATAATTTTCTCACCCCATAAGAACACGGGCAGCGCGGCGGTGTCGAGATAGCCAATCCAACTTGAGCGAAATTACGCTTCGGAGTTTGAATTGCGGGTCGCACTGCAGAACGACGTAGTAAAGTTAGAAAATTTCTTCCAATCATTTTAATATCGCAATTATATCGTTTAGACTTTCCTATAAATAGTTTTCATGAGTTGTCATAAAATTTGACGTATTCTTGTACATATATTTTGAAATTAGAAGGACGATAATATATTCCTAAGCTTTTTTGTCGTAATATAATCTCTTTGGTTTTATAATCAGTTGAACGAAACATAACTACTATTTAAAATTTTATTACAATACTAGTTTTTGCCCGCGACTTCGTCCGCGTTAATTTCATCATTAGTAATATATGTATAGCTGACCGGGCGAACTCTATTCCGTTTTAGAGGCCATTGATAATCGGTTTCACCTGTTTCAATCGAACAGAATGATTGACATATTAGTTTGTTGTCAAATCTAATGTCAAAAAAAACGTTTGTATGGGAAATAGAAAAGGGCTGTTTTTATGGTTTTCCCAGTAATGAATAAATTTTTTTCAGCTTTTATACCTTCCCTGAACCCCCACGAACATTTCAAGACTAAGATAAGATAAATCCGTTCAGCTGTTCTAGAGTTTTAGCGAGACTAAGGAACAGCAATCCATTTTTATATATGTATATAGAAGATTTTTATTCAGTGTTCAATTCTATCTATTCTTTATTTAAATACAGATTAAAAATTCAATTTTAATATTGGCTCCCAAGTCCCAGGACTAGATAAGTTTGTAAATTGGTTAGAAAAAAAACTAGACTTAAATTTTTTGTGTTGTATGTAATTTTAGAATATGTACCTAATATACTTTAATAAAATGGTGTTAGGTAGATGTTATCAGACAGTAAAACAATACTTAAATATAAAACGTATATTCAATGACTACAACCTCATTTTTAGTAGTATTATGTAAAAAATAGTTAATCCTATATTACATTGTAACATAACAATAATAAATAATAATACAATAAATAGTCAAAAAGCGCAAATCGACGAAATAAAATCATAGATAAAACAAAAGTTTTTTTATATATATCACAGATAACTTAAAACTAATATCACTTGAGCGCACTATTTATTTAAAGCCATTAAGGAAACTTCTAGATTCTGCATACATTTGTATAGACAGAATGTTGTGCAATCCAAAATGGCGGCGCATTCTTTGATGACAAATATGAAACTCTTTGGACAGTTCTCCAATAATTCTAAATCGAATTTGTAATTCATATCCAGACAGCGAGCGAAAGTTATTGTTTTGTAATGACGCAGCCAGTAACGGAATTTTCTTATGTCTCTTTCAATAAGCGGATCCGTATATATTTTCTTTTCGGTAATAATCAATTCATTCGTTTGTTTTTCAACTTGTTTTTCGTTATTAGTATCTATATCTTCAATATTATCATTTATTGTGTTACAGTTTTGAAATTCGTCAATTTTCTTTTCAATAATTTTCTCGATGTCAATATCGTTTTCTATATCCAATAAATGATCAGATACATTTATATCTTGTTTATTAAATTTCACGTACAATTGTTTTATGTCGTGTGTTTTCTCGTCGAAGTTGGGATCGATTTCGTCGTAAACACAATCTTCGTCGTTTAAAGTATCAACTGTAGTAATATTGGGATGTATACTGCTTATCATAGATTCATTGCAATCTTTCTCAATACTATTTTCTTCTACATTTTCATCAGTTTGTTCTTCTAGAGGTTCATAATTAGCTTCATTAATAGCTTCATTTACTATGTCAGTGTTTTGTATGACTGTTTTTACGTGTTCAGACACTTGTTGTAGTATATCTTCTTCTATATTCTTGTAGTAAGCTGCTAGTAATTCTTTAGTAGCTGTTCTAGCTTCTATACGTGCTTGTTTGTCGATGATTCTCACTCTTTTCGGTTCGCTGACTCCTGTTTCATCATTTATCAAATTATTTTTCCTCTTCTGTGTCCTAGGTTGTGTTTGTTTTTCTCTTGGCTTTGGGATCTTATATTTCTTGCACGCCATGTCAATCAGTTCCTTAATAGCTTTGTTTCTATCGAATGTCTCTGGGTTATAATCGTCTAATGATTCGTATGCGTCTTCTGCATTAACACTATCTTGTAAATCTATTTTACTATCTTGAATTTCTCTGTCACCAATGTCATGGTCATTATTAATGAATTCGAATATATTTTCATCGCTTTCTGATTTGGTGTCATTTTTATTATCTTTTTCTTCTAAGTCAAGGAAATCATCGTCGAATATTGATTTGTCCCATTCTTCTATATCGATGGTTTCAAATTCTATTTCCTTTTCCGGTTTTTCGTTCATTGGTCCATCTAAGTCTATTTCTGTTTCTGTTATATCTATAACTGAGTCACAGCTATCACTGTCCTCCGAGCTTTTGTTAGTTAGTTTCATAACATGTTCTATACTGGGGGGTTTAGTTTTCAACCAATTCTTATTTTCACAATTTCTTATAAACACCATAGTGTTATCACCTTTCTTTGCTTGCAACGTTCCAACGATGTATGGATTTATAACTTTACCATTCTTACTGACGCCTCTCATTTTAGTCAAGTCATTAGTTGGTAATTTTAAGTCAATTATCGCATATTTGAGAGAATATTGAGAAAAATCTTCACACAGAAGTAATTTGAAGTCCGGATCTTGTATGTATTCTATTATGACATCTGTGTAGGACGTCATAGGTGTCAAATTCGCTGGAAACTCAGTCTTGGGTATTGCGACTTTGTCGTCATTCAGCATTATCTTGTTTAAAATGTCCATAGTAACTTCATCACGTAATTTAGGTTTTCTTTTCATCCTCTTCTCCAAATGGTCCATTAAAACAGCATCATCTATCGGCATATGCATCTGTCGCGCTAACGGTAGATAATATTTGCATAGTATTGTTTTCCTAAACTGTAAATACGTGCACCATTCACGAAATGATAAGAGCCGTTCACTTGGATCCGAATACATTCCTAGTTTATATGACTTTAAATGGTTTTCCTCACAATTGATTCTATCAACTTCATCGGATAACTTCACTTCATAATCATCATCACAACCGAAGCATAACTTCAAAGCGACCAGAACATATGCCATGCATGCACCTTCATAATCTGGCACACGCACAATCTTTTTCCCGGTACAGCTTTTTAAAACCAAATGATCGCATGGTATTAAATGCATAAGTGATAGCACTAATTGCTTAAAATCTTTCGGTAAGCATAATTCCTTGATATAATTAGTTATGATTTTATTCAAATCGGGTACAAGAGGAACTCCTAGATTTAGGCATTTGAAGAACGTCATCGCCATTGCTCGTATTACTTTCGGTGTGTATTCGTTTTGACATCGGACAAAGCTCATCCAATGTGGAATTGATTTTGTGTTTAACTCCTTAGGCACATATTTAATACAGCTATACAAACTGAGCCTTCCTTCTCTTATATAACGAAATATATGCGACAATTGTATGTCACTTCTATCCAAATTCAATGCTACATATAATATTGTCAGTAATGTCCCTTTAGTAACAATATTTATGTAACGTTTAAATTTTTCTGTATCTTTCTTAAATGTGTCCGTGCTGAGATCGTTTGAAATTATACTTGAATTATCACAATGTTTCTTTGATTCGCTTATACTATCATCATCTAAATTGTTGTTGTTCCTGCAAAATAATTAAAATAAAATTTAATATCAATTTATATAGCTTCTCTTACATTTCTTATTTAATCTTTGCTGAACATACATGATTTATTACTGAATATAATTTCAGTGTAAGGAAAATTTTGTAAGATTCTTAGAGAACATTTATATTATATATGTTGAGTAATAAATATTCTTTTCTCTATGATCTCAAGTATGATGTAGATATTACTAGATATTATTTTAAATTTAAAGAAATTGCTTTTATAAAATCATATAATATTATTAAATAAATGTTATTTGTGAATTATACACAACATTTTAATAAAAGTTTAATTTTTTGATTAAAATTTCAATGAAGATATAAACTTTACAAACATTCATACAAATTTGCTTTAAAAACCTACACTTATAACTATATAAATAAAATAAGCAATCTGGAATTCTTGTTTAAGTAGTCACAGTAAGTTAACTTACTCCTTATCCTCTTTAACTTGGAATTTCTTAATATATCGCACCCAGATCCACATAACAACTGTTTTAACACTGGGAGCTGCCCCGAGAGCTATAAGCTCATCGGTTAAACCAGACAGGATGAAGTTATATGCATGCCATTTATGCCACTCTCCACTCACTGAAATATGGAAACAAATCAATATAGTCTATAGATTGTATATTAAAATAATATGAAAAATTTACGTCGCGTTATATTAATTAATGTTGTGATTTGATGGACAATTTTAAGAGACATTTTTAGTGTATGTATATAATGAAAATTGTAAAGTCTTTAGTGAGGATACGTATACATACTCTCAATGGAATCCTCAAGGACGGTTTTGTATTTTTTAATGGTAGTGTGAGCAAAAGTTCCATCAGCCAATAAAGTTTGTTCAACAACGGTTTCCCTTGCATTGACATCCTGAGTGCCGCATTCAACACAGTAATAAAACCCGTCAACTAGATTCAGATCCGTGCTGCCACAGATTTTGCAAGGATTAGTGGCCATTGTAAATAAATAAAATTTTATGATATTACATTTTAAAGTCTAACATGTGATTGGCATGCCGCGAAATTTGTTAACAAATATCACTGTCAACTGTCATCTTTATGACATAATCTGACATTGAATCTGAAGTCAGATAAAATTATCTGGAATAAATTCTATTATTGAGACACCTACTTCCTAGTTATGATATTAAATATAAATTATGTGTATATGTAGTTAAAACATATTTAATTTAAACATTACAAAACGTTTTATCAATAAATGTATCATTTCTAAAAGTTGGCATTATTGTGGCTGTTGACAATGTGATACAATTTTCTTATTGCCACAGTGATAAAAACCTACTGAAAGTTTTCTTTTTTAATACTTTCAACTTTACTTTCATTCAAAATACAAATTTCGAATTTTATTAGAATTCTAATAAAACAATATTAATAATTTTTGTATTGTGGTCTTGTTTATATTTAACCATTTATGGATAATAAAATAATAGACTTTTTAGGATGTTCTGAAAAAAAAATTGTTAATGACTATATTAACGTATTTGGATTTTTTTTCCTAGTTAAATTATTTTATTTACGATATTTATAATAAAACAGGTTGTTATGATAAAACTTGCAATAAATAGTAGCAATCGACTAGAAGAAGCTTCAGTAGTAACAACACTGTATCTACTACTTTGTGGTGGTGGTCATTTGTAGAGTATCGTTGTCGTCAATAACTATACGGTCTCGGGGCGTGTTCTGCGTAACATAGGACTGAATAAAACCGACCGGCATATTACATCCCTGTTAATAAAACGAACACAAATAACTGTTTCCCGGTTAAAAAACTGAAATGCGAGTTAGTTTTGTAATCGTCACACCCTTGTGAGATCGCGGCTTAAGCGTTTGCGTGTTAAGTTTCCGCTGAGTATATCATCTTGTGTGTTTACTGAGCTGATGGTGTGTTGTGTTAAATCGAGTGAGGGACGGCTAGTTCATTGATGGGCTGCCTATCTGCGTCGTGGGCGGCAAAACGGCCGCAACGGCGGTTAAGTTTCTGGAGGGTCTACATTAATCGCCACACTGGAACTGATGGAATTAGAAAACATTGTAGCCAACACTGTCTACTTGAAAGCCAGAGAGGGTGAGCTATTTTCCAATTCATGATATTAATAAACATACATTAAAAATCATAATGTAATGATGCGTAAATTTTTGTTTACGGTGATTCTAGTAAACAAGGTTCATTGACCGTAGGTAACCTATCGTTAATATCATATATATCGGACTTTCGTTCGTCAATGATGTGCAAGTTTTGATTAAACTAAACATGCCCACATACATAGTGCAAATAAAAGGAAATAATTACATTCCTTATCAACAAGGCAAACAAACTTATTTCAATTAATAATCAGCTGTTGCATGTTTATATAAAATTACTGTTATTATAACATTTAAATTAAAATAAAAACACAAAATTTTTGGATGATATAATAACATATTTTTTAATATAATAATATATTATAATTAATACTTGATTGTCCATATGTAGGTAACATTGGCAGAATAATATTGACTTGTTACATTCATAATGATCCTCTTTGGTTTTCATTTGATATTTAAATATAGAACATCTATCTACATTTATTAATTTTGATCTATACTCAAATTTAAATGAAACTATCTGACTTTTTAATATTACATTCGATAAATAAATTAAAAAATACATTAACATTATGAATTTCATTAAAAATATGTTCTGTAAGTCTTATTAAACATAAATACATGTAAATCATATGAATTTTTTAATTATATAAGCCTTTTCCTATTATTTATAATATGTATATATAATTACAATTCCTATTAAAGATCATCTGTTATTCAGACTTTATTTTAATTACTTATTTGATCAATATACCTATACTTTTTATGTCGTAAATATGTTTATTAAAAAAATATGACTCAAAATAATTTATAATTTCAGTTAATAATGAGTTATAAATCTATTTTCATTAACTTTATTTAAACTCATTTTCATTATTTCAATTATTACATAAATAAAATAAGCAATTCGGATACTTACAAGTTTTAGTGCATTTGTAATTAATTGTTTTTAATTATATATTATTGGATTTATGTATTAACAATTATTGTGAGGAAAATTATTTATTAAATCCATAAATATTAAATCCAATATAAATATCTTAAACCAATATAAAAGTATCAGGATACTTTATATAATAATAAAAATAGGATTGAAGATAAAAACATATTATTAATATCGAATTATATAAAGCATATGTATATAAAGAATGTATATATTTTTAAATAAATTATTCTGGAATTATAATAATATACAGCTATACACATATATACATAAAATATTTTTTAAACTGTCAATAAGGTCATAAAAAATAATAAAGTTTACGGTTTGTCCGAACTATAGTATAAGGTTGCTTAATATAGATATTATATTAAGAATCATTTCTCACTAAATGACTTACTTATAATATTTATTTATTATATACATATATGTTTAATAAATAATATTCCTAAATAAAGTGATATCTATTACATTTGAGTAGATGTAGGGCTAAAAAACCCAATAATTTTAAATTTCTAACTCATACCTTAGCTTCATACATTATGGCTCAGCCAGAAATAGTATTAATAATTTTTCATGATAAAAATATCGCATAATAATTAAATTTCAAGAATTTTCTAAGTAATTTGTAGTTAATCAATAAATAGGCATACAAATCTTCGTAATCATTGTCGTCACTTTAAAATATGAAATAAATAGCTTTGCTACATTGTGTTGAGAATGTTCAATACTAAAATTGTTCTTTCTTTTTAATTATCGCGTATAAAATCAACACATGGCATGCAACAAGGGTGAATATTAAATGTCGCGATCGCCACGATGTTTTTACCATGTGGCATGCAACAAGCTTATATTGTTATGTTGTGGTGACCGTGGCAGCTTTCTAAGACTGATCAGTTACGTAAAACACTTTAGATAAAATACCACAGTAATGTCGCACGCGACGGATAATAGCTTGCTTTGTATGGGAAGTTCTCATTACAATTTGTTGATTTTTTTATAATATATTCTTATATTCTTATTTTAATAGACTATAAACTGCGCATTTTCTATAAATTAGTATAGATTTTTCATATAAGTAATTTTATGTATAATAATTGTTATAAACGTAACATTATGTATTAATGCTGAAGTTATTTAGTTAAGTTTTTCGAGCTATACATTCTCATACTTTTCCAATGTGTTACCTAGCTATATGCTAGAATTCATTAAAACCGGCTTAGTAAGACGTAGGATATAAAATAGAACAGAAACCATTCGCATATATGTATAAAATTTTATATAGAGTTCGTAAATGTATGTATTTTTAAGGATTTGTGATGTGTCAAGTTTCTCACCAGACGTACTGAACACTCTTACCAACGGTTTGTAACTCAAAACTAAACGTTTAATTTAGCTTATTTACGTACTTACGTTTATACTATCGTATTTGAAGTTTTACGAGTTAAAGCACGTTAATGTTGGAACTTGGAACTATATTATTAATAAAAGGAAAAAAGTAATTGATATTCATCATCATCAGACTATCGGTGCTCATGGAAAAGCCTCTTCTCACATGGAGAAGATAAGAGGATTAATCACCACACTTGCTCAAAGCGGATTGGCGATTTCAAACTTATAATTTGATATTATAAGTCCAGGTTTCATCACGATGTTTTCCTTCACCGTCTGTCAGTGGTGTCTAAATACTCTTAGAAAGTACAAAAATCACAATGTTACTTGCCAGGTTTCAAACCCGCACCCTCATGCACGAGAGATGGGCCTTTAACCTCCAGGCCACTACGACTTTACAGATGCCTTTTCCTAAAAATCTTACTTTTCCTATATCATAGTAGAAGATTCGATTTATTGTCACGTTAATATCTACACTTTTATCACTTGCGTTTGGTATCAAATTTACTTAAATTAATTTTAACCAAAATTTATAATTTTTTTAATAAATTTCGTTGCTATTTCGCCGGAGATATCATTTTGTCCTTATATTTTTTTTAACCTGAAATCTGAATAGATAAGTAAATGTTTCTTAAATGATGTGATTAAAAAATAATTTATATAAATAAATGGAAGAATCAATCTGTTTATAAATAAATTAGACAAAAATAAAGGGATACAGAAAACGTATATACGAGTACGTATTTGTGATTGTTTGAAAAAAATTGAAAAGTTTTAAAAAGGCTTTTTGACGACCGAATTCAATAGTTTTTTCATATAAGTGAAATTAGCCTCAGATATATTTTTTACATTAATTGCTTGAATCGTTTAAAAATATCACATAATACACTAATATAATTATGTCAGTGGTTGCCTAGTGGTTAAAAGGCCCGCCTCTCATGTATGTACTTTCTAAGAGTATTTAGACATCACTGATTAATGCATTCCCAAAAAGGGCTGATGTCAGGCAGGGGGCCGTTCGTAAATATACAATTAGCCAAAACTATTCACAACATGTAAGGCAGACCCTGGCTAAAGCCGGAAAATTGCGAGGTAGAAGATGATATTTTTTAAATTAATTGCATGAATCATTTAAAAATATCGCAGCATACCCAAATATAAGTAAATTTCTATATTGTTAAATTTATTTTATATAATTATAAATTATAATATAACAAATGAATGTAAAAGTAAAAACACGGCACTGTAAGTATTTGATACCAATCAATTAATTCAATACTTACACAAATGTCTAACGTATAAGGCAGCGGATATCAGAACTCGATCAATTAGCCCTTATATGTCGACTGTTCCCACAAAAGACGTATTTTTTTTCTATCACACCGAACCGAGCACCAGACTGGTATTTCATTACGAAACGCTGCAATTCACACCGAGTTCGTATCGGTGTTAGAAACTAGTGCGAGGATATCGTATAAAAAATACATTCTATGTTGTTTCAGTATTACGACTGGGTTTTG